TAATGAACGAAGGTGAGTTAAGATTAACTTTTATGATTTAGAGAACATCTTTGGTAGCTCTGAGAAAGACTTTGTTGTCTTAGAGAATAACTTTCAGGACTTAGAGAATGTCTTTGATGAATGGAAGTGAGTTAGAGAATAACATATCATGACTGAGAATAACTTTTGATAACTCTTAGAACAACTTTGATGTCTTAGAGAATAACTTTAGATGTCTCTGAGAATGTCTTTGGATAACTCTGAGATTAACTTTGATGTCTTTGAAACAACTTTGACGTCTCTTGGAATAACTTTTTGTGGACATGAGAATATCTTTGGATAACTCTGAGATTAACTTTGATAGCTCTGGGAATAACTTTTATGATTTTGAGAACATCTTTGATGTCTTGGAGAACAACATTGATGTTTAGAGAACAACTTTGATGAAAAATGATGTCTTAGATTAACTTTGATGACTCTGTGAATAAGTTTGATGACTTTGAGAACAAGTTTGATAGCTCTGAGAATGACTTTTATGCCTCTGAGAATAACTTTGATGAATAAAGATGTTTTGGAAAGTTTCTCTGAAGAACGAAGGTGACTCTGAGAATAACTTTTGTTAGCTCTTTGAATAACTTTGATGAACGAGAGTGAGTTAGAGATTACCTTTGTTAACTCTGAGATCAACTTTGATGAACAAAAGAGAGTTAGAGATTACATTTGATAACTCTAAGATTAACTTTAGATGTCTCTGAGACAAACTTTTATAACATAGAAATTAACTTTAATGACCAAAAGTGAGTTAGAGAATACCTTTTGATGACTCCGAGAATAATTTTGATAGCTCTGAGAATGACTTTTGTTGTCTTGGAATAACTTTTGATTGTGCTGAGAATAACTTTGAGGGCTTAGAGAATGTCTTTGATGAATGGAAGAGTCCCATTGAAGTCTTAAGGAAGTCTTTGATGTCTCGAAGGATGTCTTAGAGTGTAACTTTGGTGTCTTTGAGTAAGTCCTTGATGTATTGAAGAGTGTCTTTGATTTCTCGAAGAGTAACTTTGGTGTAACGGAGAGCACCTTTGACTATTTTTCTTACTTAGCGACATATAATTTTAGTTACGAAAGTGCTGAAAAAGTTACATTTGACTATTTTTCTTACTTAGCGACATATAATTTTAGTTACGAAAGTGTTGAAAAAGTTACATTTGACTATTTTAGTGCTCCACAAAGTATAAAGGGCAGTTAAGAACGACGATGATAGATATCTTTGACTATATTTTCTTACTTGACGATGGATAAAGTTAGTTATGAACAGTGCTGAAAGATTCCTTTGACAATTTTTAGCTAAGCGAAAGGCTGTTTTAGTTAAGAACGGTGTTGAATGAGGTTAATCCTGACTATTTTCAGATGAGAGAAGTGATATTTCAGTTAAGAAATGACAAGGAAACATGATGAAGTAACTATTTTTAGTTGATCGATGAATACTTTTAGTTGAGCAAAAGCCAAAAACATGATGAACATGACTTTTTTCTGATGATTGGCAGATAATTTTAGTTAAGAAATGACAATGAAACATGATGAACACGGTTATTTTCTGATGAATGGGGAATAAGTTTAGTTAAGAAATGATGAAAGTTATTATTTTTAGTTGATTGACGATGGATAAAAGCTAGTTATGAACAGTTTTGGAAAGTTTCCTTTGACAATTTTTCTTGATGAAACATAGCGCCTGTTAAGAAAGTGCTGAAAAAAGTTTCCTTTGACAATTTTTAGCTAAGAGAAAGGTTGTTTTAGTTAAAAACAGTGTTGAACGAGGCTATTTCTGACTATTTTTAGTTGACTGGATAATAAGTTTACTTGAGAAATGACGAAAGTGACTATGTTTTAGTTGATTGGTGAAAGATTTTTTTAGTTAAGGAATGTTAGATAGGGGAAAAACCTAGAGAACATATGGGGAACATGGCAAAGAACATATGTAAGAAAAGTTGATGAATACAGTGGACATGAAAACATGATAAGGAGAATAGGGAATACAAAGAATGAACAATGGACTTGTGAAGAACATGGAGAATATGACAAAGAATGTAGAAAACATGTAAGTGAAGGTGAAAAACGAAGTGATCTTGTGAGGAACATGAACTTGTAGAGGAACATGAATATTGCAAAGAACACAAAATATGGAAGTTAGCATGAATATTGAGTATAAAAGTTGTAAAGAGAACATGTGATGAACATGAAAACATAGAAAATATGACTAGAATTTGTAGAGAAAGTAATGAGACTAAGAGAAAGATTACAGAAAAAATGGAGATACTTGTGAAAATATAAACTGAATGGGACTGTGAACATTTGAAGAACATGGAGTGAACATAGAAAACATGGACAAAATGTGAAGAACACAGCTGAATATAGAGAAAATATGCAAATACAGTATGATTATTGAAAGTTTTGATACGTTGGGGATGAGAAGGGTAAAGTAAATACTCAGATAAACAGATAGGCTGGAGAGGGACTTGATCGAATATATTTATGTCTGATGATCTAAGGCTGAGGAAATGGAGCTTGGTTAATGCCCCGATTAATTTTACTACGTTAGAAATACGGTGATCTTAAATCTCAGGGTGATTTAGTTGGAAAATAAAGAACTTGTACAAATGAACTAAGCTGGGGCACAAGAGTTGAAACTTGATAACTGAACTGGTTTTTATTTACTATGTCTGAAAATGTAGTTGGGTGATTAAATCTCAGGGGGATTTGGATTGATAGTAATGAATTTACAGGAGTGAACTTGGACAGAGGACAAGAGCTAGAGTTTTATAATTGTTTACTTCATATTTACTATGTCTGAAATACAGAGGGTAAAAATTTCAGGGAAATTGATGGGTTAAAGACTTGAGGGTGGAAGAGGGTGGGGGACGAGAGCTGGAGCTCGATAACTGACTTGATTTTATTTACGGTGTCTGAAATACAGAGGGTAAAAATTTCAGGGAAATTGGTGGTTTATTTACAAAGACTTGAGGGTGGAAGAGGGTGGGGGACGAGAGCTGGAGCTCAGTAACTGACTTGATCTTATTTACTAACTTTGAAGTATGTCTGCTTTTAATTTTAGGGAAATTGATGGGTTATTTACAAAGATACGAAAGAGAATTAAGGCGGGGACGAGAGCTGGAGCTCGATAACTGACTTGATTTATTTACGGTGTCTGAAATACAGAGGGTAAAAATTTAAGGGAAATTGATGGTTTATTTACAAAGACTTGAGGGTGGAAGAGGGTGGGGGACGAGAGCTGGAGCTCAGTAACTGACTTGATCTTATTTACTAACTTTGAAGTATGTCTGCTTTTAATTTTAGGGAAATTGATGGGTTATTTACAAAGATACGAAAGAGAATTAAGGCGGGGACGAGAGCTGGAGCTCGATAACTGACTTGATTTTATTTACGGTGTCTGAAATACAGAGGGTAGAAATTTCAGGGGAATTGATCTGTTACTAACGAAGATACGAGAGAGAGCTAAGGCGGAGGACAAGAGCTGTAGCTCAGTAACTGACTTGATCTTATTTACGGTGCCTGAAATACAGAGGCTAAAAATCTCAGGGAATTTGGACTGTTACTAAGGATTTTGTACAAATGAACTAAGCTGGGGACAAGAGCTAGAGTTTGATAATTGTTTGCATTTACTAAACTATGTCTGAAATACAGAGGGTAGAAATTTCAGGGAAATTGGACTGATACTAACGAAGATACGAGAGAGAGCTAAGGCGGAGGACAAGAGCTGGAGCTTGGTAACTAATTACTGTATTGAACTACATTTGAAATATGATTATTTTAAATTTTAGAGGGATTGGAATGATAGTATTCTTTATACGACAGGGGACTAAGGTGGGGAACGTGAGCTAGAACTTGCTTACTAACATGATTTATTTGTGTAAAACTGACTTGCTTAATGAAAAGGAGCAAACATACTGACTTGCTTAATGAAAAGGAGCAAACATACGATGTTGGAAAATAGTTGAACTGAATGAAAGGAGAGAGAGAGAGAGAGAGGAGAGAGAGAGAGAGAGAGGAGGGACGGTCCAGATATTATGGATAAGATAAGATAAGATTAAGAGCTGACTGGCTGGCTGGCTGGGCGCAAAGTAAATAAAGGGGACGCGAGAGATTGCGAGGTAAGGGGGGAGGGAGGGGGGTGTGAGGTACGAGACTTGAAAACCATGACTTACACAGGTGATTTTCTAAATTTATATGAATAACTAATGCTTACTTAGACGATTTTGTAAGTTGAAAACATGTAAAATATGTCCGTAGAGTTCTCCTGGAAGCCCTAAAGTGCTACACACGTTATTTGAATTTCTCCCATAAGGCTTTAACAAACTTCTAAGTCTCGGAAATTATTTTTCTCATAAGAAATCCTTACTTCTAAAATCTGTGACTGACAAAATTTACCTGAAAACCCCCAAGCGCTACAGGGGATATTTGGTCTGAAAAAAAATATCCCCTGTAGCGCTTACACCCCACAGGGGTCCTCTGCCCAAAAAAAATATCCCCTGTAGCGCTTACACCCTACTACTGTAGTCGAGATGGTGGTAGTGGAGGTAGCGGTGGTTTGATCTGTTGGTTTAGATCTATTGGTTTAATTCTCTTTGTTTAGGTCTGTTTTAAGGCAACGATCCAACATTATTTTCCTGATCAGATACATTTGACAATTCTCGTATCTTCGTCTCTGTGAAAGTTTTTCAGACTTTTAAACTAGAGTAGTTACTCTGAAGCAACTGAGGCCCCAGCCTACGGGAAGTTGGTGTAGGCCTACACAAGGATCTCGCATAATAGGCCTGATAGTATTCTATACAAAATTATCTAATTACGAGACGCGAAAAAGCTATCTCCAATCTCACCTCCCCGTTTAGTCAAATTGAATTTAGGGCAGTTTTAAGTCTTAAATAATCAGTGTCTCCGTAGTAATAATGTAAATTGTAATGTTAGACACATCTGTGATTGATGCTTCCTGTATCTCGCACCAGCAGGAGGGTCAGCACAACGAGGGCTACTCCACCCTCCCTAGGAATGCTGAGGTGACGCAGGAAAGCGGCGACGACGGAGGCGAGAGAGCGACGAGTGACGTCCCCGTCGTCATCCCCCGCATCGTCCTGGGCCGCCCACCAGTACGGGAATTGCTACGCGACCCAGACATTTGGTTAACTGAAGCCGGAAGGAACCCGGGTCACCAAGACTGGTATATAAGCCAGAATATTCCTCGGCCTTATCTCAGCTTGTAGCGAGAGCACCGTGCGGGGAGCGGGACCTTCACTCATGGTGGTGAGTTGCCCTTTACGGTACCGCTCAGGAAGTCTTCCATATTTGGCTAAATTAGGTAAACTTTCTGCAGGACTCGTCCTCAGATGCGCACATATTGTAAACTCTTAGGTAACCTGAATATATCATCTCTCTCCTCTCCCGATAGTAACATAAATTTGAACTTATTTACATCTATTACTCTTAATATATTATTATTAATATATCTTACTACTTTTTCTAACACAATATTTTTTTCATATTTGAACATTTGATGATTTATTTCGATAAAATTTATTTACAGATAAAATCCACTGAGGCCGTTACGTGTTGTTGAGGTTGCCAGTGACTCGTCTTGAGGTTGTCTTCACTGCAGAGCATCATCGTGCTCCCCACACAACTCATCCTCTCCCCACACAACTCATCCTCTCCCCACACAACTCATCCTCTCCCCACACAACTCATCCTCTCCCCACACAACTCATCCTCTCCCCACACAACTCATCCTCTCCCCACACAACTCATCCTCTCCCCACACAACTCACTCATGGTTTTGGCCAGGTGGAGAGCGAGAGATCCCTCTAGTTTGACAGCCATGCATGGTGCAACCCGTCGTCCTAATAGAACGTCGTATTTTGACGTATACTCTACCTAAGGTCAAAAATCGTCGTACTAGAAAATGGTAGCGGCTCGTAAAATTGCCACACTGCCCCGTTTTCTGTTCTGGGTTCTCTGATAGGTGCTGTAGTATGATAGTTTCTTGACGTTGGAGAAACCTTAGGAGGACGGGCTGCATGATGAACCATGTGTGACCAAAGACCTCGCTGCCTAGCGAAGTGCTAGCGAATCATCCGTGGAAATATTTATTCTTAAACGAGTTGAGAAACATTTCCACAATACAATTATTAAACATTTTGCTGGTTGTGTCAAATTTAAGATACTTCGGTCCTTAGTGTACCTCCAGTAGTCCCATCGTTCCTAAGTCCAGACATTGTAAGTGTCATGATCATTCCTTTTGTCCGATACATAACCCAAACAAGTGTAAATAATATGTTGTTAGATACAGAGGGCGATCTTTATTCTTAAAAATGTTTGTTCACCCTGTGTATGTTGGGGTCACCCTGTGTATGCATATGTTGGGTCACTGTTTATGCATATGTTGGGTCACCCTGTTTATGCATATGTTGGGTCACTGTTTATGCATATGTTGGGTCACCCTGTTTATGCATATGTTGGGTCACCCTGTGTATGCATATGTTGGGGTCACCCTGTGTATGTATATGTTGGGTCACCCTGTGTATGTATATGTTGGGTCACCCTGTGTATGCATATGTTGGGGTCACCCTGTGTATGCATATGTTGGGTCACCCTGTGTATGCATATGTTGGGTCACCCTGTGTATGCATATGTTGGGTCACCCTGTGTATGCATATGTTGGGGTCACCCTGTGTATGCATATGTTGGGTCACCCTGTGTATGCATATGTTGGGTCACCCTGTGTATGCATATGTTGGGTCACCCTGTGTATGGATATGTTGGGTCACCCTGTGTATGCATATGTTGGGTCACCCTGTGTATGCATATGTTGGGGTCACCCTGTGTATGCATATGTTGGGTCACCCTGTGTATGCATATGTTGGGTCACCCTGTGTATGCATATGTTGGGTCACCCTGTGTATGAATATGTTGGGTCACCCTGTGTATGCATATGTTGGGTCACCCTGTGTATGCATATGTTGGGTCACCCTGTGTATGCATATGTTGGGGTCACCCTGTGTATGCATATGTTGGGTCACCCTGTGTATGCATATGTTGGGTCACCCTGTGTATGCATATGTTGGGGTCACCCTGTATATGCATATGTTGGGTCACCCTGTGTATGCATATGTTGGGTCACCCTGTGTATGCATATGTTGGGTCACCCTGTGTATGCATATTTTGGGGTCACCCTGTGTATGCATATGTTGGGTCACCCTGTGTATGCATATGTTGGGGTCACCCTGTGTATGCATATGTTGGGTCACCCTGTGTATGCATATGTTGGGTCACCCTGTGTATGCATATGTTGGGTCACCCTGTGTATGCATATGTTGGGTCACCCTGTGTATGCATATGTTGGGTCACCCTGTGTATGCATATGTTGGGTCACCCTGTGTATGCATATGTTGGGTCACCCTGTGTATGCATATGTTGAGTCACCCTGTGTATGCATATGTTGGGTCACCCTGTGTATGCATATGTTGGGTCACCCTGTGTATGCATATGTTGGGTCACCCTGTGTATGCATATGTTGGGTCACCCTGTGTATGCATATGTTGGGTCACCCTGTGTATGCATATGTTGGGTCACCCTGTGTATGCATATGTTGGGTCACCCTGTGTATGCAATTGGTGTCAAAAGCTTAAGGTACTATAAATGAACATCTACCTGGGCAATTTTGAACCTATGAAATAAAATTCTCATAATATTGGTGCACCAATTTAAAGATTTGTCTGAAGCGTTCTTCGTTTAATAGGTTCCGGTGTTGTACATATTGTACATAATCATTATTTGTCCATTATATACACTTTTGAAGAACTTTTGTAACGTGAAACACTGAGCGAGTGTGTAAACGCCATACGTGGAGTACAGCAGCCTCTTGTTGTACAATTGTCTGCCGGTAGCTGCACGACTTTCGAGATTAATATGATTTTCGAAAGTTAGATAAAATTTTATTATTAAAAGATAAAAGATAGATTATTACTTAAACTGCTTTTTAAAGGCTTGAAACCTTGTTCAGATTTTGAAGGTACGCTTTACGAATTTTGATCAGTTCCCTATGTTGCAAAAACTCAATGTCTCTTTCTCTCACATCCTAAGTGTTGTACCTCTCACTATAGCTGCAAAGTGAATGAATAAGAGGAGTAGGGAGGATAGGGAGGATAGGGAGTAGGGAGGGACAGAAAGGGAGATATTCCACTAACACGTTACAGTTCACAGGTCCACAATAGCCAGAAAACTCATATTTTTTGGCTGTAAGGAAACTTCCACATGGGTAGCAAATATATATTTTATGAAGGATGTCTCTTTCCCTCAAATCCCCTCCCCCCTTCCACCCTCCACGTCTCTCTCTCTCTCTCTCTCTCTCTCTCTCTCTCTCTCTCTCTCTCTCTCTGTCTCTCTCTCTCTCTCTCTCTCTCTCTCTCTCTCTCTCTCTCTCTCTCTCTCTCTCTCTCTCTCTCTCTCTCTCTCTCTCTCTCTCTCTCTCTCTCTCTCTCTCTTCATAAATGGCACTCATCATAACTAAGGAATTAGCGAGTTCATCTTGCCATGGAGATGAACTCTCTGCTCTGTACTTTCTATTCAACATGATTACTCTCCAGCCTAATACCTGTACAACGTACACAATATTACCGGCGGCATTTGTAAACTTGGGGAAACTGTTATTCGTTAGAAAGACGAGTAAGAGAAGGCAATTTATATGAATGGGTCAGATGTATATCAGACTGTCTTGGTTGGCATTGTATAATGTGTGTATAATGAACACAATAATATTTTATAACATATGATACTTTATTTTCTTTTAAATGTTATTTTGTTCCGTGTATAAATAAACCAACAAAAGCATTAATATAATGACATGCTATTTTATGTTCAAACCAAGAAAATGTGAACCTCAATAAAAACCTAACGTGTATGAATACACACTGGCTTCCTGTCCCCCAACATAATGAATTATTATTATTTAGGATAAAAACCCCACACCTGTTTATTTGTGAAATTTATGTTAAGAATTTACACCAAGTCTTTTGCACTTTCCTGACTGCTTTATCAAGGTCTGAGTGTGTGGTCAGGACGAGGCTCACATCTCAACGTCTAATGACGTTGATTAGACATTGAGATGTAAGTCTGGTCCTAATCACACACTCAGACCTTGATAAAGCACTCAGGAAAGTGCAAAAATCTTGGTGTAAATTCCTCACATAAATTTCACAAATACTGTACTCAAGTGTTGGTTTTCATCCTGTTATTATGCCTGTGAGAAGACATTACTATTACTAATTATTATTATTATTATTATTATTATTATTATGTAAATATGTATGTGAATGTATATATGTGTACTTTTTTTAATTACACGAAAACACTAAAATTTTGTTTATATTTCCTTGTGGTTACTTTAATACGTTTAATTGAATCATGTTTTTTTGTGGATATTCCCGTAAATTAATATGTATATTTATATAGTCAATATTATTTATTTCATATATATTATATATACATATATATTTTACATATATGTATATATTATATATATCATTTTAGAACCGTATGACACGAGTAGGATTCGAAAGTGCATTACCAGGGCTCACCCTCTCGCATTCAGTCATTATTGTAATGATTTTTATTAGATGTTACGAACATAGTTTCTGATTCTAGACTTAACAACTGTAATGATTTTTAAATCACTTATAAATATGGCTTCTAAATGTAAGTTTTGAGTATACAGTATTCAATTACAGGTCTTACATGTTGTGTTATTATTATGACTCTCATGTAAATCATTTACAGTAAATTAGTGTTAACTAACCCAACTATAAATGCACAGTTAAGAAAAGTCTTTGAATTTGAATTTGTAGAATGAAATTACCAAAAACGTAAGGAAATTTAGTCGTAGGTGAATTAAATTGTGTGATAAAGGCGCTAGGGTGAAAGACACTGAAATAATTCAAAGAGCGCTGCTCTCCTCCACACAACCCATAAACCCACTTAAGAGCTATATACACCCACACAGCCTATACACCATCCACAGGGGCTCCAGACATCAAATGCACAACATCCACGAGGCCCTAAGACATCAAGGTCACTCAAACTGCAAATTTTCAAAATTAATCAACTTACTTGGCATGCGAGACACAACGGTATACTATGCATGGGGACCTACCTGTCAATGGTATATCTAGCCGACTCAGTACATTATCTGAGTCTCCACACAACACCCGAGATGGCTGGAGGCGTTGGCATACTGACGACCTACAATCATGTGAAATAAACCGCGAAATTCTAGAACGGATAAAACAATGGCTAAAACAAAGTTAAGGGCTGTCCTAAATGGAAATGACTATCTGGACATTTTTTGTGCGTGGAGTATACTACAAGGATCAATTTTGGGAGCAACTATTTTTTTAATATACCTCAAATACATAGATAATATAAATTTTGCAGATGACACAAAGATGTATGGTAAAGAGGGAAAGTTAAAATTATACTGAGGCCTTGAAAAGCAATCTACAAATGGTCCAAAGACTGGCAACTGCTTTGCAATATTAAAAGCTGCATGAAGTTACATATAGGTTATAGCAATACGCATCATGACAATACAAAATTTTCCATTGAAGCATGGAGACTTCACCATGAAGAGAACATACAATAACTGCTTTTGAAAAAGTTCAACGCAGAGACAAAAATCATCCCAGAACCAAGTTACCTCACATATCAGGAACGGTTGAGGGCCACAGAACTAACAACATTGCAAACCAGACATTACAAGGCGGATCTCATCCACTTTTAAATACTGAAGAAATTGGAATATGTAAATTCAGATCACTTGTTTAAAAGGTCCGGTATAACTAAGGTATAACTAAGAAACGTCAACAGATTCAAGCTCAACAAGCCACAATGTAAGACAAAAACTGGTGGAGATGCTGTGTCACCCATGAGGAAATAACCCCTTAAAATCGCTTATCTCAGGTAAGCACGGAAGACCGAGCTGATAAACAAGACCTCCGGATTAGCGAATGTTACAAACCGTCTCGATTCGCCAGCAAACTCCCATTTAAGTGGAAAAGTAGTGAGTTATATAATGTTAGGTATCGAGTTTATACTTTGGGAAATAGCCATAAGTAATTTATATAGTGGGGAGAGAGGGGAAGGAAAGTGTTAGGGAGGGGGAGAAAAGTGTTAGGGAGAGGGAGGAAAGTGTTAATAATGTATGCAAACTTTGAAGGGTGTGTTCTGTGAATACAAAAAATTTGTTTATCTAAAGCCTCTGAAAAATATGATTCTATCTAAATCCTCCACAAAATAAAAATGATCTTGGTTCAGCAGTCTCAAACTAGATAAGCTAAAATTTCATTGTAATATTAGCTATTCCATAGATAATATATATTAATATTTATACTATGTAGTTCCATTTGTCTTCTTGTTAATACTAGTCTATCTACATACATACTCACAAAATAATAGGACTTGCCCGAAACGCTGCGCGTACTAGTGGCTTTACAAGATTGTAAATACTATGCTATGTATTCTCACAAACCCAATGTACCTTCTTGTATATAAATAAATAAATGAATAAATAATTGAATATTTCCGTCTAAGAGCCTACAGCACCGACTAAAGTCTGTAGGCCGTGAACAATAACCACTTGTTATTCAAAAATTATAGTACCAATAACAACTATGGATGGTAGTACAAGATATAGACTGTTCCACTAACAAGTCCATATTTTGGTACTACAAATTTTGTAGAGCCATAACCAAAATTTTCCTAGGCCTAATATTCACATATGTGCTTTGTGAATAATGTAGGATTATGGACTTGCCCGAAACGCTACGCGTACTTATGATTGTACAAAAATGTGACAACTCTTGTATAAATAATATATAAATAAAAATAAAAGTATGGGTCTTTATCCTTTCCTCTTCTATGTCATGCTGGTTTCGAATTTCAAAGGCAGAGGGAGGAAGACAATTCAGTAACATCTGTCTTTTTGCTGATGCTTTTACTTTGTAATCTGATTAAACATATTTAGTATACTACAATTTATCGTGTACATTGTCAGGGTGAGGGGGGGGGGGGGGAGGCAGAGGAGCTCACCCTTGCCCCGACGTCCACTGGGCACACGTGCATCTGGGCATCCGTCTCTGAGCGCCCATGTTGTACACTACTACTACTATTAGATACACTACCCTCTTTTGATGTTTGCTTTCTTGACAAATATATCCAACTTTGTCACAACTGTAGAACCTAAAAGTATTTCCCCCTTCTAACACTGAAATAATATTGGGGGATAACTTAGTGTAGTGGGATACTTGTTACCTGATGGTGATGTTACCCCTTTCACTGTCTGCTCCAGGTGTAGGCAACACTCCCGGCTGGGCAGTACCCGCCGACACACCTTGACGTAACTTGTTCCCTTGGAGTTTAAACAGTGTTCTTCCCTTCTGATTCTGCGCTGTACTCATCTTACTACCTGGAAGTGGTCATCAGCATGTTAGCTGTGGCTGCACATTTTATCTAGAGGTTGAGAACAACAGATATAGGAGTCCTGGGGTACGATGATAGTCTTACAAAAGTGAAACAAAAATAAAAATTACAGGAGACCTGTTCACAACATGCAATATACTTGCACGAGCCAGAGAATAATAAGGAAATGGGGACTCCATACGTCATTTTAAAAGTACATATAATTAACCAAAAACGGATGGAGATCATTACCCAAGTCAGTAAATAATTATATGTAGGTCCAGGAGATGGAGATCAATTCCCACATATACAGGCGGAGAAGAAACCAAGAGAAAGGGAGGGCACCATGACTCTCTTAGTCTTTCGACACTCATACATATGTTCACCACCTCAATGATCCTTGAATCAATTGTTAAGACTCGGGGAGGACGATCTGACAATGAATTAAATCAGGCAATGAAACCAAGGGGATGGTATACCGCTGATGGACACGCCATAATATTTAGTGCGCAAGACAGTATTAATAAAATCATGCTTATTCGCACCTTTTTATTAATCAGATTAAGATATATTATTCTAAAAGCCCTAAGAAGGCAACAAATGCAGTATGTGAATGGTACGTGAACAAGGGACAGGTACACACTTCACTGCAGACGTTAAGTAAAGGCCACAGAATGGAGGCTCCACGACCTTGCCGCCTGCATGAAGCTGCCCCCCTGCCCTCGCACGCTGTCACTCCCCTTAAGCATATTTTAAGGCTACAGATACCTCTATACAAATGAATCCCAAAACCTACGTCCCTCTCATTTCCTATGCCATGATGCGGGTAATGCACCACACAGTCGCACAGGCTAAAGTTTGCACTTATCATGGCACCATCAAAAGATTATACTGCCTAGCGTGGCCATACTGGTCATACCTAGAGCAGTCAACAGTGTCTAATCCTACTCATGAACTTGTTGACTCAGGTCTGTTGCACGAACATGAACACATTTCAGAACATATGAACATATGATTCTCCAGGACAGGTGTTACAACTTTGCTGCTAGAGATAGGCTCGTGCTGTCTTCACAGGGTTTAATATTCACCTAGGCCTATTACACTTCAATCCTATCTAAGGGTTTTAGACTGCAACCTCTGTGTTACTATTTACAGCACCAGTTACTCATGAGGAAGAGACACAAACAAAAGTAAAATTATAATAATATAATGTTCAGAACTCAAAAATTATTGTATATATAATATATTATTTCCACTGGGATTATGATCAACACTTTGAATATAATATATTTATGGAGATGGCTTATAAGAATAAGTATCTTATCTACTCAGAACAAAATCCAACATGTAAGTACTAAAACAGAACACATTATGGACTTAACTCTCAGACCACAACCAAGTGTCACCACCCTCCTGCAGCTCCTAAAGCCACACGCCTTCATGCAGCTCCTGAAGCCACACGCCTTCATGCAGCTCCTGAAGCCACACGCCTTCATGCAGCTCCTGAAGCCACACGCCTTCATGCAACCCCTGAAGCCACACGCCTTCATGCAGCTCCTGAAGCCACACGCCTTCATGCAGCTCCTGAAGCCACACGCCTTCATGCAGCTCCTGAAGCCACACGCCTTCATGCAGCTCCTGAAGCCACACGCCTTCATGCAGCTCCTGAAGCCACACGCCTTCACGCAGCTCCTGAAGCCACACGCCTTCACGCAGCTCCTGAAGCCACACGCCTTCATGCAGCTCCTGAAGCCACACGCCTTCACGCAGCTCCTGAAGCCACACGCCTTCACGCAGCTCCTGAAGCCACACGCCTTCACGCAGCTCCTGAAGCCACACGCCTTCATGCAGCTCCTGAAGCCACACGCCTTCATGCACCCCTTCACAGACGCCTCACTCACTCAAAGAGTTATCTTCTCTTGAGGTTATCTTGAGATGATTTCGGGGCTTTAGTGTCCCCGCGGCCCGGTCCTCGACCAGGCCTCCACCCCCAGGAAGCAGCCCGTGACAGCTGACTAACACCTATTTACTGCTAGGTAATAGGGGCATAGGGTGAAAGAAACTCTGCCCATTGTTTCTCTCCGGCGCCCGGGATCAAACCGGGACCACAGGATCACAGTCCAGCGTGCTGTCCGCTCGGCCGACCGGCTCCCGACCGGTTACCATGCAGACACGTCTAACACAAATTTAACACACTACATAAGGGAAAACATAATTATACATATATGAGAATCAGGTACTTTCTGATTCGTAACAACAGGAACACCCCGTTCCTGTCCAGGAGAATCAATCACCCGTTATAACTCTCATCAAAACGATAGTGGTACAAGCAGGCACCGCTGAAAATGATAAGTTTCACATCATTTAATTGTTGACATATTTCTTAAATTTCGGCAGTAAACTAGAGAATAGTAAAGTGTGGCGTTGAGTTCCTCAACCTTTCAACTTATTTTTTGTCAATGTCAGTTTTATCAGTTTGTTAATGATATTATCAGATAATCTGATTGGCAGACGAAATTGTATAATCTTATTTTAAGGGTAATAAAATCACCTGGCGGCATGAATATTAACGTATGTTATGCACTTAGCGAGATAACAACATAAATTAATTTTAATACATGTCATCCTAACCTGCTGTTAATCTTGAGAGCCATAATAAAAAAATAGATAAACAAAAGTATTCTTACAAAGCCACTAACATACAAAGTAAGCAATTATCATAAGAAGCACCAAGCCGGGAAAGCTATGCAACACCATCAAATGTGATGGATATTTAAAAGGTGCTAAATATCACTAAGGATGTCAGTACGAAAACAAAAACACATAAGGCGAACGATATCAAAGGTATCTATCGAGAGAAAAGTGACCGCGAGGGACAGTCAGGAAGCAAGACACACACGTCCTGAAAGTCCGGATATTCAACAAGGATATGCAATTCAGTTTGAACAATAAGGGGCAGGGTGGCGCTCCATTAAGTGCCCGCTAATTAAACGTGTATGACCAAGACGTGACCTAACCAGAGCCATTTCCCACCGCCGGTTACGGTGGTGTGAGGAAGGCCATGGGGACACACTATCGTTAAGAGCACGCAGTTTGTTACCAGTAACAGAAGACCAACGACCCTGCCAACGGGCAAGGAGGAATGAATAACTGGGTTGAAGTCAGAATACGGAACATCTTTACAGTAGATGGAACAAGTGCGGATAGCCTCCTTAGCGGCAGCGTCCGCACGCTCATTTTAGGACTCAACAACATGACCTGGAACCCAGCAAAGCTCCACTGACTTAAATCTACTGGAGATAAGAAACAGCCAATGTTAAATTTTGACTACCACAGGATGGACTAGATTAAAGGACTCCAGAGTCCTGAGGGCACGGCGAGAGACAACTACAACCACAAAGAAAGATTGACAGCGAGAAAGCAGTTGACGAAGAGCATACAAAATAGCACAGAATTCTGCCGAGAAGATGTTAATCTCTGGAGGCAGGAGACACGTATAGGTGTAGTCAGGAAAAACAACCGAGTAGCCTACACCGTCTGCAGACTTCCCCCCATCTGTGAAGAGAGGAATGGAGTGGGAGTGTGAAGAAAAATGAACCAGGAAAGGCGTTTCAGAACTGTAGGAGGGGTAGTTTTAGCTTTAGTCACGTGGGTGAAGGTTTTACAAAACTTAGGAAGGGTTACCCTCCATGGGGGCAAGGATGGAACAACACGAGGAGAAATATTAATAACACGAGCCGAAAGAGTACCTTGCAAGCGAGACAACCATTCAGAAAGAGGCAAGTGGTGAAAGGGAACAGGGACCAAAGGAGGGATAAAGGTCAAAGTACGGCATACGCGAGAGTGAGGATGTTGTAGGGAACGCGGAGGGTAGCGAAGACAGTAGCGATCGTGTAGAGACAGGATGCCAGTTTCAACATACAGACTTAGGGTAGAAGTTGAACGAAAGGCACCAGAGCTGAGGCGAACCCCAATATGGTACAGAACATCAAGACGGTGAAGAGTAGGAGAAGCAGACGAGTAAGCCGGACAACCATAATCGATTTTAGACAGTACGAGAGAGGAATGTAAAGAGAGGAGCGTGCGCCTATCAGCTCCCAAAGAAGTATGGGACAAGACTTTTAGTACGTTAAGGGCCTTAGAGCATTCAACTCGGAGGTAAGAGATATGGGGCGACCAAGACAAACGAGTGTCAAAGATTAACCCCAAAAGCTTAACAGATTCTTTGTACAAAAAGAGGATTACCATAAAGCAACAGAGGGGGACGAACAACGACCTGCTTCCGAGTAAAATTCATAGCACAAGTTTTAGTTGTAGAGAACCTGAAGCCATGATTGGCCATAGTTATGAAGCTTATCGTTAATAGCCTTATGGTGGACTCGACCAAATGGTATGATATAACTGAGGGCTTTGTAACTCTTTCATTCACTCAAATATTTGATAAAATATTCTCATATTACACATAAAGTTTGCTAGGAGTCAATTCACACCCCACGTAGGACCAACCGTTTTTTGAGATGAGGCTACTGGAACTTGCAGCTAGCTCTTGACCTGCACTCTGAACCCCTTCATATTGACTAGGGCAGCAGAACAGTGCTGTGAACCTAAGTTTTGCTAAAGAAACTGGCTGTCAGTATATTGGGTTCTCTCAGACCCTGGGTTTTAAACAAGAAACAATTGTCTTAGAATTTACGCTCAGACACTTTATATAAAGTAAATACAAAAGTATTCCTTATAATCATACAATACAGCTAACAGACGGTGTATACGGTAAATACGTAGGTCAATACAAGAGGCAACAAATAAAATACACTATACATTTCTTTGAACAGTCGGTGCAAATATTTTTTAAGTCACGTTTTAAATGGTTTCATAATTGTTGGGAACAGGCCTGTTAGGTTACTCGAGATCTTCAATTGGGCCACGGCTGATCTTCCCAGCTATGCAACTCACAGCAGTCGCCTAACTCCCAGGTTCCTAATTACAGCTAGGTAAACAGAGCCACAAGGTGAAAAAAAGCATGCCCAAATATCTCGTCCTGCTCAGGAATCGTACCCTGGACTATTCGGTTGTGAGCAAAGTGCTCCAAGTACCCCAAAAACTAAGGATTAACTGTCTCCTCTTGCATCTACCTTGGTATCTAAGTCCCTTTTGTCTTAATAAACTCTGTTGTGAATAACATTAAGTTATTCATAACAGCGTTTTCAATTATCTTGAGTACTCGAAGAATAGCTAACATGTGTACCCGCCCAACCATTTGGACTGGACGGTAGGACGACGGTCTCGCTTCTCACAGGTCGGCGTTCAATCACCGACCGTCTAAGTGGTTTGGCACCATTTCTTTTTCCTGTCCCATTCCAAATATTTATTATGATCCCTTTCAAGTGTCATATAGTCGTAATGGCTTAGCGCTTTCTAATAATTATCTTATTTTAACTATCCCCATATTGCCTGTTGTAGACTAGGCGTTTACCCAAAGTTGCCTGAAAGTTTCTCACTTACTTACCTCTTGACCTCTGTAACGTTAACTACAGCACTCAAGTTACATTGCTTTCCCTGTAATTTTATCACAAATTTGCATTGCCAACGAGCATGAGTTTCAGTGTCGGAGCCCCTCGTGTGACTGTGCATGCAACCCGTCCTCAGGCCAAGTCCATTCCATCCAGCGGTCGACCCCAAAGACGCATTCATCAATTTTAACATGTTAATTCAAATTAAGAATTTTCTTAAATATAAATTAATATTGTTATGTATTAGCATACTGTGCATATTTAAGCACTGGTTAGGTTAGGTTAGGTTAGGTATTTAGGTTTTGTTGAGGATTATTTGTATTTGTAGACGTGGGTGAAGCATTTACAGCGTTGTGGTTCGAACAAAATTTGTCTGTGAAGCACTTGTTCCGGAAGTGTTCGAACGAAATCAATTGTGAGTCTTGTGTAAACCGTTTTTTAATCATAAACAGGGGGTTTGGCGGGTGCATGGAATCACTTTTGGGTCTTTGTTTGGAGAACGGGCTGAGTTCATTAATGCTGTAACTAAACTAAACAAAAATTTGGATTCATTTCATGAGCACATTGTGTTCCTCTGAAACCATTTCCACTACCACTCACACGATGAGTATGAGATGCATAATAAACGAACTAAAGTTATTTACAGCTCACGACTCATTGGCTGGTTCTCTTAATTTACAAGTTTGCAAGCATTATTCACCTGTATGCAAAAATGAATCACCTGCATGCAGTCTTATCACAAAGATGAATTTGTTCAAAGATAAGGATGCATTGGCGATAATGAGTTGGTCTATGATAGTGAGCTTCAGTATTAAGTGTGTTACTGGTGATGCAACACTGGATGATCCTGGCGTCTGCGCACCGGGACCCGCCTCACAACACTGAAGCTTCACTCATAGGCATAACTATAGTTCATTAGATTATTCAGATTTACTCAGAATTTGAAAGTGACTCTCCTTGTCTGAAAACAATTTTACCGTGTAATTAAACCCTTGCAGTCAAGGTTTAGAAGAAGTAAATATAAACCAATATGAGAGGTGAGCAAGCAGAGGAAGACGAAGGCGGAGGTGGAGTGAGGCCCCGCTGGTTCAGCAGGAGCTGCTGGAGGAGCCTCGCTCACCAGCCGGCGAGGTCTGGTGGGAGGCTCTCTGCGGCCTCACTCACCACCTGCATCCTCATCCTCGCCTGTTGCACCTGTGTTACTTGCCGCTCTGTCGTCATACACTCCACCTCGTCCGCCGCCCACAACAACCCGAGTGACAATGTCTTTGACCTTCCAGTTCGTGGCTTCAAACTCCCTACTAACTTTAACAAGTCAAAAATGGAAAACGCAGTTGGTATTGCTGCTACTAATACTTCAGTTGAGACGTCTGGTTCCATTGGTGACCAAGTTGGTATTGGCGCTACTAATACTTCAGTTGAGACGTCTGGTTCCATTGGTGACCAAGTTGGTATTGGCGCTACTAATACTTCAGTTGAGACGTCTGGTTCCATTGGTGACCAAGTTGGTATTGGCGCTACTAATACTTCAGTTGAGACGTCTGGTTCCATTGGTGACCAAGTTGGTATTGGCGCTACTAATACTTCAGTTGAGATGTCTGGTTCCATTGGTGACCAACGTTTCTTCTATGATCTAGGTAGGTACAAGGTAGACAATGTATTTTTAACATTGTAGCAAAAGACAAAGTTGTTTATTCCTCACATCAAATTACCATTGTCACGAGTGTCCTGGCCAAGGTATGGGGGAACCAACCCGTCCTCGACTCAAGTCCATTCCATCCAGCGGTCGACCCTACAGACGCATTCGTAAAGTTTTACATGGTTTTCAGGCAAAACGGGAATTTCAGGTGATGAGTCACAATAACGTGGCTGAAGTATGTTGACCAGACCACATACTAGAAAGTGAAGGGACGACGACGTTTCGGTCCGTCCTGGACCATTCTCAGGTCCAGTCGACTTGAGAATGGTCTAGGACGGATTGAAACGTCGTCGTCCCTTCACTTTCTAATGTGTGGTCTGGTCAACAAAACGGGAATTTTCTAAAAAAAATTAATATATATATATAGCATATTGTGCATATATGTATATGTATATATATTAGCATATTGTGCATATATGTATATGACTATATATATATATATATCAGACCTTACAAAAGAAGTAGATATATATATATATATATCCCGAAGGCACCAGATGAGTGAGGGGTCAACCAGAAAAATTGTTGAAAATCAATTGTTGAAAAAATTGTTGAAAAATCAGATTGTTTATCTTCACTTGTGGTTTATGCAAGTATAGGCATATATATATATATATATATATATATATATATATATATATATATATATATATATATATATATATATATATATATATATATATATATATATATATATATATATATATATATATATATGTGTGTGTATATCACGAAAATAAACACGTGATTAAGAATGTGACAATGTCAGACCACGGAGGAAAAATGAAACAGGAAATTTCCTTAAGTACTTTCGTATATTAAATACATCTTCAGAAGGTCACCTTCTGAAGATGTATTTAATATACGAAAGTACTTAAGGAAATTTCCTTAAGTCTTCAAATTTTATCTCTGCAAGTATAAGAAATTTTCCATCTTCAGAAGGTGACCTTCTGAAGATGTATTTAATATACGAAAGTACTTAAGGAAATTTCCTGTTTCATTTTTCCTCCGTGGTCTGACATTGTCATATATATATATATATATATATATATATATATATATATATATATATATGACCGAAAAAGTAAGATTAATAATTCTAACACGAATTTTCTCAATCTTTCGTACATTACGCTTCACTGTTGGAGGTAAATCAAAAATTAATTCTCCAAAATTCATTTTTATTTCTAGTCTGACGCGACACGGGCGCGTTTCGTAAAACTTATTACATTTTCAAAGACTTTAGTTCACAAATACACAACTGAATAGAACTTACGTATCTCAGATTTTATATCTACATTTGAGTGAGGTGGGAGGGGTGATGTGGCATTAACACAAGACAGAACAAGAGGGGATATTAATAGGGTATTAAAAGTATCAACACAAGACAGAACACAAACAATGGGTATTGAATAGAAGTGTTTGTAGAAAGCCTATTGGTCCATATTTCTTGATGCTTCTATATTGGAGCGGAGTCTTGAGGTGGGTAGAATATAGTTGTGCAATAATTGGCTGTTGATTGCTGGTGTTGACTTCTTGATGTGTAGTGCCTCGCAAACGTCAAGCCGCCTGCTATCGCTGTATCTATCGATGATTTCTATGTTGTTTACTAGGATTTCTCTGGCGATGGTTTGGTTGTGGGAAGAGATTATATGTTCCTTAATGGAGCCCTGTTGCTTATGCATCGTTAAACGCCTAGAAAGAGATGTTGTTGTCTTGCCTATATACTGGGTTTTTTGGAGCTTACAGTCCCCAAGTGGGCATTTGAAGGCATAGACGACGTTAGTCTCTTTTAAAGCGTTCTGTTTTGTGTCTGGAGAGTTTCTCATGAGTAGGCTGGCCGTTTTTCTGGTTTTATAGTAAATCGTCAGTTGTATCCTCTGATTTTTGTCTGTAGGGATAACGTTTCTATTAACAATATCTTTCAGGACCCTTTCCTCCGTTTTATGAGCTGTGGAAAAGAAGTTCCTGTAAAATAGTCTAATAGGGGGTATAGGTGTTGTGCTAGTTGTCTCTTCAGAGGTTGCATGGCTTTTCACTTTCCTTCTTATGATGTCTTCGACGAAACCATTGGAGAAGCCGTTATTGACTAGGACCTGCCTTACCCTACAGAGTTCTTCGTCGACTTGCTTCCATTCTGAGCTGTGGCTGAGAGCACGGTCGACATATGCGTTAACAACACTCCTCTTGTACCTGTCAGGGCAGTCGCTGCTGGCATTTAGGCACATTCCTATGTTTGTTTCCTTAGTGTAGACTGCAGTGTGGAAACCTCCGCCCTTTTCCATGACTGTTACATCTAGAAAGGGCAGTAGACCCCATCTAAGCAAGTAGATGGGGTCGCCATGGGTTCTCCCCTAGGTGTCCTGTTTGCAAACTTCTACATGGGTACCATCGAGCAAAAAGTCTTAGTCGACATGAACTTGAAACCGGCCATATACTGCAGGTATGTTGACATTTTTACACAGGTACCTGATGTCAGACATCTGCAGGAGCTGAAGGAGGCATTTGAGCAGAGTTCCGTGCTGCGTTTCACTTACGAGATGGAAAAGGATGGGAAGCTGCCCTTTCTAGATGTAACAGTCATGGAAAAGGGCGGAGGTTTCCACACTGCAGTCTACACTAAGGAAACAAACATAGGAATGTGCCTAAATGCTAGCAGCGACTGCCCTGACAGGTACAAGAGGAGTGTTGTTAACGCATATGTCGACCGTGCTCTCAGCCACAGCTCAGAATGGAAGCAAGTCGACGAAGAACTCTGTAGGGTAAGGCAGGTCCTAGTCAATAACGGCTTCTCCAATGGTTTCGTCGAAGACATCATAAGAAGGAAAGTGAAAAGCCATGCAACCTCTGAAGAGACAACTAACACAACACCTATACCCCCTATTAGACTATTTTACAGGAACTTCTTTTCCACAGCTCATAAAACGGAGGAAAGGGTCCTGAAAGATATTGTTAATAGAAACGTTATCCCTACAGACAAAAATCAGAGGATACAACTGACGATTTACTATAAAACCAGAAAAACGGCCAGCCTACTCATGAGAAACTCTCCAGACACAAAACAGAACGCTTTAAAAGAGACTAACGTCGTCTATGCCTTCAAATGCCCACTTGGGGACTGTAAGCTCCAAAAAAACCAGTATATAGGCAAGACAACAACATCTCTTTCTAGGCGTTTAACGATGCATAAGCAACAGGGCTCCATTAAGGAACATATAATCTCTTCCCACAACCAAACCATCGCCAGAGAAATCCTAGTAAACAACACAGAAATCATCGATAGATACAGCGATAGCAGGCGGCTTGACGTTTGCGAGGCACTACACATCAAGAAGTCAACACCAGCAATCAACAGCCAATTATTGCACAACTATATTCTACCCACCTCAAGACTCCGCTCCAATATAGAAGCATCAAGAAATATGGACCAATAGGCTTTCTACAAACACTTCTATTCAATACCCATTGTTTGTGTTCTGTCTTGTGTTGATACTTTTAATACCCTATTAATATCCCCTCTTGTTCTGTCTTGTGTTAATGCCACATCACCCCTCCCACCTCACTCAAATGTAGATATAAAATCTGAGATACGTAAGTTCTATTCAGTTGTGTATTTGTGAACTAAAGTCTTTGAAAATGTAATAAGTTTTACGAAACGCGCCCGTGTCGCGTCAGACTAGAAATAAAAATGAATTTTGGAGAATTAATTTTTGATTTACCTCCAACAGTGAAGCGTAATGTACGAAAGATTGAGAAAATTCGTGTTAGAATTATTAATCTTACTTTTTCGGTCATATTTAATAATATATGTCTACAGGAAAGACTGCTACCAAAATATACTAATATATATATATATATATATATAGGTTAGGTTAAGTTAGGCGTTTAGGTTCCGTTGGCGATTACTTGTATTTGTAGTACGTGGGTGAAGCATTTACAGCGTTGTAGTTCGCACAAAAGTCGTCAGCGAAACACTTGTTCCGGAAATGTCCTGACGTCATCAGTTGTGAGTCGTGTGTAAATCGTTCTTCATTCATAAATAGAGAGGGAGGGGGGTGCATGGAATGGACTTTGGGCCTTTGTTTAGAGAACAGGCTGGTCAGTCACCAGGCAACCCGTTCTCGCACTTTCTTATAGTCAATATTGACTTATTAATTACGTGCATATGTGACATACTAATTTAGTGTGAATATTTTAGTTTACCTTGAAAAGCTTCATAGAAAACACCGACCTTGCCTAACCTTTTTAGTATATTAAGATACGCATCTTATTGCTTCGTAATTACAATTATTACTTAACCTATACCTATAATAGGTTATTGCTTCGTAATTACAATTATTACTTAACCTATACCTATAATAGGTTAAGTAATAATTGTAATTACGAAGCAATAAGATGCTTATCTTAACATACTAAGAAGGTTAGGTGAGGTCGGTGTTTTCTATGAAGCTTTTCAAGGTAAACTAAAATATTCACAATAAATTAGTATGTCCCATATGCACTTATTTAATAAGTCAATATTGACTTATTGAAAGTGCGAGAACGGGTTGCACGAGGCGATCGTCAGCAACCCAGAGTGAAGAACACGCGCGTCCGCACTCAGCGGCCACCACCCAGCCATTCTCTTGTTTGCTATTCGCTGACAACATATACTACTGAAACACAAAATCGTCAGAGGGGATATGACTGTAGCGTAAAATTTATGAAAAAGTTTAATTAGCTGGGATATAAATTGGGGTTTAAATTTACAATTGAAGATACAACACGAAATAATGGGTTTAAATTTGACAAGTTTGGAGTTAGTAAATATATTAGTAAACACTAGGCGGAATAAAGTAGCAGAATAGCAGCAAACTGACCGGAAAGTTCCAAGCACAGACTGGATAGGTACACGAATGAGAGTTGTTGAATATATGATTCAACATATAGGCGGTCATGCGGTTAGCCTTTATGTATACCCAGGTGTTCATGGGGTGAGAGGTTAGCCTCTATGTGCCTCAAGTTCAAGTAAGTTTATAGAGAAAAGTATATCTCAAAAGGATAGAGTAGCTGAGGCTATTTCTACCCTCGTCTATTTGCCTCACCGTAGACTCGTCCACTGTACCTCACCGTGGACTCGTCCACTGTACCTCACCGTGGACTCGTCCACTGTACCTCACCGTAGACTCGTCCACTGTACCTCACCGTGGACTCGTCCACTGTACCTCACCGTGGACTCGTCCACTGTACCTCACCGTAGACTCATCTATTGTAAGTAGATTAAATGATTCCATAGCGAGGAATTTTTGGTTTTGGCCGATTCCTCTCTACGAAGTCCTCCGTTTTCGGACTGTAGCTCCTGTCCCCGCCTTAGTCCTCCCTTGTATTTTTGTAAGTATCCATCGTATTTTCATTAAATTTTAAGGAGCCGTGAAATACAGATAAGGAATAAAACTGACTTATTGGGCTGTAGCTCCCGACCTCCCAACTTAGTTCTCTCTTGTATGTTCGTTAATATTCATCGTATTTTCATGAAATTTAAAACATAATTATTTTAGACGTAGTAAGAGGAAAATATATAGTGGTTAACCTCTACCTCCTGTCCCCCAAGATAACTCGTCACTGTAATTTCTTAAGTATCAATTGTAATTCAAAAAAAGTTAAAACATATGGTCTGTATTTTTAACACATCTATTTTTATACCTGCAAGCAATGTGCAAGCAATATTTGATAGGTCTTTGGACTTATCCTGTTTCTGATACAAGTAAATAATCTCCCAGAGGAAATAGACATTTATTATCAATGTTTGCTGATGATACAAGAATTATAGCAAGAGAAGTTATATTACAGATGAAGATAGCAAGAGGCTACAAGATGACCTGGACAAACTGAAGGAATGATCCAAATGGTTACTAGAGTGCAACTCATGTAAATGTAAAGTAATGGAGCAGGATGCCAGACACAGGTTACTAAATGAGAGACGAAGTCCTCCATGAAATGGAGGACTTCGCTTCGGGCAAAGGTCGAAACTTCGGTTTCGACTAAGGTCGACTTCGACCAGAGAGAACACAACCTCCACCTCTGACACTCACACAGAGAACACAACCTCCACCTCTGACACTCACACAGAGAACACAACCACCACCTCTGACACTCACACAGAGAACACAACCACCACCTCTGACACTCACACAGAGAACACAACCACCACCTCTGACACTCACACAGAGAACACAACCTCCACCTCTGACACACAGAGACAACACAACCTCCACCTCTGACACACACACACAACCCACAACCTGTAAACCAATAAACACAGTAAAACAAGTCACTTCACTCTGGTGTGTCAACAAAGCCTGTCACTGTCCACAGAGGGAGACACCTGGACGAGGGCGGCCTCTCCTCAACAACCACCCAAGGCGAGGCGAGCCATTGAGTCATTAACTGTCAACACCGCAAATGCTTCTACTGCGACCCTCTCCTCCGCCACCCACCACAGCCACGAGTCTAAAACTATTATGAATCTTCTCAACTCACCGACGCCGTCTCTCGCCAGTCCTGCGGACTCGACGTCCCTTACAGGTGAACCAACACCGACCTCCTCCCTCACTACTGTAACTGAACTAACAGGAACCTCCTCCTTCACTACAGTAACAGAACAAACAGTGACCTCCCACACTACTGTAACTGAGCCAACAGCGACCTCCTCCCAAACTACTGTAACTAAGGCAACAGTGACCTCCTCCCTCACTACTGTAACTGAACCAACAGCGACCTTCTCCCTCACTACTGTAACTGAGCCAACAGGGACCTCCTCCCTCACTACTGTAACTGAACCAACAGCGACCTCCTCCCTCACTACTGTAACTGAACCAACAGGGACCTCCTCCTTCACTACTGTAACTGAACCAACAGCGACCTCCTCCCTCACTACTGTAACTGAGCCAACAGGGACCTCCTCCCTCACTACTGTAACTGAACCAACAGCGACCTCCTCCCTCACTACTGTAACTGAACCAACAGGGACCTCCTCCTTCACTACAGTAACTGAACCAACAGTGACCTCCTCCCTCACTACTGTAACTGAGCCAACAGCGACCTCCTCCCTCACTACTGTAACTGAGCCAACAGCGACCTCCTCCCTCACTACTGTAACTGAGCCAACAGCGACCTCCTCCCTCACTACTGTAACTGAGCCAACAGCGACCTCCTCCCTCACTACTGTAACTGAGCCAACAGGGACCTCCTCCCTCACTACTGTAACTGAACCAACAGCGACCTCCTCCCTCACTACTGTAACTGAACCAAACCAACAGCGACAGTAACTGAACCAACAGCGACCTCCTCCTCACTACTGTAACTGAACCAACAGCGACCTCCTCCCTCACTACTGTAACTGAACCAACAGCGACCTCCTCCCTCACTACTGTAACTGAGCCAACAGCGACCTCCTCCCTCACTACTGTAACTGAACCAACAGCGACCTCCTCCCTCACTACTGAGCCAACAGCGACCTCCTCCCTCACTACTGACTGCCAACAGCGACCTCCTCCCTCACTACTGTAACTGAGCCAACAGCGACCTCCTCCCTCACTACTGTAACTCCTCCTCCCTCACTACTGTAACTGAGCCAACAGCGACCTCCTCCCTCACTACTGTAACTGAGCCAACAGCGACCTCCTCCCTCACTACTGTAACTGAGCCAACAGCGACCTCCTCCTCACTACTGTAACTGAGCCAACAGCGACCTCCTCCCTCACTACTGTAACTGAGCCAACAGCGACCTCCTCCCTCACTACTGTAACTGAGCCAACAGCGACCTCCTCCCTCACTACTGTAACTGAGCCAACAGCGACCTCCTCCCTCACTACTGTAACTGAGCCAACAGCCAACGACCTCCTCCTACTGTAACTGAGCCAACAGCGACTCACTGTAACTGAGCCAACAGCGACCTCCTCCCTCACTACTGTAACTGAGCCAACAGCGACCTCCTCCCTCACTACTGTGAGCCAACAGCGACCTCCTCCCTCACTACTGAGCCAACAGCGACCTCCTCCCTCACTACTGTAACTGAGCCAACAGCGACCTCCTCCCTCACTACTGAACCAACAGCGACCTCCTCCCTCACTACTGTAACTGAGCCAACAGCGACCTCCTCCTGTAACTGAGCCAACAGCGACTCACTACTGTAACTGAGCCAACAGCGACCTCCTCCCTCACTACTGTAACTGAGCCAACAGCGACCTCCTCTACAGTAACTGAGCCAACAGCGACCTCCTCCCTCACTACTGTAACTGAGCCAACAGCGACCTCCTCCCTCACTACTGTAACTGAGCCAACAGCGACCTCCTCCCTCACTACTGTAACTGTAACTGAACCAACAGCGACCTCCTCCCTCACTACTGTAACTGAGCCAACAGCGACCTCCTCCCTCACTAACTGAGCCAACAGCGACCTCCTCCCTCACTACTGTAACTGAACCAACAGCGACCTCCTCCCCACTCACTACTGTAACTGAACCAACAGCGACCTCCTCCCTCACTACTGTAACTGAGCCAACAGCGACCTCCTCCCTCACTACTGTAACTGAGCCAACAGCGACCTCCTCCCTCACTACTGTAACTGAGCCAACAGCGACCTCCTCTCTCACTACTGTAACTGAGCCAACAGCGACCTCCTCCCTCACTACTGTAACTGAGCCAACAGCGACTTCCTCCCTCACTACTGTAACTGACAGCGACCTCCCAACAGCGACCTCCTCCCTCACTACTGTAACTGAGCCAACAGCGACCTCCTCCCTCACTACTGTAACTGTACCAACAGCGACCTCCTCCCTCACTACTGTAACTGAGCCAACAGCGACCTCCTCCCTCACTACTGTAACTGAGCCAACAGCGACCTCCTCTCACTACTGTAACTCACTACTGTACTACTGAGCCAACAGCAGCGACCTCCTCCCTCACTACTGTAACTGAGCCAACAGCGACCTCCTCCCTCACTACTGTAACTGAACCAACAGCGACCTCCTCCCTCACTACTGTAACTGAGCCAACAGCGACCTCCTCCCTCACTACTGTAACTGAGCCAACAGCGACCTCCTCCCTCACTACTGTAACTGAGCCAACAGCGACCTCCTCCCTCACTACTGTAACTGAGCCAACAGCGACCTCCTCCCTCACTACTGTAACTGCCAACAGCGACCTCCTCCCTCACTACAGTAACTGACCAACAGCGACCTCTCCTCACTACTGTAACTGAGCCAACAGCGACCTCCTCCCTCACTACTGTAACTGCCAACAGCGCCAACAGCCAACGACCTCCTCCCTCACTACTGTAACTGAGCCAACAGCGACCTCCTCCCTCCTGTCACTACTGTAACTGAGCCAACAGCGACCTCCTCCCTCACTACTGTAACTGAGCCAACAGCGACTCCTCCCTCACTACTGTAACTGAGCCAACAGCGACCTCCTCCCTCACTACTGTAACTGACTGAGTCACTACCAACTGAGCCAACGACCTCCTCCCTCACTACTGTAACTGAGCCAACAGCGACCTCCTCCCTCACTACTGTAACACCAACAGCGACCTCCTCCCTCACTACTGTAACTGTAACTGAGCCAACAGCGACCTCCTCCCTCACTACAGTAACTGAGCCAACAGCGACCTCCTCCCTCACTACTGTAACTGAGCCAACAGCGACCTCCTGAGCCAACAGCGACCTCCTCCCTCACTACTGTAACTCGACCTCCTCCTCACTACTGTAACTGAGCCAACAGCGACCTCCTCCCTCACTACTGTAACTGAGCCAACAGCGACCTCCTCCCTCACTACTGTAACTGAGCCAACAGCGACCTCCTCCCTCACTACTGTAACTGAGCCAACAGCGACCTCCTGTCACTACTGTAACTGAGCCAACAGCGACCTCCTCCTCACTACTGTAACTGAGCCAACAGCGACCTCCTCCTCACTACTGTAACTGAGCCAACAGCGACCTCCTCCCTCACTACTGTAACTGAGCCAACAGCGACCTCCTCCCTCACTACTGTAACTGAGCCAACAGCGACCTCCTCCCTCACTACTGTAACTGAGCCAACAGCGACCTCCTCCCTCACTACTGTAACTGAGCCAACAGCGACCTCCTCCCTCACTACTGTAACTGAGCCAACAGCGACCTCCTCCCTCACTACTGTAACTGAGCCAACAGCGACCTCCTCCCTCACTACTGTAACTGAGCCAACAGCGACCTCCTCCCTCACTACTGTAACTGAGCCAACAGCGACCTCCTCCCTCACTACTGTAACTGAGCCAACAGCGACCTCCTCCCTGTCACTACTGTAACTGAGCCAACAGCGACCTCCTCCCTCACTACTGTAACTGAGCCAACAGCGACCTCCTCCCCTCACTACTGTAACTGAGCCAACAGCGACCTCCTCCCTCACTACTGTAACTGACCTCCTCCCTCACTACCAACACAGCGACCTCCTCCCTCACTACTGTAACTGAGCCAACAGCGACCTCCTCCCTCACTACTGTAACTGAGCCAACAGCGACCTCCTCCCTCACTACTGTAACTGAGCCAACAGCGACCTCCTCCCTCACTACTGTAACTGAGCCAACAGCGACCTCCTCCCTCACTACTGTAACTGAGCCAACAGCGACCTCCTCCCTCACTACTGTAACTGAGCCAACAGCGACCTCCTCCCTCACTACTGTAACTGAGCCAACAGCGACCTCCTCCTCACTACTGTAACTGAGCCAACAGCGACCTCCTCCCTCACTACTGTAACTGAGCCAACAGCGACCTCCTCCCTCACTACTGTAACTCCTCCCTCACTACTGTAACTGAGCCAACAGCGACCTCCTCCCTCACTACTGTAACTGAGCCAACAGCGACCTCCTCCCTCACTACTGTAACTGAGCCAACAGCGACCTCCTCCCTCACTACTGTAACTGAGCCAACAGCGACCTCCTCACTACTGTAACTCGACCTCCTCCTCACTACTGTAACTGAGCCAACAGCGACCTCCTCCTCACTACCTCACTACTGTAACTGAGCTCACTACAGTAAGAGCCAACAGCGACCTCCTCCCTCACTACTGTAACTGAGCCAACAGCGACCTCCTCCCTCACTACTGTAACTGAGACCTCCTCCCTCACTACTGTAACTGAGCCAAACAGCGACCTCCTCCCTCACTACTGTAACTGAGCCAACAGCGACTCACTGTAACTGAGCCAACAGCGACCTCCTCCCTCACTACTGTAACTGAGCCAACAGCGACCTCCTCCCTCACTACTGTAACTGAGCCAACAGCGACCTCCTCCTTCACTACAGTAACTGAGCCAACAGCGACCTCCTCCCTCACTACTGTAACTGAGCCAACAGCGACCTCCTCCCTCACTACTGTAACTGAGCCAACAGCGACCTCCTCCCTCACTACTGTAACTGAACCAACAGCGACCTCCTCCCTCACTACTGTAACTGAGCCAACAGCGACCTCCTCCCTCACTACTGTAACTGAGCCAACAGCGACCTCCTCCCTCACTACTGTAACTGTGCCAACAGCGACTGTAACTGACTGCCAACAGCGACCTCCTCCCTCACTACTGTAACTACCTCCTCCTGTAACTGAGCCAACAGCGACCTCCTCCCTCACTACTGTAACTGAGCCAACAGCGACCTCCTCCCTCACTACTGTAACTGAGCCAACAGCGACCTCCTCCCTCACTACTGTAACTGAGCCAACAGCGACCTCCTCCCTCACTACTGTAACTGAGAACCAACAGCGACCTCCTCCCTCACTACTGTAACTGAGCCAACAGCGACCTCCTCCCTCACTACTGTAACTGAGCCAACAGCGACCTCCTCCCTCACTACTGTAACTGAGCCAACAGCGACCTCCTCCTCACTACTGTAACTGAGCCAACAGCGACCTCCTCCCTCACTACTGTAACTGAGCCAACAGCGACCTCCTCCCTCACTACTGTAACTGAGCCAACAGCGACCTCCTCCCTCACTACTGTAACTGAGCCAACAGCGACCTCCTCCCTCACTACTGTAACTGAGCCAACAGCGACCTCCTCCCTCACTACTGTAACTGAGCCAACAGCGACCTCCTCCCTCACTACTGTAACTGAGCCAACAGCGACCTCCTCCCTCACTACTGTAACTGAGCCAACAGCGACCTCCTCCCTCACTACTGTAACTGAGCCAACAGCGACCTCCTCCCTCACTACTGTAACTGAACCAACAGGGACCTCCTCCTCACTACTGTAACTGAGCCAACAGCGACCTCCTCCCTCACTACTGTAACTGAGCCAACAGCGACCTCCTCCCTCACTACTGTAACTGAGCCAACAGCGACCTCCTCCCTCACTACTGTAACTGAGCCAACAGCGACCTCCTCCCTCACTACTGTAACTGAGCCAACAGCGACCTCCTCCTCACTACTGTAACTGAGCCAACAGCGACCTCCTCCCTCACTACTGTAACTGAGCCAACAGCGACCTCCTCCCTCACTACTGTAACTGAGCCAACAGCGACCTCCTCCTGTAACTCACTACTACTGTAACTGAGCCAACAGCGACCTCCTCCCTCACTACTGTAACTGAGCCAACAGCGACCTCCTCCCTCACTACTGTAACTGAGCCAACAGCGACCTCCTCCCTCACTACTGTAACTGAGCCAACAGCGACCTCCTCCCTCACTACTGTAACTGAGCCAACAGCGACCTCCTCCCTCACTACTGTAACTGAGCCAACAGCGACCTCCTCCCTCACTACAGTAACTGAGCCAACAGCGACCTCCTCCCTCACTACTGTAACTGAGCCAACAGCGACCTCCTCCCTCACTACTGTAACTGAGCCAACAGCGACCTCCTCCCTCACTACTGTAACTGAGCCAACAGCGACCTCCTCCCTCACTACTGTAACTGAGCCAACAGCGACCTCCTCCCTCACTACTGTAACTGAGCCAACAGCGACCTCCTCCCTCACTACTGTAACTGAGCCAACAGCGACCTCCTCACTACTGTCACTACTGTAACTGAGCCAACAGCGACCTCCTCCCTCACTACTGTAACTGAGCCAACAGCGACCTCCTCTACTGTAACTCACTACTGTAACTGAGCCAACAGCGACCTCCTCCTGTAACTCACTACTGTAACTGAGCCAACAGCGACCTCCTCCCTCACTACTGTAACTGAGCCAACAGCGACCTCCTCCCTCACTACTGTAACTGAGCCAACAGCGACCTCCTCCCTCACTACTGTAACTGAGCCAACAGCGACCTCCTCCCTCACTACTGTAACTGAGCCAACAGCGACCTCCTCCCTCACTACTGTAACTGAGCCAACAGCGACCTCCTCCCTCACTACTGTAACTGAGCCAACAGCGACCTCCTCCTCCTACTGTCACTACTGTAACTGAGCCAACAGCGACCTCCTCCCTCACTACTGTAACTGAGCCAACAGCGACCTCCTCCCTCACTACTGTAACTGAGCCAACAGCGACCTCCTCCCTCACTACTGTAACTGAGCCAACAGCGACCTCCTCCCTCACTACTGTAACTGAGCCAACAGCGACCTCCTCCCTCACTACTGTAACTGAGCCAACAGCGACCTCCTCCCTCACTACTGTAACTGAGCCAACAGCGACCTCCTCCCTCACTACTGTAACTGAGCCAACAGCGACCTCCTCCCTCACTACTGTAACTGAGCCAACAGCGACCTCCTCCTCACTACTGTAACTCGACCTCCTCCCTCACTACAGTCAACAGCGACCTACTACTGTAACTGAGCCAACAGCGACCTCCTCCCTCACTACTGTAACTGAGCCAACAGCGACCTCCTCCCTCACTACTGTAACTGAGCCAACAGCGACCTCCTCCCCCTCACTACTGTAACTGAGCCAACAGCGACCTCCTCACCTGTAACTCACTACTGTAACTGAGCCAACAGCGACCTCCTCCCTCACTACTGTAACTGAGCCAACAGCGACCTCCTCCCTCACTACTGTAACTGAGCCAACAGCGACCTCCTCCCTCACTACTGTAACTGAGCCAACAGCGACACTACCTGAGCCAACAGCGACCTCCCTCACTACTGTCACTACTGTAACTGAGCCAACAGCGACCTCCTCCTTCACTACTGTAACTGAGCCAACAGCGACCTCCTCCCTCACTACTGTAACTGAGCCAACAGCGACCTCCTCCCTCACTACTGTAACTGAGCCAACAGCGACCTCCTCCCTCACTACTGTAACTGAGCCAACAGCGACCTCCTCCCTCACTACAGTAACTGAGCCAACAGCGACCTCCTCCCTCACTACTGTAACTGAGCCAACAGCGACCTCCTCCCTCACTACTGTAACTGAGCCAACAGCGACCTCCTCCTTCACTACTGTAACTGAGCCAACAGCGACCTCCTCCCTCACTACTGTAACTGAGCCAACAGCGACCTCCTCCCTCACTACTGTAACTGAGCCAACAGCGACCTCCTCCTCCTACTGTAACTCACTACTGTAACTGAGCCAACAGCGACCTCCTCCTGTAACTCACTACTACTGTAACTGAGCCAACAGCGACCTCCTCCCTCACTACTGTAACTGAGCCAACAGCGACCTCCTCCTCACTACCTCACTACTGTAACTGAGCCAACAGCGACCTCCTCCTCACTACTGTAACTACAGCGACCTCCTCCCTCACTACTGTAACTGAGCCAACAGCGACCTCCTCCCTCACTACTGTAACTGAGCCAACAGCGACCTCCTCCTTCACTACTGTAACTGAGCCAACAGCGACCTCCTCCCTCACTACTGTAACTGAGCCAACAGCGACCTCCTCCTCCCTCACTACTGTAACTGAGCCAACAGCGACCTCCTCCCTCACTACTGTAACTGAGCCAACAGCGACCTCCTCCCTCACTACTGTAACTGAGCCAACAGCGACCTCCTCCCTCACTACTGTAACTGAGCCAACAGCGACCTCCTCCCTCACTACTGTAACTGAGCCAACAGCGACCTCCTCCTGTAACTCACTACTGTAACTGAGCCAACAGCGACCTCCTCCTGTAACTCACTACTGTAACTGAGCCAACAGCGACCTCCTCCTACTGTAACTACAGCGTAACTGAGCCAACAGCGACCTCCTCCCTCACTACTACTGTAACTGAGCCAACAGCGACTGTAACTGAGCCAACAGCCTCCTCCCTCACTACTGTAACTGAGCCAACAGCGACCTCCTCCCTCACTACTGTAACTGAGCCAACAGCGACCTCCTCCCTCACTACTGTAACTGAGCCAACAGCGACCTCCTCTCCTCTGTAACACTACTGTAACTGCCAACAGCGACCTCCTCCCTCACTACTGTAACTGAGCCAACAGCGACCTCCTCCCTCACTACTGTAACTGAGCCAACAGCGACCTCCTCCCTCACTACTGTAACTGAGCCAACAGCGACCTCCTCCCTCACTACTGTAACTGAGCCAACAGCGACCTCCTCCCTCACTACTGTAACTGAGCCAACAGCGACCTCCTCCCTCACTACTGTAACTGAGCCAACAGCGACCTCCCTCACTACCTCCTCACTACTGTAACTGAGCCAACAGCGACCTCCTCCCTCACTACTGTAACTCACTACTGTAACTGAGCCAACAGCGACCTCCTCCCTCACTACTGTAACTGAGCCAACAGCGACCTCCTCCCTCACTACTGTAACTGAGCCAACAGCGACCTCCTCCCTCACTACTGTAACTGAGCCAACAGCGACCTCCTCCCTCACTACTGTAACTGAGCCAACAGCGACTGTAACTGAGCCAACAGCGACCTCCTCCCTCACTACTGTAACTGAGCCAACAGCGACCTCCTCCCTCACTACTGTAACTGAGCCAACAGCGACCTCCTCCCTCACTACTGTAACTGAGCCAACAGCGACCTCCTCCCTCACTACTGTAACTGAGCCAACAGCGACCTCCTCCCTCACTACTGTAACTGAGCCAACAGCGACCTCCTCCCTCACTGTAACTGAGCCAACAGCGACCTCCTCCCTCACTACTGTAACTGAGCCAACAGCGACCTCCTCCCTCACTACTGTAACTGAGCCAACAGCGACCTCCTCCCTCACTACTGTAACTGAGCCAACAGCGACCTCCTCCCTCACTACTGTAACTGAGCCAACAGCGACCTCCTCCCTCACTACTGTAACTGAGCCAACAGCGACCTCCTCCCTCACTACTGTAACTGAGCCAACAGCGACCTCCTCCCTCACTACTGTAACTGAGCCAACAGCGACCTCCTCCTCACTACTGTAACTGAGCCAACAGCGACCTCCTCCCTCACTACTGTAACTGAGCCAACAGCGACCTCCTCCTCACTACTGTAACTGAGCCAACAGCGACCTCCTCCTCACTACTGTAACTGAGCCAACAGCGACCTCCTCCTCACTACTGTAACTGAGCCAACAGCGACCTCCTCCCTCACTACTGTAACTGAGCCAACAGCGACCTCCTCGACCTCCTCCCTCACTACTGTAACTGAGCCAACAGCGACCTCCTCACTACTGTAACTACAGCGACCTCCTCCCTCACTAACTGAGCCAACAGCGACCTCCTCCCTCACTACTGTAACTGAGCCAACAGCGACCTCCTCCCTCACTACTGTAACTGAGCCAACAGCGACCTCCTCCTCACTACTGTAACTGAGCCAACAGCGACCTCCTCCTCACTACTGTAACTGAGCCAACAGCGACCTCCTCCCTCACTACTGTAACTGAGCCAACAGCGACAGCGTACTGTAACTGAGCCAACAGCGACCTCCTCCTCACTACTGTAACTGAGCCAACAGCGACCTCCTCCCTCACTACTGTAACTGAGCCAACAGCGACCTCCTCCCTCACTACTGTAACTGAGCCAACAGCGACCTCCTCCCTCACTACTGTAACTGAGCCAACAGCGACCTCCTCCCTCACTACTGTAACTGAGCCAACAGCGACCTCCTCCCTCACTACTGTAACTGAGCCAACAGCGACCTCCTCCCTCACTACTGTAACTGAGCCAACAGCGACCTCCTCCAGTAACTCACTACTGTAACTGAGCCAACAGCGACCTCCTCCCTCACTACTGTAACTGAGCCAACAGCGACCTCCTCCCTCACTACTGTAACTGAGCCAACAGCGACCTCCTCCCTCACTACTGTAACTGAGCCAACAGCGACCTCCTCTTTCACTCCTGTAACTGAGCCAACAGCGACCTCCTCCCTCACTACTGTAACTGAACCAACAGGGACCTCCTCCCTCACTACTGTAACTGACCTCCTCCTTCACCAACAGCCAACAGCGACCTCCTCCCTCACTACTGTAACTGAACCAACAGCGACCTCCTCCCTCACTACTGTAACTGAGCCAACAGCGACCTCCTCCCTCACTACTGTAACTGAGCCAACAGCGACCTCCTCCCTCACTACTGTAACTGAGCCAACAGCGACCTCCTCCCTCACTACTGTAACTGAGCCAACAGCGACCTCCTCCCTCACTACTGTAACTGAGCCAACAGCGACCTCCTCCCTCACTACTGTAACTGAGCCAACAGCGACCTCCTCCCTCACTACTGTAACTGAGCCAACAGCGACCTCCTCCCTCACTACTGTAACTGAGCCAACAGCGACCTCCTCCCTCACTACTGTAACTGAGCCAACAGCGACCTCCTCCCTCACTACTGTAACTGAGCCAACAGCGACCCTCCCTCACTACTGTAACTGAGCCAACAGCGACCTCCTCCCTCACTACTGTAACTGAGCCAACAGCGACCTCCTCCCTCACTACTGTAACTGAGCCAACAGCGACCTCCTCCCTCACTACTGTAACTGAGCCAACAGCGACCTCCTCCCTCACTACTGTAACTGAGCCAACAGCGACCTCCTCCCTCACTACTGTAACTGAGCCAACAGCGACCTCCTCCCTCACTACTGTAACTGAGCCAACAGCGACCTCCTCCCTCACTACTGTAACTGAGCCAACAGCGACCTCCTCCCTCACTACTGTAACTGAGAGCGACCTCCTCCCTCACTACTGTAACTGAGCCAACAGCGACCTCCTCCCTCACTACTGTAACTGTAACCAACAGCGACCTCCTCCCTCACTACTGTAACTGAACCAACAGCGACCTCCTCCTTCACTACTGTAACTGAGCCAACAGCGACCTCCTCCGTCACTACAGTAACTGAGCCAACAGCGACCTCCTCCTTCACTACTGTAACTGAACCAACAGCGACCTCCTCCTTCACTACTGTAACTGAGCCAACAGCGACCTCCTCCGTCACTACAGTAACTGAGCCAACAGCGACCTCCTTCCTCACTACTGTAACTGAGCCAACAGCGACCTCCTCCCTCACTACTGTAACTGAGCCAACAGCGACCTCCTCCCTCACTACTGTAACTGAGCCAACAGCGACCTCCTCCCTCACTACTGTAACTGAGCCAACAGCGACCTCCTCCCTCACTACTGTAACTGAGCCAACAGCGACCTCCTCCCTCACTACTGTAACTGAGCCAACAGCGACCTCCTCCCTCACTACTGTAACTGAGCCAACAGCGACCTCCTCCCTCACTACAGTAACTGAACCAACAGTGACCTCCTCCTTCACTACAGTAACTGAACCAACAGCGACCTCCTCCTTCACTACAGCAACAGAACCAACAACGACCTCCTCTCTCACTACTGTAACTGAGCCAACAGGGACCTCCTTCACTACAGTAACTGAACCAACAGCGACCTCCTCCCTCACTACTGTAACTGAACCAACAGGGACCTCCTCCTTCACTACAGTAACAGAACCAACAGTGACCTCCTCCCTCACTACTGTAACTGAGCCAACAGCGACCTCCTCCCTTACTACAGTAACTGAACCAACAGCGACCTCCTCCCTCACTACTGTAGCTGAACCAACATCGACCTCCTCCCTCACCACTGTAGCTGAACCAACATCGACCTCCTCCCTCACCACTGTAACTGAACCAACAACGACCTCCTACCTCACTACTGTAACTGAAATAACATCGACCTCCTCCCTTACTACTTTAACTGAACCAACATCGACCTCGTCCCTCACTACTGTAACTGAGCCAACATCGACCTCCTACCTCACTACTGTAACTGAGCCAACATCGACCTCCTACCTCACTACTGTAACTGAACCAACATCGACCTCGTCCCTCACTACTGTAACTGAGCCAACGGCGACCTCCTCCCTCACTACTATGAGGGAGGCTTCAAGCCACGTACACACACCAGTAACAACAGAGCTCACTTCATCTACTAGTACGACAACCCCGGCGCCTACAACCGCCACAACCTCTCCACCTCCTGCGGTGTGTGACGACACATTTGTTAGCGACGATGACAATCACCAGGCTGTTAATCCCAGCTTGTCCGGTTGCGACGTCGAGAATTTCGAACGCTGCCAGAGGGACGAGAGCGGCCAGGCACGGTGCCTGTGTATGGCCGGCTACCAGAAGTCCAGCTACGTGGCTGGCTCCACCTGCAAAGGTTTGTTGACTCTCTCTTTGTATCACACAAGGTTTTGCAATCGCTTTTGTGGAATTTTTAGAGACATATTACCTTCCAGATCTTAATATGAGCTCCACAGTTCACACAACTCATAAATTCAGTCACTGAATGAGTAAAAGAAATTGTGTCGGATGGAAACTATCGCTGATAAACAAAAATCTGACTTTAGGTCGGAATTCAGCGAAACATATTACATAAGAATCACTGTAAGTGTTCCGTGTTACAAAAACATGTTAATCATAATACTGTATTTCAAAACTGGAGACTAAAAATTCCACAATAAGCAAAATATTTAAGACATCCAGAGAAGCCTTTGACAACTTACAATATCAAAGGTTGCTAAATAATCGTTAGGCTCATGCTTTCGTGGTAGTTTTGGGGTGCCCCAGGGATCGTGTGGTGCCCCAGGGATCGTGTAGTGCCCCAGGGATCGTGTGGTGCCCCAGGGATCGTGTAGTGCCCCAGGGCTCGTGTGGTGCCCCAGGGATCGTGTAGTGCCCCAGGGATCGTGTAGTGCCCCAGGGATCGTGTGGTGCCCCAGGGATCGTGTAGTGCCCCAGGGATCGTGTGGTGCCCCAAGGATCGTGTAGTGCCCCAGGGCTCGTGTAGTGCCCCAGGGATCGTGTAGTGCCCCAGGGATCGTGTAGTGACCCAGGGATCGTGTAGTGCGCCAGGGATTATGTAGTGCCCCAGGGATCGTGTAGTGCCCCAGGGATCGTGTAGTGCCCCAGGGATCGTGTAGTGCCCCAGGGATCGTGTGGTGCCCCAGGGATCGTGTAGTGACCCAGGGATCGTGTAGTGCCCCAGGGATCGTGTAGTGCCCCAGGGATCGTGTAGTGCCCCAGGGATCGTGTAGTGCCCCAGGGATCGTGTAGTGCCCCAGGGATCATGTAGTGCCCCAGGGATCGTGTAGTGCCCAGGGATCGTGTAGTGCCCCAGGGATCGTGTAGTGCCCCAGGGATCGTGTAGTGCCCCAGGGATCGTGTAGTGCCCCAGGGATCGTGTAGTACCCCAGGGATCGTGTAGTGCCCCAGGGATCGTGTAGTGCCCCAGGGATCATGTAGTGCCCCAGGGATCGTGTGGTGCCTCCAGGGATCATGTAGTGCCCCAGGGATCGTGTAGTGCCCCAAGGATCGTGTAGTGCCCCAGGGATCGTGTAGTGCCCCAGGGATCGTGTAGTGCCCCAGGGATCGTGTAGTGCCCCAGGGATCGTGTAGTGCCCCAGGGATCGTGTAGTGCCCCAGGGATCGTGTAGTGCCCCAGGGATCGTGTGGTGCCCCAGGGATCGTGTAGTGCCCCAAGATCCTCCTTCTCCTAGAGGGTCATACCACATTTTGTCTAACTTTACTCAAGTAGTAAATAACACATTGCGCATCTTAAATTGACTCCATATTTTTTTCATTTACTTGTAAGAAATTTTTTTATTTTTATAATATTTTATTTATTTGTATTAATTTTTACTACATTATTAATATTCGATACGGAGTGAAGTTGGACTCAATTGTGGTCCTCTGTTTTCAATTGGCCTGTTGACGACTTCTCTAGTCTCTGTTGTGGTTTCTTGTTCCAAACGCGTGGCAGGCAAGGGGGGGTGATTGATCGATGATGAAGCTATTTCCATGAGATGGTTCAGCCATCTTCAATGAAGTTATTCTCTCTTCGTTAACAATAAAAAATTCTTCTCTCTGCATTAATGACATGTTCTTGTAAAGCTAACGTGTTTACTGTGTGATGTGGCGGCAGAGTTGAAGAACCACGAGACCCAGATGACCGTCCAGGACACACCCTGGGACCTCCAGTACTGCAACAACACTTCCCCGTTATATCAAGACCTCTTGAAAACCATCCAACACCTGGTAAGTGTTGACCGTGTGTGTGTGTACTCACCTAATTGTACTCACCTAATTGTGCTTGCGGGGGTTGAGCTCTGGCTCTTTGGTCCCGCCTCTCAACCGTCAATCAACTGGTGTACAGATTCCTGAGCCTATTGGGCTCTATCATATCTACATTTGAAACTGTGAATGGAGTCAGCCTCCACCACATCACTTCCTAATGCATTCCATTTGCTAACTACTCTGACACTGAAAAAGTTCTTTCTAACGTCTCTGTGGCTCATTTGGGTACTCAGCTTCCACCTGTGTCCCCTTGTTCGCGTCCCACCAGTGTTGAAAAGTTCATCCTTGTTTACCCGGTCGATTCCCCTGAGGATTTTGTAGGTTGTGATCATGTCCCCCCTTACTCTTCTGTCTTCCAGTGTCGTGAGGTGCATTTCCCGCAGCCTTTCCTCATAACTCATGTGTGTGTGTGTGTGTGTGTGTGTGTGTGTGTGTGTGTGTGTGTGTGTGTGTGTGTGTGTGTGTGTGTGTGTGTGTGTGTGTGTGTGTGTGTGTGTGTACGAAAATAGGTCCAAGATAAAATGTCTGCTAATATCACCGACCCCAGCAACTTGCACTTTCTCCACAGGCAGTAACACAGACTGTCTTTGGTTACACGCTCTATCACCAAAGCGATACACTGTGGGAACAGGTACAGTAAATGGTTCTCTGCTACACGCACAATTCATCAATTTCCAGGTGATAGCAAATAATCAAGATACATAGGCTATTTATGCTTTTAAACCATGCTATGTACGTAAGCTATATATATATAAGAATGTCTGATTTTCAGTCTGTCTAAGGATTCAAACCTGATGCTTAGGTCTTGCATCAAGCCTGATGCAATGAACCCCATGACGACTCTAGCTCTTGCATTTTGGCTCAACTATAATGCAAAACACTATGTGCTGATCATGCCAAAATTTCACCACCTTCGCTATGCTTCATCACTTACCTTACCTGTAACCCTTCACCACCTTCCTTACCCTTTACCCATAACCACCTTCCTTACCCTTTACCCTTAACCACCTTCCTTACTCCCTAACCACCTTCCTTACCCTTAACCACCTTCCTTACCCTTAACCACCTTCCTTACTCCCTAACCACCTTCCTTACCCTTAACCACCTTCCTTATCCTTAACCACCTTCCTTACTCCCTAACCACCTTCCTTACCCTTTACCCCTAACCACCTTCCTTACTCCCTAACTGTCGGAAAATCCGACAGCATTTAATATATCATACATACAGATAATAGCTGTATTACCAACAAGTTACCCATAGAAAACGTAACTTGTAGTGGAATTACCGTCTATAGAAAACGGGATATCATCACCACATACTATTATAATTCACCAGCTATTCTGCTGGGAATTATTCTTAAATACATTAGTCTTTGGACTTTACCATCATAAAAACATCTTATATAAATTAACTTAATTATCAATATTAAAGTAGAGTAAATGTGACCCTTCTATCACTTTCTGAAATCTGGACAAAGTAGGCCAGGCGTCAGAGTGGAGGAGGAGGGCAGCCATTGTTGTTGATATTGAGACCAGCGGCTCACACGGGAGCAAATTCGGCTCCTGTTAAATTTACTTGGACGTAGTGTTATGGAAACTAAAAGTGTACCATTATCAACACGCTGTCTACAAATTCAAGTTAAGTGTCTATCCGAAACCCATTATCTATCATTAGTGGCCATTAATGTCATTGGGTAGGGTTATCCGGTTAGATCACATGGAAGCCTCAAACTAAAGGTAATTAAGCCAGGTCTTCATGTTCCATGTACTGTATACTGTTTTCTCTGATATACTTGTCATATATAGGATTCTGGCTTCACAGCTAGCGCACTTTTGACAGGTCAAGACGAGGATGCAAGATTATGTGCACCAGTTACTGGGTGATATGGAAGCTACCTCAAAGAGGATAATTTGGTGTCTACACCCTAGTTATACCTGGTGGACTAACCTGCTGTACTATAAGATAAGGAACCTCTTCAATGTTTAATGTATGTAGTTACTGTAGTTTGATTGGCTGCATACATATAAATATAAACCCCCCTAATGTGTAGAGGATCGATTTGTGAGATTGAGATTATTGCAGAAATACAGTCCACTTATCATTATACAAATTGCTATCGAAGTATATAAATTAACGTAAATATAAATTCATATAAATTAAATAAATATAAATCTCACAGGTCGGTTCCCACATTATTTGGTCATCTTCGAACCGGATGACGGATTATTTGATCCTTTGAACCCACATTTGGTCATCTTAGTACCGGATGAACCAGTTATCCAGTGGATTCATTAAATACTAGTGCAGTGTTATTTAAACAAAGCCAGCCAGTCATAGACGGCAGCGTAGCCTCGAGGGAGCTCAGGAGCCTCCCTCAGCCCAGTTCAGCCTTAGTCAGCGGTTTCATGCACACCCACAGATATTTGGTGGCGTGTTATTTCGTGAAATGACAGCGCTAATATAGAATCCAGCCAAATTAGTGACTGTGTCTTCGCGAGATTGTTCACGGATTTCGTGGTGTTACATTTCGCGAGAGATTATCTACGAATTTTGTGGACTTTATTTCGCGAGGTCACTAATAATATTTAATACTTCTAGATAATATTAGAAGTTTCATAGAGGCTAATTAAGAGGCTATTATCAATAATTGTGTATATTATTTCTCCAAAATAGAGAATTATTTAATATATATTGCACTAGTGATCACAGTATAATATTTACTAATTGCCAACCCACAACAGGGTAGGATATTAACCATTGACTAGTTGAACTATTATCGTTCATCCTAGTCCCATTATTACAATAGTCAGTTGTACTATATTGAACAACCTAACACCATTAATGAATGGTCCAGACCCTATTTTGGGTGTAATTTTTATCAACTCGAGTTGAGTTGTATATATAATAAATTACTTATGATCATTACACCTTTGAGTGATTAATTAGTGTCTCTACCATCCTAGGGTGATATAGAAGAGCTAACCTAAAGGTACTTCCAGTGACACTGGTTTATCACTCAAATCATTAGTGTGGATGATTGTATATATATATAATGTGTATTAATTTTAAGTGCTAACCTCTAGTAGAGGTAGGATTATTGCCTAGTGAGTTCAGAATTTACCCTAGGCTACCATCAGAGCTTGTTCAGTATTATGAGCAGCCCAAGTACAAGCCCCACAAGGCTTTACCAACTAGCCAGTATGGATAATGCAGGGAGAATGAAAAGAACCCTTGCAGGTCTTAAAGGCCACTTAACAAGACAGATCAAGAAATGTGAAGATTTGTCACAACAATCTCAAGTTGATTATGCTGACCTGGAAAGCTATTATCAAGCAGCTGCAGGTAAATTTGAGCAAATCAAATGCCAAATAGCAACATATGTGGCTGAACTTGCCAACACCAATTTATCAGAAACAGAAATAGACGACATTATGGTTGATCTTGCGAATTATGAAGATCACACTCAGGCCACGTTACAGCCTTATGTCAAATTAATTGCCCAGAACAAGGCAACAGCAACAACAACAACAGTTGCATCTAATACGAGTCAAGCAGAAGCTCGACTCCCTCCAATTAATTTACCCACTTTCTCAGGAAAAGATGAGGAAGATTGGGACGAATTTTGGAACAAATTCGTTGACCTTGTAGACTCAAAACAATCTTTACCAAAGAGTAGTAAATTCTCTTATTTGCAAGGCCAATTATCAGGTGAGGCTAAAACAGTAGTATCCCATCTGAGATTAACTAATGACGGCTATGATCTGGCAGTAAAACTCCTCAAGGATAATTATGCTGATCCAGAAGTAAGAACATCACATTTAGTTCATGAGCTGTTGCATTTACCCCCACCGGAGGCTTCAGCTGATTCACTCCAAGTCTTCAAGCTGGAGGTAGAATCATTGATCAATGCCCTCAGCCTGACAGCAGATACAAACGGGGCTGAGTGGGTCTTGAAAATAATTGTCCAGGAGAAAATACCTAGGGACATATTGAGACAAATGAGTGCTCATTACAATAAAAGTATCTTATCCATGAATGAAATATCTGAAGGTTTAAAGTCAGTAGTTCATCAATTACGAACACATGACAAATTAAAACCACCAAGTAAACCCTCAGAAACCAATAATAGTAAACCACAGAGTACCAAAGGTACTCCAAATCAATCTAGACAATATAATTCAACACCAAAGTGGAACAGTGGCAGTGTGGGCGTATATGCAGTGGGACCCTCCAAGCCTATAGTTACTGTGTCACCCAAGAACATGACACCAAAGGGTACAGGAAGCTATGGAACATGTTTGTTCTGCAATGAGAAACATTCAATGTACCACTGCCCTAATTTTCCTGATAGTGACGCCCGTGTTGAGCGACTCAAAGATTTGCAACATTGCACGAGGTGCCTCAGGAAACATAACATCAAGGACTGTGATACCCAATTACACACCTGTAATAGGTGTAACAAAGGTCAGCACCATGCAGCATTGTGCAGAGACACCAAAACAACGTCTCCAAACCCCAAGGTGGAAGATAGCATTCCCACCACAGTACAGTACTGCAAGGTGCAACAAACAAAGAGTGTCCAATCGGCAAAGTCTAAAGGTAATACGACTTTGCCTACTGCCCAAATTACCATCCTGAATAAGAGGGCCAAGGTCCATACCCGTGGGTTGTTTGACCAAGGATCCCAGAGAACATATATCACCAAAAAGTTGGCAGATGAATTACAATTAAGGCCTGTAGCCCAGATGTCATTCAACATCTCAGGGTTTGTAACAGATGCAGGACCTCAAGTCTACCAGGTGGTACAACCATCAGTACGCTTAGGCAGGTACGTCTGTCGAGTACAAGCCATTGTGGTGGACAAAATACCAGTAGACCTACAAGTTCAAGGTCTGAGAGCAACAGCCAAATTCCTGAGAAATAGAGGAATAAAATTGGCAGATAATATTAAGTCTGATCACCTCACCGACTTCGGTCTCCTTGTAGGGACAGACTATTGTCATCGATTCATCGGTAGCCCTACTAAATATCAGGGTATAACCATGTTAAACTCTGCAGGAGGTAAATTACTCTCAGGCCCAGTATCAAGCCTGAGGAGACCTATGCCTGCAGATAAACAATACCAATAGAATCTAAATTTGTCAGCTGATTATATTTCTCCAGTAGCATTATACTAAGGAGATTACAGCTGACTATACCAACAGAAGTTGATGTTAGTATCATCATTTAAAGCTGGAGATGAGTTCATGAGGCCTCAGTGGCAAATCAGTGAACAGTAGCCTAAAACAGCTACAAGTCACTGCGACCAATGTCACTGAACCCACTGCAGTCTCAGAACCATACTTTACTTTAATGATGAGCTATTCAATCTTCTGAATCAATTAATTAAATTAAACCCCAATAAATCTGATGACTGATTTGATACATTTATTATTTAATCAAGATGTATTCCATGGGCCTCAGTGTTTATATATCAGTGACCAGTTACCTGAACAAACTTCAAGTTATATCTAATGTCACTGATCTCACTGCAGTCCCTGAATCATACTTGACTGTAGTACTTGATCACATCCAGTCTTTGGGGTTAAATAATATGTAATAAGGCTTGAATATTAGCCTTTCAAGAGTTGACAGGGAAATGAAATCGCATTAGACTTCTAACCCCTGCAACTCTAGTACGGGACATCCGTCCTGTACGAACAGACACACAAATGTGTGATTACTAACTATAATTTGAAGGAGGAGTATCGGTGTTCGTCTGTTCTAATTAGGACTTCGACCCGTGAGCAGCCCCCTGGGGAATTATGTCGGAAAATCCGACAGCATTTAATATATCATACATACAGATAATAGCTGTATTACCAACAAGTTACCCATAGAAAACGTAACTTGTAGTGGAATTACCGTCTATAGAAAACGGGATATCATCACCACATACTATTATAATTCACCAGCTATTCTGCTGGGAATTATTCTTAAATACATTAGTCTTTGGACTTTACCATCATAAAAACATCTTATATAAATTAACTTAATTATCAATATTAAAGTAGAGTAAATGTGACCCTTCTATCACTTTCTGAAATCTGGACAAAGTAGGCCAGGCGTCAGAGTGGAGGAGGAGGGCAGCCATTGTTGTTTATATTGAGACCAGAGGCTCACACGGGAGCAAATTCGGCTCCTGTTAAATTTACTTGGACGTAGTGTTATGGAAACTAAAAGTGTACCATTATCAACACGCTGTCTACAAATTCAAGTTAAGTGTCTATCCGAAACCCATTATCTATCATTAGTGGCCATTAATGTCATTGGGTAGGGTTATCCGGTTAGATCACATGGAAGCCTCAAACTAAAGGTAATTAAGCCAGGTCTTCATGTTCCATGTACTGTATACTGTTTTCTCTGATATACTTGTCATATATAGGATTCTGGCTTCACAGCTAGCGCACTTTTGACAGGTCAAGACGAGGATGCAAGATTATGTGCACCAGTTACTGGGTGATATGGAAGCTACCTCAAAGAGGATAATTTGGTGTCTACACCCTAGTTATACCTGGTGGACTAACCTGCTGTACTATAAGATAAGGAACCTCTTCAATGTTTAATGTATGTAGTTACTGTAGTTTGATTGGCTGCATACATATAAATATAAACCCCCCTAATGTGTAGAGGATCGATTTGTGAGATTGAGATTATTGCAGAAATACAGTCCACTTATCATTATACAAATTGCTATCGAAGTATATAAATTAACGTAAATATAAATTCATATAAATTAAATAAATATAAATCTCACAGGTCGGTTCCCACACTAACCACCTTCCTTACCCTTAACCACCCTCCTTACCCTTAACCACCTTCCTTACTCCCTAACCACCTTCCTTACCCTTAACCACCTTCCTTATCCTTAACCACCTTCCTTACCCTTAACCACCTTCCTTACCCTTAACCACCTTCCTTACCCTTCCCCACTTTTCATTACTTACCATTCACCACTGTACCCATTTACACTACAAACTGTTTTCATAAAATATAAATTACCTAAGACTAATATTTAATCATTTAGAAAATATTATAATGGATAAATCTTAGAGAGCATTGTCTGATATTTAGTGAGATTGGAATTTATATAATTTGCCCTTTTATGCAAAGGAGGGAGGGGGGGAGGTCGACTCTGCCGACCTATGACCATCCCCGAACACCCACCAGTCACCCTGCAAGGTATGGTGAGACTAACCTGAAGTGTCTGGCTTTCAACCTCGAACAAACAGACAGAAAAGTAACATTTGCAAATTTGCTGACGATATAAAAAAAAAGGCTGAGAAATTAATTCAGATGAAGATACAAAATCGCTACACGGCGATCTAGATCGGCTTTCAAAATAGACGAAAACTTGACAGATGCAGTTTAGCGCTGAAAAACTGTAGGGTTCCGAGGTTGGTTCCGAGGTTAGGCAATAATAAAAGCTTCCAGATATCAACTGGGAGAGTCACGATTAGTAGGAATCTTTTAAAAGCCAAAAATTCCAAGTAGGGATAATCCAAAAATTCCAAGTAGGGATAAGCCAAAAATTCCAAGTAGGGATAATCCAAAAATTCCAAGTAGGGATAATCCAAAAATTCCAAGTAGGGATAAGCCAAAAATTCAACGCATAAATGTACAGAATAAAACAAAACGATTACAGGGATCTATTCCTTGGAGCGTTAGCGACAAGACATTTAATACTGTATCTTTCTACAGTTCTGGTCTCAGTACTATAGAATGATCATAAATTCACTTGAACAAGTACAAAGAAGGATAACAAAGTTAATCCCCAGTGTATATAACGACTATAAAACAAAGTTATATAGTCGTTATATAGAGCTATAACAGTCATATAGTCGTAATGGCTTGGCGCTTTCCCCTGATAACTCCCTCCCCGGTGAAAGACATCTTCGGAACGAAGAGATTACTAAAAATGAAATTACGGTTTCTATAAAGACGTCGAGTAAGGGGTAACTTGACTGAAGTATATACTAGATGAATGAGTATAACGATGGGGATATATATAAGAACTCGACAATGGGTAAATACTGGTTTGGAAACCGTTGTTTGATTTATGGAACAAATTTCAGGGTAACATAATAGACAGGGGGGGTCGATGGATTGTTTTAGCCGTAGGTTAGAAATATCCTCATGCATATTTCCAACTATCCTCATGAATAAAGAAAATCAAGAAGAGACTTCAGCTTTTACACGAAACAGTTTCTATTAATATTCACTCAAACTCATTCATATAAGTTTGAGTGAATATTAATAGAAACTGTCTCGAGTAGAAGCTGGAGAATCTTCTTTGGCTTCCTTTATCCTTAAGTTTTTTTGTGTGTGTGTAAACAGTACCTGACGGCGGCCACAGAAGGCAACATGCTGGACCAGTACCAGAACTTCACAGAGATGGTGGTGTACCCTGAGGGTGACCCCGAGGGCTGCGACGCCCAGCTCCTGGCCCCCCGGCCCCCGCATGCTGCCAGGAAGAGACGCCAGGCTGAGTCAGTGGGTGCGGCGCCCACTGCTCCTCCCAACTCCCAGCACTACTCTACCAGACTCAGGAGGAACACACCTAAAAGGTCATCATCAATCTTATTATTAAAGAAAATTTACCGTCAGATTTAATCAGAAAGTCAAATTTTGTCAAAATATAATTTAACTAATGATAATTTGCCAATCACGTGGCGACAATTAACATTATTACAGACGATGAGTCACAGTAACGTGGCTGTAAAGAAGCATAAAGAAGTATCGGAAAATAGAGAAACGACGTTTCGATCCGTCCTGGACCATCATCACGACTTGATAATGCTCCAGGAGGGACCGAAACTTCGTCGTTTCTCCATTTTCTGATGTGTGGTTTGGTCGTTAATTTTATTATTTAGAAGTACTCGGTGGGAATTTTGTGTGCTTGTTAACTGATAAAATGCAAAGTATGTTCTAAAAAATGGTAGTACATAGTGTGAGTAAAGAGTATATGTACAAATACTGGACTGTGCCGCCCAATAAAAAAGTATGTTTTGCACTACTGGTATTGTAGAGGGTCCGAGAAAGACGTGAATAACATCTTTATTATAATTTTCCAAGGCTAAGTACAATACATATATGTACTACATTAGGGCTAAAATTACTTATATTGAACCTAGAATTGCTTATATTATGCCTAGGATAGATTTGATTAAGTTGTTGCATTTTTATGCCCTGTTGAATACAATAGTACAAAGCGTGGACTTTTGAGGGGATGAAATAGTCTATATTTTATTCATATTAATTTGGAAGAATGGATTGCACAATTCCCACTTATTCATGATATACAGTATCTGAACATATCTAACTATAATCAACTTTTGCTTTATAGGTATATAAGTTAGCTGAAGTTCTCCACGCATGTAGATGTGTTGATGCCCCGCCGCCTGCGCATTTAAATACATACTGTACAAGACAGTGGAGTGTGTTATTCTGTGAAATAGTTTATTCTCGTGTCCTGTTGGACCTGGCGACGTGGTAACGCGTCTAGTGAATCACCGGGAGCCTCACAGAATATATTAATGATCTTCCTCTTGATGGAGATTAATCAAAACTTTGAGTGATCGGACCTTAATTTCGACAGCATAAGCAATATACCGTTTTCAGTTGGTTTACTCCCAAATATTATTTGGCTGTTTAATGTAATATTCTGATTTATAACAAATAATATTAGAAATTATCTGTATGTGTTTGCAATACTAAAGTGTGGGAAATGTGTCAAGAATTTGAAGGAACCATTCCCTAAGTGGTGTGCGATATTCAGTATCACGTGTTGTGTCCGTCTCTAGTGCTAAACACGGGTTGTCAATCACCATTCTATAGCCTCGGCTCACAACCGAGGGACCCGGGTTCAATCCCAGAGCAGAACAGTAACGGTTGGACATGGTTCTTCTGTTCATCAAACGGTAAAATTAATACCCGGGAGTTAGGCAATTGTTGCGGGTTGAGTCCTAGCTCACTCCGTCGGAGTAAACCCACTGCTTCGGACGTATACCAGGAATTTGTGCAATGTCTCTTTGCCGTATTCTAACATGCTATTAGTGCAACACAATAGCAAATAGGCGTGAATTCAGCTCACTGATGGTCAAGACTCAAAAAGGGCAGAGAAGAGTAACGGGAAAATGTAGTTTCATAAAAATACAGTTGATAAAATAAATTACAAACATTAAACTTAAATTGAAAGCCTAGTCCAACTAAAAAAGTTCAAATCAAATCAAATCAAATGTTTATTTAGGTAAGGTACATACATACAAGAGATTTTACAAAGAGTGATGGATTTATAGTTAGGGCTAGTACATACAATGCCTAAAGCCACTATTACGCAAAGCGTTTCGGGCATTAAGTTCAATGCCTTGCGCGTAGCTTGCTCGCTAGGCTACACTGAAATAGGATGAAACCACAATTACTCAACTGGCTTCCATGGAAGCACAAACTCAAATAAACTTTGGAAAATACTTATACTTACACTTAATGAGGCTTGTCACTTTTCACCAAATATGCTTAAGTAATAATGTCAAAATCAGAATCGTCGTTAATTCATGAGCTTTCCAAGCTCTCGGAATACTAGGCTTCAAGGCAAATAATTCACATAAAATTTCTTAATACCTCCGGTGATCTTCGAATTCGTCACCAAAATGGGTGGATAAAATAAAGACAAAACACTAAATGCAATGACACTGACACTGCTACAAGAATTATACTCACACTGTACTTTTATTCCACTACCGAAAACCGTAGGGAATGTTAACACTACACGACTCAGGCTGTTAGTACACTTCACTCCACTAGAGAATTTAATGAACCTATTCCGTAGGCTACCACTCAAAAATGTCACTTGAGTAACAGAAATTCTCATTGGTTTATATTGTACTTCTCCCACTGTTAATTATACACAGTCAATGTCACTGGAGTAACAGGTAATCAGTTCTAGCACTGTACTTCTTAACCCTTAAGTATACCCCGCATATGTCACTGAAATAATGGGTTATCACTGCTGGCATTGTAATCTTCCACTGTTAATTATTCGCAGTTAATGTCACTGCAGTAGCAGGTAGATACTGTTAACACTACATTCCTTTAATTAGTAAAGTAAAGTAAGGTAATTATCAGGAGAAAGCGCCAAACTATTATGATTATATAGCATTTGGAAGGCATAAGGATATATGACAGAACGGGGAAAAAGGAATGATGCCCAACCACTTGAACGGTCGGGGGATTGAACGCCGACCTGCAAGAAGCGAGACCGTCCAGCTCAAGTGTAGTAGTAGTCGTAGTAGGCATCCATCAGTCTCAGGAGACTATGGAGTTGCGCTCTGGTTGAGCTGGACGGTCTCGCTTCTTGCAGGTCGGCGTTCAATCCCCCGACCGTGAGGTACTACACTTAAATCAAGTGTAGTACCTCACTAGATTTAATGCCACTAAAGTAGCAGTAACTGCACTTGCTCACACTTACCTTACTGCATGCCGCAACCTCCGCGCTGACGACCATCAGCTTCCTCTGAGTCACATTTGATCCTGCAATCCCGAATCTTGCCCATGATACTGAGCGGACTCGCTGAAATTTCCTATTTATTCCTCCTGAAGATAAATAGTTACACGGGTGGATCCTTATGCTATCTCGCTGGTTACGTTGGCTTGACACAATGCATGAAGACAAATCTCACAAAATTTGGGCGCTGACCTGACACACCCACCTCTAGTGACCACCTGAGTGACACTGACGGCTCTTGGACCATTGCCATCTTACATGACCTCATCAGTCATGTGACTTCAGGTCACACGTTGATTGGCAATGACATGTCTATGTAACGTCCCATCAATCATGTTGCATTCCTGCATCCGAACTCATCAGACTTACATCTGCTGTCTGGGCGCCAAAATTTTACCAAGCCAGCAACACTACCGGCCGCCATGTTTGAAATATGGCAGACTAGGCTACCTACTTGAATGTGTAGAAAGCTGGAAAATTATAAAATGATACATCCTGTGGCTTTCTAATTTTAACAAGAAAAGATACTCTGGACCATCTTACACGTTTAAAAATGTCGGAGAATTACTCTTGACAGTAAGGAGTGTTATGCAGAGGGCCCCGTAACACAGAAAAACTCTTATCATACATTTATCCTCTTTCTTTCCTATACTCCTTCCTCTTTCTTAGTCTAAAATAATCGAGGAGGGCGGAGACGGTCATGATACAAGCGACAACTTGTCCACAGGTAAATACATGCCCGGTGAACTCACCTCATCCAATCTTTCTTCATAATAAAACTTTGTGTTGACCGCGCCATCACAGTCTGGAAGTAGAGCAGCGACCTGTACCGGTGTGAAGAGTTGAAGATATCGGCAGTGACAGCTCATCCTTGAGGGGAAGGGAAGCTGCTGATCATGGTCCGTGTGACATACTAACCACTGCTTGGCTAGGCTGCATCACTCTATATTGTTCCTTAAAGAATTGTAGCTGCATTGGTAGTAGCCTAGTGACGTGCTCATATAGACAGAGAATTAAGTCAAGTGGAAGTCATCATACTACCATTGTCTTTGGTAATACACTGTATGTTAGTGCAAACTAAACATAACAACTTTGCCCGAAACACTATGCGTACTAGTCACTTTAGGTATTGTATGTACTATCTCTATCTTTAAATCTAACCGAATGTTTGTACTGTAACTCTGCAACTATGTATGTACTGTTCCTAAATAAATTATTATTATAATTATTATTAACTAAGTACATCGTCAACACCTATTTCAACTCTAATATCAGCAATCTCTCCAGAATATTTGTTCCCAGATAGAGCAGAATTTTAAAAGTCAATCTTTTACTCAAACGAGAAGGTTATGAAAAACAAAATTATGGTGCATAATTTTGATCAATATTATTCAAGTAAGCAACGAATATGTAATGAAAGTCAAGTGATCTCTTCCACACAGATGGCAAGCGCCTGAAGCTGTTCAGGCCACGGCGGTGACAACTGAGAGGTTGGTGGTGACTGGCAAGGTCGTCCTCAGGAAGACAGACAACTATAACGCCACTTCCAACGAGCAGTTGCAGGAGGCCATTATTGCCGTCATTAACGACAACAACACAGACACTGACCTTAAAGTTGATCCTGGGACCGTCCAAGTGAATGGTACGTTAACAATGTTTAGTTGATTTACAGTTTTACGGAGTTGAAGGGTTTGTTGATGTTCAGTTTTTTGTGACTAAACTGCAGCTATTTTGCAGAAAGCGTTTCAGGTTTAAAAGATAATTTGTTATCTACCTGCTACTGCAATGACATTAACTGTGAATAACTAATTAATAACGTTGTTATACATAACAGAAACTAGTGAATTAATAGATAAATCTGGTAATTTTAATTTGTTTAATGTGTTAGGTTTATCGCTTAATAAATGAGATGGTCACTCACCATTATTGAGTATAATGACTTATACTCACCCAAATGCGAGTATAAGTATGGATGTATTTGGCGTGTTTACAGGTTACAGTTGTGTGTGTAAACTAAAGTCTTTGAAAATGTAATAAGTTATTACGAAACGCGTTCAGGCGTCAGACTAGAAATAAAAATTAATTTTGGAAAATTGATTTTTCAATTACCATCGACAGTGAAAAGAAATATAAGAAATATTGAGAAAATTCGTGTTAGAATCTTACCTTTTCGGTCATATTCAACAACATGTATATGTAAATTAATCTACATCAAATAAAATTAAGCATTAAAACTAGATTATGTATATATCTTAATGAAACGTATACCTGCTTTAAGTAAGACTGGCTGGACAAAGTGGAGTTCCTGGTAAGTTAGCTTTTACTTGTAAGAAATTATGGAAAAATTTGTTTTCTGACTTGGTAATATATATATTTTTGATATTGTTGTGTAACAGATGCGGAGGCGATGTTGTGTGACAGAGACGTGTTTTGTAACAGCAATAATGCCTTCTGCGTGAACGAGACCGACCAGTTCAACGTGTCTCAAGGTCGATGTCATTGCAACTCCTCCTTCCAGGACGTCTCCCCAAACAAAGACACCAACCCGGGGGAAATCTGTATAGGTAGGTGCGGCCGGGGATGTTATTGGAGATGGTTACACGTTAGTGGCCTGAATTTAAGTTCGGCATTTTTTGGAGGTTTACTAGTCATCGTGTGAAATTCAATGTTATTTCCCTATGTAAGCTTTGAGAAAATACGTTTGAACATTCGATGCGTTCAAACATTTTGAGATAAAAATGTCCTTTGTATTCCAATTATTATCAATATCACTAATATACGTAATGGTTTATGGGTGATGGGTCAATCCTCCTGCATGATAGTATAGTTGTTTACACTATTCATGTCTAAATGTATTACCCCCATTGAGACGGTACTATATACTCCCCCCCGACTTGGCGCCTTCTTTTATAATTATTTACTTACCCTCATCGAGGATCAGATCTTAGTTCTCCGTTACGTTTTAGAATCATGATGTAGATATGCAAGCTTGTGTGCAATTAAAAACTTAACGAGAATTAAAACATTTATGTGAGAGCGTTGCCAAATTATGCTGACGTCTGTCCTTCACCACCACAGTGCCCTGCACCACTGACTTCTGCTCCAGAGGTGGCCACTGTGAAATTGACATGTACAGCCAGTTCTACAATCACTACTGCAAGTAGGTTTTTTTTGTCCCACTGTTGAGGGGCCTAGTGGCGGCTCTACTAACAACTTAACAATCGGATCAACTAACAGCTCTATTAATGAACATATTGCCAGCTCTACTGAGAGCATTTCTAGCCATACTGCAGGATGATCAGATTTTGTTTATCATGGTGGCTTTGCTGTTCTTAGTCTTCTTCCATCCTTTTCCATATACCACGCTACCTTACACCTTTATTATTTTAATATCTTTATTGATAGTAATAATAAACATTTTTTACTATGTAATGATACAGTTCATATTCAGTGTCACAGGACGGGATCATACATAAGACAAGAGGCTCTTCATTACACATTTCAACAATCATATAGCTCTCATTAAAATACTACATTCAGCATGCTGTATCATACATTATATATAATATTTGTATTACAAGATTTAAATGTAACTTTGCCTAATTTTGCAAGGTTCGAGCAGGTGTTTTGACATTGATGCGGCTTCTACTGTTCGCTGTCAAACAGAATTCCTACAATATGCAGTCCAGATCACAGATTTATTTAAAGTACAGATTTACTTAAATAGTTACACAGTTGATTGTACGTCAGGTCTAAAATATTTTAGTTTCACAATCAGTACTATGAATGTTTTAACAGATCGTCACAGAGTTTACAGGCTGAATATTTTAAGAATGGTTTAGCCTACTAACTTGCAATAGATGGCCGTGGCCAAGACTGATTCCGACAATAGCTTTTAAGTTGACATCCTTTTCAATGCTGCAGCTTCCACAGGTCTTCGGGCAATGGTTTTAATAATTGCATTGGATATTTCAAAGTCACATTCTGTATTTTCTTTCTTGCAAGCCTCACTGACCAATTCGTCATATATTCCAACTCTAGTATTGGGTGGAATTTTCGAACTTTTAATAAAAATGTGGTTACTTGGATGATAAGTAGTACAGAGAGGGAGGGAAGGAGGTAGAGAGAGAGAGAGAGAGAAAGATGGAGGGAAGGAGAGAGAGAAGGAGGGAGGTAGGGAGAGTGAAAGGGAGAGAAAAGCAAAACAGTTATCAGGATAAAATGCTAAGGCAATGTAATACATATCATTTGGAAAGGTTATGAGCTGGCGATGGGGATGGTTGTAGTGATAGTAATGGGGATGGTTGTAGTGGTAACTGGTAATGGTGATGGGGTAGTTGTAGAAGTAGTAGTAGGGCTGGTGGTGATGGAGTGGTTGAAGTGGTAATATGATGGTGGTGAAGGTGTAGATGTAATGGGAATAGTGGTGATGGTGATGAGGTGGTTTTAGTGATAGTAGCGGGGTTGTTGAGAGGTTGGTAGTAGTGGTGATGAGATAGTTGTAGTAGCAGTAGTGGGGGTGATGATAGGGTGGTTGTAGCTTTAGTAGTAGTCACTTTAGGAGGACGGGCTGGGTGGTGATGACATTTCTTAGAGAGAATACCGTAGAGGTATTCTAGAGATCCCCCTTCCATGATTACAATTGTTGTGGTGATAGTTGTGGTAGTAAATATTGTAGTGGTGGTGTGAGTCTTGGTGACAGGTTTTTCTTTTTTATTTTCCTCAATACAAGCTAAGGAAATACCAGGCTGCAGTACAGGCTCCACCGTCCCCCGCGTCATGGCAGCCCACTCAGCGGGTATCAAGATAAAAGGGCAGCCCACTCAGCGGTTATCAACATAAAATGATAAAAGGGTGAATTGTCTGATCAACGGACAAGTGTTGGGCAAGAAACCTTGTACCGCTTTGTGCATGCTTCAACTCCCAGGGACTTTTGCACAAGGAACAATGAACAACGCCATTCGATGGTAGATTTTTATCAAACGTAATCAATAGATAAAGGGGATTTCGCCGATGGCAGGTTCGGTATTAATAATATATATCACTGACTTTAGCTATAAATTAGCTGTACCGGACCTTAAATACTTAAAGAAGAAGGGTATTAGTAAAGTCTTAATGTAACAATAAATGTAACTTTATTTACACTAATTATATTTAATAAAGAGAATCACATTACAATTAATCAATTGCTGTCTCCGAGGAAGATGATCCTTAGAGAGTTTCTCGAAATCCCTCACACATGAGAAACTTAGTCCACACGCTGGGCACTCTCGGAGCTCCACTGTAGCAGTGGCAAGCAGTGAATGGGACTTGGTGAACACATCATGATCACTACAAATGAGATTAATCTGCATTGAAGCACTAGGCTAAAAATATCCTCATATTTGCTCGCATTCCTGAAACGCATCAAGCTGCAACCTCACGTGTATCTTGAGGTACACATGCACTAGTAATAGGTGAAGGTGGTTGTAGTGAGTAGTATGTAGTAGTAGAGTCCAGAGGCACCACACTGGGCAGCTATGAACCACTGGCTGTTGGCTCACTTTGCACATAGACGGCTGGCAGCAATACATGTAGGCGGCTGTTGGTTACTCCACACACACACATACAAAAACAGACAGCAGTTGCTTCTTCAAAAAGAGAGCCCTCTTTATTACCAGTATCACCTCTATTCCTTCCCCGTCCTCCCCGGCCCCTCGTGTTGTCTCCTATTGCTCAAATTCCGTAAGTTGCATCTTAGCGCACCCGGGCATCAACTGTGTTATATCTTCATTACACACGATCTTCATTATACACGATCTTCACTACGAATGATCTTTACTACACACGATCTTCATTATACACGATCTTCACTATAAATGATCTTCACTACACACGATCTTCACTATACACGATCTTCACTACAAATGATCTTCACTACACACGATCTTCACTATACACGATCTTCACTACAAATGATCTTCACTACACACGATCTTCACTATACACGATCTTCACTACAAATGATCTTCAATAAACCGTACTGTCTTCTGCAGCTGCCTCGCCTGGTACTTCAGAGGAGAGAGGTGCTCCACCGACCTGAGAAGTAAGTACCGTCCACAGCTTTTGCTTTACATCTCTCCCACCTATCCCTGCGAGACTCTTGCCTCGCCTCCCCTCCCACCTATCCCTCCGAGACTCTCTCCCAATCTTCCAGGCTGTTGGTCCGTAGCCTCGCCTGGGCAACTCCAAACTTCCACCCAGTGTCTTTCCTGATCCTTTAAATAGTCATCTGCTCCTCTGCCATATACTCTTCACTAGGGGGAAGGGGAGACACATAAATTTCCCTCTGTTGATAAACATCGCCCATATTTATATATATATGGCTTATACATTTCATATCCCTTTCCAGCTTGTTCTTATATTATGGTGGTTTCTATTTGTATTAAAATACTTATTATAAAAGTGAGGGCTAAGTCACTATGGCTGTATGGTATATATATAGTGTTTCTTGGACTGGCACTCCTGTGCCTCGGGGAAGTGGACTTTAAGAACAATAACTTAATATATATTACACGAAACTTTGTGGAGATATTGACACGTCTCGCTCTCCTGACATGTGGCTGGTGTACATAGCATACACTCCGCTGATATGTGGCTGGGGTACATAGCATACACTCCCCTGATATGTGGATGGGGTACATAGCATATGATAACATATATAAATATGTCGACGATATTAATTAGGAACATATTAAAATTAATATCCTTGATGAGGTTAATTATTTATATTATAAGAAGTAAACTAGGTTAAGAATGAAGATGACTATTACAATTTATTACGTTATCAAAATATGAAAAATAGTAAATTCAGACAAATGTAAATAAATTTTCATAACTTTAGTTATTATCAAATTTCTAATGGCTTAAAACTAGTAAAATATGAGTTTATCTCTTCGCGATGTAGATTACAAAGTTAATATATAACTTTGTAATCTACAAAGGTATCTAATAACTTTGTAATCTTCAGAGTTATCTAATAACTTTGTAATCTTATCTGTATTCGGGAAAATATACTTTGTATACATTCTCAATCGACTTGAGAATGGTCCAGGACGGACCGAAACGTCGTCGTCCCTTCATTTTCTAGTGTGTGGATTGGTCAACATACTTCAGCCACGTTGTGACTCATAGCCTGCATACTTTGTATACAAGATTTACTATAAAATAATGTAATGGTTATCACAGAGAAATACACAAAATTATTCCTGTATAAAATTGAACTTAATCACCAAATAACATCACATTAGCACTGGGGCCTCCCCTTCAATAATACCACCAATAATATCACGTTCGCATCATACTGGCCAAAGTTGATCAACAGCCAAACCTTATTGTCACCGAAATTATTTATGTATTAAATAACAAATCTTATTTTTCAGTCGTAATTGGAGTAGTTGTGGGCGCTGTGGTGGTGGTCGGGGCGGTGCTCACCGTCGTCTTCTGCAGGAGGAGGTGACTAATAACATTACTATAACAAATGTGCATCAATAATCGACACTATTAGAAATAATGTCTGTCTGTGCGAGGCTGTAGGCCAGACGCTTAGGGCTAGCCTCGCCCAAATTTGCAGGGGGAATGGTCTGGGGTACTGGACGGACATAGGCTTGTGACATTAGATCTAATTTAAGTGCTTTAAGAAATATCAGCCTACACTCCAACAACCACGTCCGATTTGCATGGTCTGAAATTAAATCAATGTGATTTCCGTAGAGTTTATCGCACACTTTCATGCGTTACTCGAAAACTATGAGATGAATTTACATTTATGAAAATAGAGCGTAGGGAAGATGGTGACTATGATGATGATAGTGAGTAGTGGAGATGGTTTTTGATGATGACGATAGTATGTACTGAGAAGATGTGCAGAAAAGGTGTAAGTTTTTTTTTTTTTGAGGAGAGAGCGGGGACAAGGGGAAGAGGACAGGTTAAGATGGAGAGAAATAAGAGATACATATATTGAGACTGATATATATATATATATATATATATATATATATATATATATATATATATATATATATATATATATATATATATATATATATATATATATATGTCGTACCTAGTAGCCAGAACGCACTTCTCAGCCTACTATGCAAGGCCCGATTTGCCTAATAAGCCAAGTTTTCATGAATTATTTGTTTTTCGACTACCTAACCTACCTAACCTAACCTAACCTAACTTTTTCGGCTACCTAACCAAACCTAACCTATGAAGATAGGTTAGGTTAGGTTAGGTAGGGTTGGTTAGGTTCGGTTATATATCTACGTTAATTTTAACTCCAATAAAAAAATATTGACCTCATACATAATGAAATGGGTAGCTTTATCATTTCATAAGAAAAAAATTAGAAAAAATATATTAATTCAGGAAAACTTGGCTTATTAGGCAAATCGGGCCTTGAATAGTAGGCCAAAAAGTGAGTTCTGGCTATTAGGTACGACATATATATATATATATATATATATATAGAGAGAGAGAGAGAGAGAGAGAGAGAGAGAGGCACACATACAAACAAACCCGGACAACTCAGGGGTCCCCCTTAGTACTTGTCGGAAAATCCGACACCATTTAATAATATCATACACACAGATAATATTGCTGCTGCATTGTATAAACAAGTTAACCCATAGAAAATGTAACTTGTAGTGGAATTTCCGTCTATAGAAAACGGGATATCATTACCACATACTATTATAAATTCACCACCTATTATGGTGGGGGAATTATTCTTAAATACATTAGTCTTTGGACTTTACCATCATAAAACCATCTCATATAAATTAACTTAATTATCAGAATTAAAATAGAGTAAATGTGACCCTTCTATCACTTACTGTCATCTGGACAATGTAGGCCAGTAGCGTCAGTTGTGAGGGAGTGGGCAGCCATTGTTATTGTTTAAGACCACAGAGTCGTGGAGCGAATTACGGCTCCTATAAATTCTCTTGGACGAAGTGTTATGGAAGATCAGAGTAGTGATCTGCCATCATCAACACGCTGTCATCAATCTCAAGATAAGTGTCTTTCCGAAACCCGTTTATCTAATCATTTTTGGCCATTAATGTCAGTAGATAGGGCGTACCGGTTAGAACACGAATGATCGACTCAAACAAGGTAATTAAGCCTAGGTCTTTATGGTTCCATGTACAGTGTTTTCTCTGATATAGCTGTCATATATTAGGATTCTGGCTTCATAGCTAGCGCCCTTTTGACAGGTCAAGACGAGGAAGCATGCTTTGTGTACCAGTTACTGGGTGATGGAAGCTACCTCAAAGAGGATAATTTGGTGTCTACATCCTGGTTATACCTGGTGGACTAAGGCCTGCTGTACAATAAGATAAGGAACCTCTTCCATATACACTAATGTGTAGTTAATACTGTAGTTTGATTGGCTGCATATATATAAATTCAATATAAACCCCCCCTAATGTGTAGAGGATCGATTTGTGAGATTATTGCAGAAATACAATCCACTTATCATCATACAAATTGCTATCGAAGTATATAAATTAACGTAAATATAAATTCATATAAATTAAATAAATATAAATCTCACAGGTTGGTTCCCACAGTACTCTACATGTAGTGGAGACTTACTGTTGGTTTTGTCGCTAAAAACTCCATAACTCCAAACGATAACATAAATATCGCATTACCGTCCCCTTGGCACACCTCTCTCAGAACACTCCTTACCTTGGCACACCCCTCTCAGAACACTCCTTTCCTTTAACACTTCCCGACCTGTTGGAACTCTTACAGTTCATAATAAATGATCGTAACTTTTCGCGAGTGTTGAAATCACATACTTATAATAAATAGATCTGAGGCAGGTAATAGATTGTATACCACTGGAACATATTCACTTGAACATGTGTAGCCGAGTGTTCCATTGAGAACACTCGGGTAGTCCCGGCCTCTCTACTAATATGTCTCATTGTGTACGTTGTTGTCCCCAACGTACAAATTAAAAAGTTATGTGAGAAGTAGCGGCTCACACATATCCACGTTTTCTATTCATGGATAGGTTATCTTGAGATGATTTCGGGGCTTTTAGTGTCCCCGCGGCCCGGTCCTCGACCAGGCCTCCCCCCAAGGAAGCAGCCCGTGACAGCTGACTAACACCCAGGTACCTAATTTACTGCTAGGTAACAGGGGCATAGAGTGAAAGAAACTCTGCCAATTGTTTCTCGCCGGCGCCTGGGATCGAACCCAGGACCACAGGATCACAAGTCCAGCGTGCTGTCCGCTCGGCCGACCGGCTCCCTTACCTTAGGTTAGGTTGGGTTAGGTGGGTGGCTTGGGTTCGTGCGTTTCTGGCTAGGTTAGCACTTTCTATTTGGTACGTTGTGGCAAATCAAGAGAACGGGCTGAATGGTTACTGCTCTCGCCCGTTCGCAGGCAAGCAATAAGACCTGGGTTCGAATCCTGGGCAGTGTTGCACGACTGAGTTCCCTTCCCCCATTATTTTCACTGTAACCGACATGGCTGTAAATCGATCGTGTTGTGGGGAAATGGTGCGAAAATCTAAGTAACTACGCCCTCCAGGGCGGGCCAGCCATAGGCTAGGAGGCCCGCGCAGGTGACGTCCCTACAGACATTGAAAACGTCTTCAGCTGTTGAGGTGGGACTGAAGTATTGCTCCTCCGCAGGTGGTACGGGAGCTGGAGCCTCCACGATGACCAGTCTTCCATCGTCTCTGGCTCTGCCATGGTGAGTGATCCCTGGGACCCTTGTATATGTTGAGACCTTTGTGTCCGGTGTGGCCCCTTGTGTCCGGTGGGACCTTTTGACCCTTGTATATGTTGTGACCTTTGTGTCCGGTGTGGCCCCGTGTATCCGGTGTAGCGCCTTGTGTCCGGTGTGACCTTTTGACCCTTGTATATGTTGTGACCTTTGTGTCCGGTGTGACTGTTGTGACCCTTGTCAGTCCAAACAGTCTCCGAATGACTTACCCAGAGATGGCTCTCAGATTATTGGCCTCTTACTATAATCTTATAATATAAAGTTATTAAAGTAAGAAAATCTAGTAACCCCCCGCGATCATTCACTGGCATTACTTCTTCGTTGCGCCCAACTGTTTAAAGCTTTATTAACTTGCCCGAAACGGTGTGTGCATTAGTGGCTTTAGGCATAGTATATACTGCCGCTATCTAGAAATCCAACATTTTGCTTGTAGCTCATTTTGTATGTATGTACCTTTACCTAAATAAACAATTATTATTATTAACAATATTATTATTATTATTATTATTATTAAAGATGAGGTAGTTATCAAGAGAAAGCGTTAAGAATAAATTAGCAGTAAATTTCTTAAACAAGTAATAGCTGCCTCAAATAATTGGTTTCCCAAAGCTGTGGCACCGGATATAAATATAATTGGATACAAATAATATGTGCCAGATGTAGGCGGTGAGAAGCGGGAGCCCCTGGAGCAGTCGCCGTGCCCTCGCCCTCTATACCTGACGGCGTCACGCCTGCTTGAAATAACTATTAGTCACGCACCTTGATAGTTATCTCACTTGATAACCAGCTGGTTCTATCGTTGATAAATGGTGTGAGTGCGTGCGACCAGCTATCAACTAGACGATGGTGTGAAAGATATTTCCTGATACGTGAGATTATCACTGTATCTCGCGCCGGAAATTGATAAGTTCTGCTTCAAGTAATTGCATCGAGGTGAGATATCTATGACGGAATTTTGGAGTTGCAGCGGCTATCGCTGCCCTCCCCTGCTCCGCCGCCCTCCCCTGCTCCGCCGCCCTCCCCTGCTCCGCCGCCCTCCCTTGCTCCGCCGCCCTCCCCTGCTCCGCCGCCCTCCCCTGCTCCACCGCCCTCCCTTGCTCCGCCGCCCTCCCCTGCTCCGCCGCCCTCCCCTGCTCCACCGCCCTCCCTTGCTCCGCCGCCCTCCCCTGCTCCGCCGCCCTCCCCTGCTCCACCGCCCTCCCTTGCTCCGCCGCCCTCCCCTGCTCCGCCGCCCTCCCCTGCTCCACCGCCCTCCCTTGCTCCGCCGCCCTCCCCTGCTCCGCTGCCCTCCCCTGCTCCACCGCCCTCCCTTGCTACACAGCGCAGGCGGAGGGCCGAAAGACTGAACACCAAGTTATCACAGTTGTCTAAACAGTTTAGGACCTTCGTTAATCTTGGATCCAACATGTACTTGGTTTAATTGGTGTTTGACTTGAGTCTTGTTAATTGTTCGAGACTGTGACACTAGTTTACCGACCCACCAGCAACTATACCTTAGTCTTCAGCATGGCTCAAGACGTAAGTAAACCATCAGTGTATGTACACCGAGTAGCCAGGTAAACCTTTAGGTTAATATAACCCTAACAAGTGTTCCTTCACTTGTGTATGGACGCTGTCTACCTCCCCGTCGTGTCCGTCTTACCGTTAGGCTTTTGCCTTCGTGAGACACACTGACAGATGAAATATAGTGACAGGTGAGACATAGTGACAGGTGTTGCAACTGTCAGTAACTGTGTTACCGACAGTTGCGGTAAGGTGTTGCAACTGTGTGTTGTAGTCAGGTAACTTTCTTCTATTCCTCAGAATCTATCTTCCTTAAAACACATGGTCAAACATATCATTTTTGTTTACATATTGACCCACCAGCACGAGGGTCACTACAACGAGGCCTACTGGACCCTCAGCAGGAACCCCGAGGTGATACACGAGGGCCCCCAGGACGGAAGTGAGGGGCCCCCTATAGGGCGCCCCGTCCTCATCCCCCGCCCGGCCCTCAGCCCTCAGGTGCCCAGCGACTTGTTGCTGGATCCGGACCTGAGATTATCTGGAGCTGGAAGTGACGCAACTCACCAGGACTGGTACATTAGCCAGAACATTCCTCGACCTCGTCTCAGCTTGTAGCATGGTAAGTGGGTCTTGGTGGGTTACTGGGGTCATGGTGGGTTACTGGGGTCATGGTGGGTTACTGGGGTCATGGTGGGTTACTGGGGGTCATGGTGGGTTACTGGGGGTCATGGTGGGTTACTGGGGGTCATGGTGGGTTACTGGGGTCTTGGTGGGTTACTGGGGGTCATGGTGGGCTACTGGGGTCATGGTGGGTTACTATATAATGGTCTGTGCACAGACAGTGTAGTGGCAGTGTATTATTAAGCATTATTTTTATAAATTAATAACCCCTTCATTTGTTGCCCCCCCCCCCTCATTTAATATTTCAGTTGTAATACTAGCTGGTAGTTCAGTGAGGGTCACAGTGATCGGCAAGTAGTGTTAAGCCGGGGTGTTGAGTGTAAGGGGAATAGCAGAGGAGTGGGGGGAGGTATTACAACTTAATCATGGTGGGTGTGCGGGTTTGTACATACATGCACGATGGGGGGCTGGCGTCTGAGTGGGTAGTGCTCGGGGGGTCGTAGTCCTAATGGCCCGGGGTCGATTACCGGCCGAGGCAGAAACAAATTGCCAGAGTGTATTTCACCCTAGTGCACCTGTTCACCTAGCAGTAAATAGGTACCCTGGGAGATGTATGAGTGCGTGTGTTAGAGAGAAATATATGAATTATCTATAATAGAGGAAAAATATATTGGTTAGAAAGGCGGGATCCAAGAGCTAATAGCTCGATTCTGCAGACACAAATAGTAAATACAAATAGTAAATGCACACACATACACATACACATACAGTGCAATAGTTCTCAACAAACCATTCACATCCCATTCCCAAGTCCATCACTTCTCAAACTCCCACTATTACAGAAGGTAATGCTGAGGGACTCTCTAACAAAGCATATGAGATGAAGACAAGATCACAGGAAACAAATCAAAATATAACAGCACAAGTGGAAACAAAAATCACTGGAATAATAACAAAAATTTGTTTCCTCGTACAAAGAATGTCGCATGTCGCTCGTATGCGTTACATAAGGCCAAAAATTGTTGTACTAGAAAATTGAAGCAGCTCGAGAAAGTGACGTACTGTCCCGTTTTCTGTTTTGGGTCCTCTGGCAGGTTATGAGAAGACACTTTAAATTGACCCTTTTCTTGACGTTGGTAAACCTTAGGAGGACGGGCTAGAATAACAGGAGACTTATACAGGAATAGGACGACAGACTCAGTCAGAGCTTCCATTGTCATAATTCAAGGGGCAGCTAAGATGGCCCTCAGGCAAAAGACAACATTCATAATCATTGGCGACTTTAAACATATTGAAACAGAATAGCATACACGGGATATGTGTGTGTGTGTGTGTGTGTGTCTGTGTGTGTGTGTGTACTCGCCTATTTGTGCTTGCAGGATCAAGCGTTGGCGCTTGGATCCCGCCTTTCTAGCTTTCGATTGTTTAAAGCAATAACTCCTGTCCTACTTCTCTATCATACCTAGTTTTAAAGCTATGAATAGTGTTTACTTCCACAATGTGCTCCTATAGTTCATTCCATTTCGACACTACTCTCACACTAAAAGAAAACTTTCTAACATCTCTAGGACTCATCTGAGTTTCCAGCTTCCACTCATGTTCTGCTGGTATTCCATGTGAACATTTATTCTATTTCCACCATGTCAATCCCCCTAAGTATTTTGAATGCTGCTATCATATCTCGCAGCTCCCTCCTTTTTTCTAACGTCATCAGGTTCAGTTCCTTCAGTCGCTCTTCATATCCCATCCCATGCAACTCCGGGACTACACCCATCGCAAATTATTTACTTTTTCCAGGTTCCAAATTTGTTTCTTTAGGTGGGGATTCCATGATGGGGCTGCATACTCAAAGATTGGTCTCACGTAGGCAGTGTAAAGCGCTCTGCCTCCTTACTTAAGTTTCTGAATGATGTTCTAACTTTTGCTAGCGTGGAGTACGCTGCTGTCGTTATCTGATTTATATGTGCCTCAGGAGTTAGAGTTGGAGTTACGTCCACTCCCAGGTCCCTTTATCGAATCGTCACATGTGTGTGTATGTGTGTGTCTCACCTAGTTGTGCTTGCGGGGGTTGAGCTTTGGCTCTTGGGTCCCGCCTCTCAACTGTCAATCAACTGATGTACAGATTTATTAAAAATTTATTAATTAAAAGTACAGTATTTCAATACATTTGAGAGATCATTGCATAACATATGAACCTTTATTTATAATTATAATTTATATTTGCGTTTGAGATCAGGATTCGTATGGCACTTTAGAGTTTTGAGGAGACAGAGTTCGCTAGAGAGTGTGTGTAATATTTTATATTTAGCATGTTTAAGTATTTAAGAGAAGATGCTGCATGTTGACAGGATTTCAAGTTTGTTAATGTTTTACTTGTTGTTCCCAGTTGACGAAACAGAGGAGTAACAAGCTGCTGTGTGTCGCCCTCTGGAGGATGTGTTTCCTGGACGCCTCCACAGCGCTGCTCTACCATGGCACACAACGACCCTGTTGGCTGAAGGTGCTTTTTGATTCACATCACTGCTCGCTACATGGAGCCTTCATTTGATAATCACTTAGTTTACAGTGATCATACCAGCACTGCATCGCCATACAATATTTGAATTCCTCCCACAGCAACTCAGTTGGTCTTTCAGTGTTTGCAGCGTGGATGCATCTGAAGGCAAGCCACTGGTGACCTACGCAGGACTGGGTACTGCAGACCTAGAATGATATGAAGATAGAGAGTACCTCAGACGTCAGCAGCAGAGATGCTCTCACGCGGATGTCAGAATTAGAGATACTTGACTTGGTGTACGTAAGTCTCTCTGCAAGAGAGAGAGTCGTAGTGAATCATGTTGGAATCTAGTTGAAGGCCATAGAGGGCCAAGTGTGAAGGTACGTGGGCTTCACTCCCAAGTGAAGTGCCATAGTGGACCGTATGGACAACAAAGAGGTCCGAGGGTGCAGAAGGTGTGGACCTCATGAGTGACACTGGTGCGCCGTGTACGTCGCAGAGAAATTGAAATTGAAAATGAAATAAGTTTATTGAGGTAAAACACACACAAAGGGATGAGGTAGCTCAAGCTATTCTCACCCCGTTCAGTACATCGTGTTAATACATACATAGACACACATCACAAGCAATAAACGTATTACCGAACATTCTGAGAGATAAACATACATTTCCTAACGTCGCAGAGTGAAGGGCTGCGTGGTAAGATGTGGTCTTAAGAAGACTTACAATTTCATGACAGGATAATGTAATCTTGAGCCAGTAATACCAAGCCCAAACAATTTTGGCTCCAAGTGAAGATCCGGTAATCGCCTAAACCCAGTAATCCTGTAATAAAGCCACGATACCCCTTTATCATGACACAGTAAGCCTTAACTCTAGACCTGGTAAACCCTTAATCATAGCCTAATGAGCCCTTAATGAAGGTATAATAACTTACTAATCAACTCATCATCCCTTAACATGATGTAATACCCTTGTATTACTACCCCGTCATAGTGTCTCACACACCTCACCTCCTCACTAACTTGCCATTTATATTCTTCCACTATAATTAGTCTTTATTTTGTCCGATGAATCTACCAAAAATGTTAGATATTAATTCTCGTTTGTCGGGGACAGGAAGCCTGTGTTTAGGATTACCCAGATCCCCCTGGGTCAACTACTGACCTTCTCCAGGATGCAATCCACAACAGTTGCCTAACTCTCGGGCACTCATTTTAATAGTAGGTGAATAGGTGCATTAGGTGAAAGGAAACGTGTCCAACACTGTTTCACTCCTGCCCGAGGATTGAGCTCGATTCCCTTGATTGTCAGCCGAGCACGTAGACCACTGTGCTACGGGACCCATCATACGGAATGATCTAAGAAGAGTTGCTCCACGGGGCCTCTTATGGGAAGGTTATATAATACTTTGTACTATAAAAAACAATTGGACCACTTGGACTGGACGGAAGATCGAGCGACGGTCTCGCTACATGCAGGTCGGCGTTCAATACCCGACCGTCCAAGTGGTTGGGCAACCTTCCTTTCCCCCCGTCCCATCCCACATCCATATCCTGATTGATGAAGATTAAGCCACCCAAGAGGTGGCATGGGCATGAATAGCCCGTACATATCCTGATATCTTCCAGGTGCTATATAGTCGTAATGGCTTGGCGCTTTCTCCTGATAGTTCCCTTCCCTTGAGGTGACTCGAACCAGTGACCAGGGTACACCCAACCACGCACCTTACCGCTGTACCACGACATGGATTAAGTTATTAAACCTGGAATTCCACTGTATCCAGAGGAAGTCTGGCGTCATCTACTGAAGCCAGTCCAGACTAGAAGACTTCCTGTGGATAATTATAATATATTATATGTGGATTATTATAATATAATAAGTTATATTACATGGGATTCTACTGAATAGTGGAATCCCATATAATAATAATAATAATAATAATAATAATAATAATATTTTATTTAGGAAAAGTACATACATAGATGCAGAGTTACAAACATTCTGATTGTTTATAGACAGAGCTAGTACATACATATACCTAAAGCCACTAATACGCAGAGCGTTTCGGGCAAAATATAATATAATATAAAATAAAATATAATACTGTATAACTTATACCATGTGCTGGTACAGGGATAAGATGCGCGGCTGGGAGTACCCTGATATCTTGGTGCTATGTTACCACAGATGGCTCTCTTTACCTTTGATCTTCTGTATCGTCTTGGAAAGAAATAGCTTGTTGACAAGCAAATTTCCTCAGATCTCTGTTACATGAGCAGTCTGCTGGGGCCAGATACCTTTAACAAGAGTGTGTGTACAATTAGTGTGATCCAGGCCAGCGCCGAATCTGCTGACCACATAAGACTCATATTTATGCCTTACAATTATATTTTTATACTATACTATATACGTTCCTTGTAGTGAATAGGCTACGGATATTATTGTCAATTCATGTTATATTTGGTCTAAGTAAATCTCATAATTAGAATGCTATGCACAATGTAATCACATTAACGTGATGTATCAATGAGAAAATCAGTAGGAGCCGTGAGGAGGATTCGAACCCGCACACTTGGTACAAGGACGTGGCTTTGGAAGTACCAAGTGTGCGGGCTCGAATCCACTTCTTGGCGCCTATTCATGTTCACAAATGATATGCTATGTCTTGCCTATATGTGTCCCCTCTTGCCAATATGTGTCCCCTCTTGTCAATGTGTTACCTCGCCAATATATGTCACCTCATGCCAATATGTGTCACCTCTTGCCAATATGTGTCACCTCTTGCCAATATGTCACCTCTTGCCAATATGTGTCACCTCTTGCCAATATGTGTCACCTCTTGCCAATATGTGTCACCTCGTGCCAATATGTCACCTCTTGCCAATATGTGTCACCTCTTGCCAATATGTGTCACCTCTTGCCAATATGTCACCTCTTGCCAATATGTGTCACCTCTTGCCAATATGTTACCTCTTGCCAATATATGTCACCTCTTGCCAATATGTGTCACCTCTTGCCAATATATGTCACCTCTTGCCAATATATGTCACCTCTTGCCAATATATGTCACCTCTTGCCAATATGTGTCACCTCTTGCCAATATATCACCTCTTGCCAATATATGTCACCTCTTGCCAATATATGTCACCGCTTGCCAATATATGTCACCTCTTGCCAATATATGTCACCGCTTGCCAATCTGTGTTGCCTCTCAAACAGTAAATACGTATTGCTCAATTTAGATCATCAAATTTTAGATTTTCATGAATTTATACTTGCCAGACTACCCCGTAACAAATTCTATAAATTTGTTACAAAAGAATCATCTGAGTCTAAAGCTGATATGCCTCACTTTAAAACAATAAATTATATAAACTATATTGAAAATATTATTGTAATATGTGGTTCTTTTCCCATCAACAAATGATGCAGCATCTCGCTGGATCTCATAGTATTTATATATATTTTCTAGTATATATATAAATTGTATAATACTAGATAAATACTTATTTAGTATTTATATCAAACTTTGCAAAATCTCCCCACCCCTCCCTTCTACGATAATACCATGCGCCTTTACCTATTTATTGAGCTTTATACACATCAGTATTAAAACATATTAATTATCAAGTTTATAAATGCTTTATAATTTGCATAAACATTGCAATCCAGTATTAAGTTATCCTCCACTGGAGTATCTTCATATCCAAGGGACGACCTCCTTCCAGGTCAGCTTAAACCGCCCTCTGCTAGTACAGTAATTAACGCCTCTACCCTTCAATATCAGCTTTACAGAAGTCTGGCATAATAACAGAGTTTTCTCTCACTCAACTCTGTCGTGCTTTGTTAAATCTGATTTCCTTGGGATCACTGTTCCCTAACTTACTCCCTACCTATTTCGATGTTATTTATCAGTCTCCCTGTTGGCCAGCACTAAGTTTAAAAATATTATTTATTTCTCTCTCTGCTCCATAATATACTGTATGTTGTTTAAGACAGTAAATGATTAAAATCTTCTGCCTCAGCTTTCCCTGTTTTATGAATCCAGATTATTCTACTAACATTAAAATGAACAATAATACAAATATTGTCAGCTCTAGATACCCTATATATTTCTACCTAGATGTTTCTTCCTCCAATTTTGTCAAGGTTTAGAGATCTATATATAACCCCTGTTATTAGACTAACATTATTTAAATTTAATTATATTCAAATTGTTACATATTGTTTATGCGTGTGATTCAGTTGTATTCTGTCTGACACTACATATTTATTTATATATATATATATATATATATATATATATATATATATATATATATATATATATATATATATATATATATATATATATATATATATATATATATATATATTATATATATATATATATATATATATATATATATATATATATATATATATATATATATATATATATATATATATATATATATATATATATATATATATATATATATATATATATATATATATATATATATATATATATATATATATATATATATACTGGCTACTATATATATATATATATATATATATATATATATATATATATATATATATATATATATATATGTGTGTGTGTGTGTGTGTGTGTGTGTGTGTGTGTGTGTGTGTGTGTGTGTGTGTGTGTGTGTGTGTGTGTGTGATTCAGCCTACAGCTTAGACCTATTGTCTTGTGTATGATCCTCTGTCCTGTGTGACAGTGAATACCAGCATTATCCTCACTCTAATAAGACTTAATTGAATTAGTCAGATTAGGCAAAATTGTAATTAATTTTGACAATAAATATATTAATAATAATAATATTGTTTCTGTGCACATATCCCCCAACCACTTTGGCTGGACGGTAGAGCGACGGTCTCGCTTCATGCAGGTCGGCGTTCAATCCCCGACCGTCCAAGTTGTTGGGTACGATTCGCGCTTTCTCCTGATAGTTCACTTCACTTCTATGCACATATAGGGAGTACCAAAATTAGTTTTATAGCTTTTTTTTTTTTAGCCTAGTGCTTGTATCGAGGTCTCCCCTTTCCCAAGGTCGAATTAAGATGCAACCTCACAACAGTTGCTAGAATAGAGGCATTAGGTAAAATAAATCGTGTCCAACCATTTCTATTCCGCCCGGGATTCGAACCCATTTTGAACCCCGGGATTCCCGATTTTAAGTCTAGAACTAACTTAAGTATACTATCGATAGATCATTGAGGGCAGCCTTGCCTCAGCCGAGTACCCACCAGAGAACCATGATTTCTTCATGCTCAAAATCCTAACAATTCGCTTATTGAAAAATGGTATACACGCCTTGCAAAGCAATCAATATGAACTTCACAAATGTTCAAAAAACTGGTAAATGTTGAAAAATTCAAGACCTTAGATGTAGGACTAATCAATGCACAGCATAACTATCATATCAACACCACGACAATCCAGCAATAGAGAAAGGACCGATGAGCTGTGATCCACTTAAACATTGAAGTTGCTTATCAAGTATAGGTGCTGGGATTAAACAATTAAATGCCAATCAATTATTTTTGTGTTAATTATTTTGTAAATGTGGGTGATTGTAACCTGTCCAAATGTGGGTGATTGTAACTTATCCAAATGCGAGTGCATTTGTGGGCGATTGTAACCTGTCCATATGTCGATAAATGCATGTGGGGCATAACAATCCACGTCACAACTTCCAAACTAACAGCACCACTTTACAACAGATTGTTGCAGAAAAGGACCTTGGAGTCAGAATCCATCATTCACTGAAAGTTGCACAAGTGGGAACGGAAGTTAAAAAAGCTAACCAAATCCTCGGAATAATCAAGCGTACCTTTAAGGAAAAGAAGATATTCATTCAACTGTATAAGGCGCCCCCGCCTGGATTATTGTATCCAGGCATTGAGACCTTATCTTCAGAAGGACATAGCTGCTCTGGAGAAGGTGCAACACAGGGAAACTAAAATCATTCCAGAGCTAAGTCATCTCTCGTATCAGGAACGGTTAGGGCCACAGGGCTAATAACACTGCGAACCTGCATGGCAGGGCAGATCTCATCGAAACTTAAAATATTTAACAATTTGGAGGATGTTGATCCGGATAATTTCTTCAAAAAGTCAGATGTAACACTAACGAGAAGCAACGGTTTCAAGTTCAACAAGCCATGCAGGAATGAGAACAGGAAATGGTTTTTCACCCATAGGGTTATAAACCCATAGAACAGTGAACAAATCCACAAGGGCCGTGACGAGGGTTCGAACCTGCGTTCCATGTGTAGCCATGGAACAGTCTACCCGCCGAAGCCGTAAATGCCAAAACTCTGTTGGATTTTAAAATACAACTGGAAAAGATCATCAGGGCAAATGGGGGGACCTTTGACCAGCCGCCGGTTTCTTGTTTTCGGTAATTTTCGGTTCCCCTCAGGTAATTCAGGTAACTATGTGGGTGATTGTAACCTATTCAAATGTGGGTGTAAATGTGGGTGATTGCAACTTATCCACCAATGCCCACTAGATGTGGGGGGGGGGGGGGGGGCGGTGTGCCGGATAAACATACCAATTGTGAGACTAACTCACCATATATGTAGTTCCTTAGCTTGGAGATTGTAATTATGGTTGGTCACGAACCCAGTGATGATGTAACAATAACTTAGTAACATTAACTTTTGTAATTAACTTAACAAGACTGTAACTTGCTTAGCTAAATAAAAATTTTGGGGTTTCGTTCCTGAACCCATTATGTGCCTCTATAGCCCCTTTCCACTACCAATTCAATTTCTTTCCATTTCTTTCTTTATTTTGCACCCCATACCCATCCAGTGGGCGGTGATGGAAAGGGTTACAGAGGTACATAATCGGTTCAGGAACTGAACCCCATAGTTCGTTTAGCTAAGCAGGTGACAATTTTTTGACCACCGCCCACAGGATGGGTATGGGTTGCATACTAAATGAACTAAACTAAAAATTCTTTTAGCTGATCAGATTTCCTGTGTAGCTGAATTTAATACCCATTTGTATTTCATACTCTGTGATTCCTGGTGAAGAGATATTTCTTCTAGATGTTGCAGCAATTAGTTGTTAAGGCTTTATTACTGCCTTTTCTATAAATCTGTAGATCTTTTTCATTATCTTCTCTTGGCATTTTGTATTGAATAAGTGATGATTTGTGAAATTATCTAATGTTTCAATGCCTTGATCTTCTATTAACTCCCTACAGAAGGCATTTTGCAATTTATAGATGATATATGTTTGTGTGTGCATATATATGTATGTAGTGTTATATATGGGGAGATGTTAGAGGCGGGGTCCCTGTGTGTGATGGAGCCGTCTGCTGGAGCCTCAGTGATGGCGGCCCTGACGTGGGGAGCCCGGTGGCTCACCTCTACTCGCCTCAATGTAAGTCCCAGCCTCTTCTCTGTCTCTTCCCAGGTCTTTCCCTGCTGGCAAGTGTCAGGAAAATATCATATTGAAGTTGTAATGTGGAGTGGGGGTGGTTTCAAGGTAGTGAATTACTATAGTATTCCAGAGACTTTTTGTAAGGTTTCTCGTGACCCAACGCGGATGCAAGTTACATTGTACACAAGACGGTTCGCCAACGTATTTTAACATAGAATATCAAGTTAATTTAACAATCTAAGCGGTTTTGAGAGAAAATTCTCATCAAGACGTATGTAAGACGACAGGAACTCTAAGTTTCAGTACTCGTGGGCTGCTGCCTCTCTCCTCCCTCATCCAGACTGACTTCAGCTTCCTTACTGCGATACTGTAACAAAAACGAGTCAAAATTAGGCATTAACTATGAATTTAGATATAATTACCTTATATGGCTTAGACCTTAAGCTAGGAGAAAGTAACTTGCTCTTATTCCATCCTCAGGTTGCTAGGGATGTTGATATAATTCATAATTCACTGTCGGGGGACAGGAAGCTTGAGTGTATTAATTCACGTTTGGCTTTTATCGAGGTTTTCCTCCTACCCCGAGGCCGAATTACTGACCCCGCAAAGGATGCAACCCCCGATAATAAGCTGACTAACTCCTGACTACCTGCTCACTGCTGGGTGAACAGAGGCATTTGGTGAAAGGAAATGTACCCAGCCATTTCTGTCCCGCCCGGGATTCGAGCCCGGAATTCTCGATTGTGCATCGAGAACGAACCCGATCACTACCGGGACCCTCAACCATTTCTACGAAATATGAAAACCATTTGTAGCTACAGTATTGTACCAGTCTGCCCGAAACGCTTTGCGTAATAGTGGCTTTAGGCATTGTATGTGCTAGCTGTCTATAAATCCATCAACTTTTGTATCTTGTTTGTACCTTACCTGAATAAAAATTTATTTATTTATTTATTTATTTATTTATTTATTTATTTAGTTATTTACCATTTGCAGTGGTGGTGCTGGTGGATTATATATACCAGCAAAGACAAAAACTTGCTTTTTATTCTAAAAAAAATCTTATTCAGAAAATAGGTGTAGGTAAGGTAATTATTTGGATTGCTGTAAGCCAGTATGGTTATATAGCACATGGTCGAGATATAAGGATAAGGAGCTGGGATATGAGGATGGAGTGAAGGAACAGTTGAAGTGAAGAAATAAGTGTTTTTTAGGTAAAGTAAAATTGCATAGTGCATCATCAGCTTCTATAAAAATAAGGAAATGCCCATCGGCTTATATTTTGAATTGTCATAAATGAATTATTAATGACATCCACAGTACTTAGGCAAGGTATTAGGTTTATATTTGATTTAAGAGTTGTGACAGATTAGGAGGGACTGTATGAGCAGTACCAATTTGTTACCTAAAGTGAGGTTAAACTAATCCTTCCAAAACCAATTGTAATGACATATAACAATACTGTACTGTACTGTGAAGCAGCTGTCAAGAGAAATGTAAACGATGAGGTAAGGAAACTTGTACTGTAGTGTAATCTTTGCATATTGTATGTAGTCACCAGTCTCCAGACACTTGATTATCAACAGTCTCAACTAAATATAGCTTTGGATTATTAGGCATGCTATACAGTACCTAAGGAGATGTTAAAAAAATGTCAGCATTCGAAGTTTTGTCCTGCACAAAGTGTATGAATGCTCTTCCTCCCTACTGCCTGCCTGTTCATGATTCTGAGGGTCAACGTCCCCGTGGCCCTGTCTCTGCCCTGGCCTTCTGGTTGCTGGTCTGATCACTCGAGCTGTTCAGGCAGCTGCTTGCAGCCTGATGGGCAAGCCACAGCCTGATATCCAGATAAATTGGTACTTTTAACATTTAAATTGTAACATGGTATTTAATCCTGGCTTGGTATGTTTCCCATGTGATTTTGAGATACTGTATTGCAGTTAATTTTCATGTCTACAGAGCAGTGATATGCCAATTTCTGCATTGTATTATACTTAGTACTGTACTTTTAAGTATTACCCTTCCTAGATGTCTACTGGTTTGTCAGCCTGAACTTCAGAAATCTTACAGCTTTCTGAAAGTAATACAGACCATTATTTTGGACAATGAATTTCAAATTTTAAACATCTTTATTTTGACAGAAAAATATTATTTTCTTGTGAATTTTGTTAAACGTGCATTTGGAAGTCAAAAATATTGGGCATAAATATTTTCCAAAGTACAGTATTAATTTTTGGATATCTTCAATATAAACATTTATACTTTTACAATACAATATACTGTATAGAGGTTATGGCTATTTATTTGGCGAGTTACCAAATGCCGGGAGATAGGTCTAGTCTGAGTTGAGTGGAGGTGCAGGCAGATGAATAAAAAATGGTCCAGTGTCTCCTGTCGAAGGCACAACTGGCGGAGTGGACTGTGTGAATTTCAGTTTGAATAACTCGGTCTTGTGTGGCAAATTATTGATATTGTGATGATGAGGAGATGTTGACATTTTGATCTGTCCTAGACCATTATCAAGTTAATTGGTGATCTAATTAAACCGTCATTGATATAAAACACTGTTTACTTGATATGAACATTTGCCTTTCAGATGAGGTTTACTCTACTACTGCTGCTTACTTGGATCATTAGTGTTAGTGCTCTTGCACAAGAATATGAAGATAATGATTTTGCTGAATTTGAAGTATTTGAAGAGGAGGATGAAATAACAGTTGAAGAAGGAAATGAGGGAAATGATGAGGGATTATCACGTAGTGGAGGGAAACAAGACGGTGGTGAAACATCTGCTGGATTACGGATGGATGTGGAAGAGGATGAAGAGGAGGCAGTTGTAGAGGTATCTGTTATTACACATTATTAAATTATTTTGTCAATTTTAATGAAGTAAAAAAATTTAACAACAAAAATTACGGAAAGTTCAGCTGATTTATGTACAGATTTCCTTCATTCCAAATATAATTGTCATTCTACTAAATGATGTAGCTTCCAGGTGAACCTTTTCCTAGACTTTAAAACTAAAAACGAAAGTACCTGTATTTAAAAAGAGTATAGCTTAAGGAAAAATTATAAAATTAAAACCGAATCAAAAAACAGTTTGCTCATGGTGTTCTTATATATCTGTGGAAATATTGTCGAGGCTTGAGTTTTAAAACATTAAATTGTTTTACCAGTTCATTTTTGTCGTCATTCCAAGATGACTGACTGGTAATGTCTTGCATTTAAGCTTTAAGCATTTAAACTTGGTTTTGAGTTAAGAAAAAAATATATAAATTGTCTACTGGTAATTATTATTATTTTTTCCCCAATTTTTCCTTATTTGTTGTAACAGATTCAGTATCTCTAATTAATATTGAAACATTTTTATTTAATATTAACTAGTATTTAATTAATATTTTATCACACAAAGCACTCAATTTATTAAATGTTAAAAGGTAAATAATTTTGCTTGGTTCTTTTTGCTGTAGTCAAGTATCTGAATTTACCCACCCACCACAAAAATGTGCAACACAAATTTAATCATCCCCGACCACTGTTTAGAAATCTTTACACTGTGTAATTTTACAGAATTGGGAGTTGCTGTAGTTTTATGCAGTTATCTACCACCCATTTCAGTTTGTCTTGACTAGCATGTTATATATTTTGTATCTCTTGACTAGCATTTTAAATATGCACATTTAGAGAGCTGTTTATCTATATGAGCTGCCAGTGAACCAAAGGTACACACCCCATTTAAAAGGCTAAGCTTTAACAAATTTAAAATGTAGACAAGGGCTCACTAAGCTCTACATAACATTCTTTAAATGCCCTCAGAAATACTTCACCTGACCCCTGGGGACATGTTTGGCTTTAATTTGTATATTCCTCCCCCTCATAATCACTAGTCAACTTGTCCTCTTCACTACCAGTAGAAAAGAAATGGTAACTAAGACAGACCTGGAAAAAACGATTCGTTGTTGGCTGTATGTGTTAGAGAAAATGTATTACTGTACTTTAAATGATGTAGTTGTTCTAGTGAAGCTAAAGAAAAGATTTATTACTTAACAAACAGTTGTGCTCCCATGGGTGGCCATAGTCAATGTGAGTGTTTGTATTCATTAGAGGAAGTTGTATCTTTACTAACCACATAGTTGTACTTGTTGGCAATCATGTACTGTTCATATTAAAGGCAAGAATTTATTACTAACTTTCTTAATACTGCAGGATGAAGATGAGAATGATGAATTCAGCCATTTTCATGATGAAGAGGAATTTATCGGGTTCGATAGTGAGAGACCTCAGGGTGCTCGTGTGCCTAAATCACAAGAGGAGCCAAAGATTACTATTGCTAATGTAAGTCAAATCCCGAACCTGTGTAACTATTAGAAATATAATCATGGATTCAGTCTTTACATCTTTTTACTTTTAGATGAGTAGAGAATATTGTGTTGAAATTTGTTACAAACTAATTAGAAATAATGACATTTGACAGGTATTCTGTGCCTTAATGTATAGGTTATGTTGCAAGCATTTATGATTTGGGAGTGGAATTGGTTACTTTTCATATCGTCTTACAGGTTCCTCTTCATCTTCGGAGCAATTGGGATAGCTTCTATTTGGAGATGTTAATGATTGCTGGGCTAGTTGTGTATTTCATAAACTTTATTGTTGGTAAATCCAAAAACCAGAAGTTGGCAAACACATGGTACAACTCCCATAAGAACCTTCTTGACCAAAATTTTGCTCTCATTGGTAAGTCAATATTAAATTTTATTAAATGGCATTAAGAAAGTTTAAAGTGAACAATAAATATTGTCAATCTAGAAATTAGATTTATTGTTTTGTATATATAATGACTTACGATGAAAAGGACAGCTTATTCAGCATACATTTAGAAAATAAATGAAATACATGTAGTGTTATTTGTAATTACAGTAGATCCTGCAAAGATATCATTCTATCATTTACAAAATTCAGATTCCTGTGAAATCTGTATTTCTAAAATATTGTCTTCTTTTTATTTAGTGCTAAATTTTCTGTATTTTATGAATTAATTTCAAGATGAAAATAAACCATAGAAATTTGTTTTAACCATGTCCCTTGAAATCCCAGATGGTTAAAACATCCATTCTTTGAAATCCATTCTTTGAGAATGGATCTAGAGCAACCCCCACCCTAAATTATTATTGGCTATTTATCATCAAATTTTACGTACATGTAAAAATTAAGATTCTATGTACTGTACATGTAAAAATTATACACAATAAATTTATTTTTCTTATTTATAACACAGAACAACAATGTAGTTATCTATCTTTCAGATAGATAGCTATCTTTCAGCTACAGTACAGCTGCCTCTATTAAACCTTTATTCTATTAACACTCAATCAAGTTCGATACAATAATTAGATGAGTTTCTGAATCTTAGAACACTTTTAGAAGACGGTTAAGAACAAATCCTGTTCACAAGGGTAGTTTATAGTCAAGGAACAGAAGAAGCTTGCACTCCAGTGTGGCATTACATAAGATTAGGTTTTGTCTAATGTAGACCTATTAGTTTACCAGATTTCCCTGTATTGTAAGCTTATCTGCCACAAAGCCGGGAGACACTGGACTGGGTTTTTAAGATACCACTGTCAATTAGGTACTTTTTATAAGAGTGATTGTAAATGGTAGGAGCAGTATAAGGGGGCATAAGAGTGATTCATTCCAGAAGGAAATGGTATCTTTTTCTCAGCCTGAGAAATTTTTGTTGAGTACAGTACACAAAAAATGTGGTGTGCCTCGGTTTCACTCCCGGTTAGTAGGTAGGAAGGGCGAATATTGTCTAAGTCAGTCCTGAGGTATTCAGTAATTACTTTCGTCTCGTAAACCATGTTCATAATTGATCAGTTGCCTTAAATACTGAGATAATTATATTAGCTTATAGGATGTTTCAAGATCAGTGTGTCATTAAAGACACTTACTTGATGATCTGAAAGCAATCTCTGTTGCTACCATTTATTCACTTGTCTGTTAATTATAGATATGCCTAGCTGGTTATATTTAATTAATAATAATTCCCCTTTGAGTCACCTTGATAATGAGTCATGCAACATCCCTGCTGATTTAAAGTCAACAAAGCTAGTGAAAAAAGTTGTGTTTAATGAGTATTATGAAATGACTAATAATGGATGTCCTAACAGTATACTGTATATTACTAAAGCAGTTTTAAATTCAGTAAATAGATGAGTATTTAAGTGAATTATTCATGGTATTTTGCCTCCAGATGAGGAATGAGTATGGTGTAGTGGGCAGTAGAATGCAGTAAGATTGAAATGTCATGCAGTGTGAACTAGTAATGGTGTGTAACTAGGCAGTGTAAATAATAAACACTGGCTTGTTTTTGCTAAACACACGAACAGTTTGGAAATTATTTCCAATTCTGGTTTTGTACCTGTTTAATAAGAGTTGACCTTGCGTCCTGAAGAACAAGTAAAGCCTACATCACTCACCTTTTGTCATACCCTTCAACAACTGCCTGTTGTACTAGCCTTGAAGGCCAGCATCTTGTCAGATGACAGGCAGAAAGGATGTACTTATGTGGGCTCCTCTACAAAAAAGGAATTTTTACAATTTCTAAACTAATCTTATGAGATCAAAAACTTTTAGAAATATTATAAAGCTAGTAAAAAATTAATAGGAACTGAGTATAGTAATATACTGAAATTTAATATACAGTTCTGTATTTTTTATATATTTGTCAGTCAATATGCAAATTATTCAGCATATGAGACTTCAAGCCACATGTGAAAACCCATATTTGTTTTTGTTAAGAGTAAAAAGTCAAGCACAAGGGTGGTAAAATAGGCATTTTCTAATTCAGCAAGATTCAGCTAATTCACCAAGTATTTTGGTGGCAAATAATTTTGCTCATTGCACATTGTTACTAGTCATGATTATTTGACAAGAGTTTAGATTCATCTTCTGTATAACACCACACTAAGATTACCTCCTCTTTCAACACAAACTTTGCATTTGCTTGTACGTATTCATTCTTCACCAATCACCAGAGCTACTGTAGATACATTAGCTACTAGAATGTGGTGATGCAGCAATAGGATTTCTAATTACAATCTACTTGTTAATTTATTCTCTAGTATTTAATGCAAGAACACGGCGTGTGCATCTTTATTTCCCAGTTGATATATAGATTGATGACTGTCAATTTGACTTGTGTACTATCATACTATTATGACAGTCTTAGCTGGAAATGTGCAAGTTTGATAGCCAGAAGTGTCTTGATTCAGAATAATTACAACTCACTGATAACATTATATTATTACCAAGGAATAGTATTTAATATAATACTTGAATGAACTTTTAACTCTAATTGGCCCAGTTGATATAAGAGCATTGTCATCATAAAGCTCTGATACTATCACTGATTCTCGCTCAGTCTTGAAGTATTGTTTCATAAATGAGTATATCAAACTGATATTTGGGAATTTAAACAAATAGAGTATGGGATTTTATGACACAAAGGAGTGTCAGAGTACTTCTCAAACATTTTGTGATGAATTGATGATTTTCAATGCATAATTTATGCATGAATCTTTTCCAGTACAGTATATATATAAATTGCATTTGTCTTTCCATCTTGAATAGGTGACGATGGAAAACAGTCTGTAGAGAATGGTGGTTTGCAGAAAGAATCGGAAAATGTCTACACACTCTGGTGTTCTGGACGTACCAGTGTGGAGGGAATGCTGGTTGAACTTAAATTTATCAAGGTAGAGTCTTGCTTTCTGTTTTTCTAACATCTAGAAGGCCTCAGTAGAAGCCTTGCTTGTATATTTAAATTAATTTATGATAGTTTAACTTCATTTATATTTTGTCAAAGTACTGTAGAGATGAACATGGTACAGTATACAGTAAACCTTTATTACTTAGATCTCCTTTTTCTGGAATTGCTGACTATCCAGGCAGAAATATTTGGTACTTCCTTTGCATTAACCTGATCATCAATCAAAAATTGTCCTGTGATCTTTTATTAAATTTGGGTTTTCAGTTATCTGGAGGCACCAAATGGTCTGGATAATTGAGGTCATACTGTATATAAATGTTGCGGCAATAATTTATGAAATGGTACTGTATACTGTTCTGTTCATGATTGATACTTTGTTACTGTGTGAAATGGTACAAGTTTTGGTAAGTTTACAATTAAGTACTGTACAAGTTAAACCCTTAGACCGCGCAATACATATATAGATGATGGGACTAACTTTACCAGAACTGCGCTATACATATATAGATGATTTATGATTTAGGGTGCAATTTTAAATGCCCCGCAAGGGATACGGGTAGCTATAGTCCAGCCACGACCCATAGTTACCAGATGCCACCTAGGAAAAAATAATCGTGGACAAAATTCCCCGGTGTGAGAGCCTCAGTACTGAGTGAGCCACCAAGGCTGGCACACGCAGCATGTTCAGGTACAGTACCGCTGTTCAGCTTGTGACCACTGCATCGCCTAAAAATGTCAATATATATATATGTACATGCTATTATTTAGTGATGATAGTATTACAGAAGACCCCTGACTGTGATAAAACTGACCAGGATTTCGATAATAGTAGGATTGAGGTGATATTTAGCACTGTGCTCTATGGTGGGAGTAGTAATGCTGAGGGAGGGAGGGAGGTGGCATCGTCTTCAGACTGTGTGTGGCCACCTTTTATTGACTGGACTTACCATACCAGCTTAGTGGTTCGCTATGGTGAACACAAATGTAGATACTTATATATAACGTGTGTATAGAGTGTAATAACAGCAATAGGTGTATGTTGGGAGCCCGCCATTTAGGTGAGGGAGGTGCATCGTCTGCATGACTTGTCATGTTGTTTACTGGTGGCCACGATGGTCTTTGGGCACCATACCAGCTTATTTGTACAGGTATGGTGAATAAAATATGTAGATACTTATATATAATGTGTGTATATAATGTAATAACACCACAAACAGCATTGTTGGAGGAGAAATATTAGTGCGTCTAACCTTGAACCAGTTATGGCGGCAGCCACCAGCTGACTGTGTGTGTAGCTGCGTCTCTTATTGACTGAACTCACCATACAAGCTTAGATGTACAGTTATGGTGAACAAAACATGTAGATATTCATACATAACGTCTGTGTATAGTGAATAAAAGCAAAAACAGTATGATGGGAGGAGTATGTTGGCGATTGAGGAGGTGAGGGAGGAAGTAGTGGCGAGTGGCTGGTGAGTGGTGGCCACTCTTCGTTGCTTTTTGAATCACAATACCAACTTAGTAGTTTGTTATGGTGAACAAAACATGCAGATATTTATATATAACCTGTGTATATAGTGTAATAACAGCAAAACTATTTGTTTATTGTTTTATGAACATAATAATTGAATCACTAATATGCACACCATAATTTTGAGTACAGCAATGGTTCACACATTTTATTATATAAATATGTCACAATACACACTATTGAATAATATTACTGCAAAAAAAAAAAAAATCAGACATTGAAATAATTAGGTAATAATATCTTTGTGGCAACCCCCGCCTGAGAGCTTGGGCGGAGCAGACCTCGTCTGGCGACTGCTCTGTCAGCGCCTCTTGTTTGCCAGACTTCCCCGCCCTATTGTGGCCAAAATATGCCACCTACGATTTTTTTTTTCCGTGATCAGGGAATACAAATGAACACTTTTATAAGATAAAAGAATTTTTTGGATTTATTTTTTTTTGTTGCGCCTGTGGGTATTGAAGGCCAAAAGGCCCTTAGCGGTCTAAGGGTTAAGTAAGGAGATATCAAATATGTACAAATAAAATTGTAAAAGAATAACAAATTATTAGGTGGTGCATGATAAAATGGAAATGCAAAAAATACATATACTGTACTGTAATAGACAGTGAAAGGTTCTAGAGTTCAAGGAGTGGAAATAAACTTTAAAGTGCCTCATTGTGAAGCCAAATAAGTGAGCACAATATGAAAGAGTATAAGATTTTTATGAAGAAAAAAAAAGTTAAAAATCTTCGTATGATGTGAAGTTCAGAAACAGTTTTGGTGATGCAGGGATATCATGTTGGGAAGGAGTGTACTAGAGAGGTAAGTGAGGGGAGAAGGCAGCGTGAGAATATGGGTGAAAGTTGCTGTATAGGAATTCACGGGCGAAATATATATATTAGCAATTTATTAAGAAGTGTGTGAAGATTTTGGAGGAATACCTATGCCAAAGATGAAAAGAAATACACTGCTTCTCTTGACTGAGAAGCAGTATATTTCTTAGATTGTAAAATATATATGGTATATATATATTTGTGAAGTATTGTATTTCTTAAGCTTTCTTGAATGATGTTATCAGTGCATTCAATTTTGACAAATGACTAGTAATTAGTTTTCAAGTCATATAATCAGCTTATTTTCAAGCACTTTAATTGTGGACAATTACATGGTAATTTGTTTTATTTAATAATAAAAGATTTTGTTAGTTATTTAATTTTGTTTGTATAAAGATTCATTGTTATTCTTTTGAGTGTTATGCAAGCTTGTAGCTTCTATTTTTATATTTTAAATGAATCTAAATAAAGCATTGGACATTGTGATATTCTTTCAGAGACAAGATATGATTGGTGTGGTGTCACAGTTGATCCGTCCCTCAAGTGATCAGTTACTTGTTAAAGTTCATCTTGATGAAATGGATGCATTTGTCTTTGCCCTTGCCACAAAAAAAACAGCTGCAAAATTGTCAAAGGAGATGACTGATATAGTAAGTATTTCTTGGTAAATCTGACCACATTATCTAAAATCTAAAGTTCAGTATCTAATTCAGGTACACTGATATGTACTTAACTAAATAAAATACCATTGACTTTTACCTATCAATGACTACTGGAGAGTAAGATCCAGCTCCTTATTTTCCAAATCTTAGCCTTTGATACTTGGCACACTAATTATGCCTTTATGTTAAAACTTGTCATAATTTTTTCATGAAGATGTGGATGACAGTTTTGACAACTTCCTTAAATTCCACTTACTCTGACCCCTTGTATAAAGAACAAGATTTTCCTTGAATTTCTGCAACTCGGCTGTGTATCCAGCTTCCACAAGTGTCTCCTTATCCTACCTCCTCTAAATTTAAATTGGCCGTTCTTGTACACTTGTCGCTTCCCCTCAGTATCTTGAATGTAGTAGTTTAGTTAGTAATCATATCCCATTTCTTCTCTTCTAAGGTTGAGGAGTTTCCTTAGCCTGCCCTCAATGCCTTAATTCTGCCTTCATTAAAGCCTGCCCCTTAATTCTGGTACTAATATTGTTGCAAAGCTCTGTACTTTATAAGTTACTTTTGGGGTTCACAAGATGTAGGTTCCATGCTGGTGCTGCATAGTAATAATCTCACATAGGCAGTGTGTATGGTCTTAAAAGCATCCTTTAATTCATTAAATTTGTTCCAATATATGCCAACTTTCCATATGCTACCAACCTTTTCCTGTTGACATGAGCTTCTGGTGTTAGTGTTAGGATTAAATTCACTTCCAGGTCATTTTCTCTTCATTGTTCCTTGTACTGTTGTTGCCTTTCCCTTATAGTGTAGTTTCCCTCAGGTTTTCTATCTTCCCTTTCCCATCATCATGATCTTACACTTGTTTAGATTGAATTTCAGCTGCCATTTATTTGCCCATTCCTGAAGTTTGCTAAGGTCTTTGTGTAGAACTCATCAGCTCTTATTCTCCTGAATAACTTTGCATTATCTGCAAATATTGACTTGTATGAGCTTACTTCCTTTGGTAGATTGTTTACTTATATTAGAAAGAGCAACAGCCCTTGGAAAGTGCAGGAAACCCCCACTTTCCACTTCTCTATAGCAAAACATATCTTCTCTGTGACCCGTTATTTCCTGTACATCAGGTACAGGAAATAATGGAACCACACCCTTTGAGCGTACTGTGTTGGAAAAGCTAATTTCTGAGCAGGACACTCACTTCCTGTCTCATATAGGATTATTTTTCCTTATACGTTGGTGTTCTTTCATGGCCTGTGAGGAGGCCACAAGGTTCCAGGTTTTAGTGTCACCTGGTAGTAATTTTAACAAAACAGTGGTACAATGTTAGCAAGAGTGCTTGGAAGGGATTTTGTACTGTTTAGATTTTTTAATTACATTTGTGTCAAAGTATGAAGAAATGCATAATTTTTTGTTCCTGTTAAAATAATAACAGAATTGTACTGTGATTGTTAAAAATTGCAGTGGACGAGTCTAACACAAAATTTGTCTGTTCATGCAATCAACTGTTCATTAAAAAAATACTATTTGATCAATCAAAACCTATTATATAATATTTTTAATTCAAATATAGTACCATGAACACGATTGATGTTTACTAATGGTGTTATCAATCTTCAGAGTACCTTTTGTCCAGAGAAGAAGTCAGCTGAGAAGTTTGGCCTTGGATCGCAGTTTGTGATTATGAATGAACTTGGAGAAGTGGCATCAACAGTGCTAGGTGACCCCAAAGTGACAGCAGTGCTCAATAAATTCTCTGGAATGATAGACTTCTTCCACTTTTCAGATCAGTACTCAGGACCCAAGCAGCCAGAGTAAGTTTACTGAAAACATACTTTTAATTTAAGTTCTTATTGGTGAGCAAATTAAAAATTAGTAAAATTATCCCTTGAGAATAATTGCATTTTTTTTTTTTACTAACCTAGTTTAAACTTTTATATTGAAATTAAAAGTTTTGCTATTACAGAAATGAGCAAATTTTAATTATTGCCACATTAAATATCAGATTGCTTAAATTTTCACCAAAGTAGCCTAGTTTAGTACTGCATATGAGCTTTAAAAAAGAACATCATATAGGTGTAATATTTGTTTTTTCTTGTACAGCACATATTTTCTTGTTGATAAAGGTCGATTGAAATGTCAGTAAAAGTGACCAGTGTGAATACTGTGGAGTACTTGTGACAATAATGTTATTGTACCATAGTTGTGGCAGCCACAGGACAGTAAAGTGGATACTAAATTGTTTATGTAACATCTGCTTCAGGAAAGTCCAAGTTTAAAGTGATTGTGTGCTAATATATTTTGATTTTATAATTTGATCAAGTGTATAATGCGGTGTGTTTTAGTCAGTGCTATATTTCACTTTCATGTCTCATAGAGGAACAGAAGGAAGGTAAAGTGTGAAGAGGTAGTCTTTGATATATGGACAACTTTCCCTAGTCCAGACACCTGGCATGCTCTAGTACTTTACACTACACTGTATGCTCTCATCCCTGAAGAGCCATGCATCTCAAGTCTCAGAAAATACAAAGTACTTATGTGATCCTATAGTATTGCAATCAATTTTAGTTCTTGATATTTTGCCAAATTATCTTGATTTTTGTCAACTGCGTTTCAAAGACATATTTCTCTAAGTAGTTATTCTCTGGATATTACCTCATGTTTTAGAATCATGAAGGTTTACACAACAATATTTTCTTGTCTTATCCAGTGGGACATGAAGTTTTAAATTTATTTGTTTACTTTAGTCTAGATTATTGTAGCTTTATTCATACTTATTAAATATTTTATAGGAATCTGTACCATAACCTCAATATAATAACAATAACAGTGTAACCTCAATTTGGTGAATCTTTAGCTGCAATGTGCACTTTGCAGGCCAGATTTGCTCACTTATTTTGTTGGAATGGGGCATGGTTAAATATTTTGATGGGGGTGTCCAGGTAAGACGTCCCTCTCCTGGTAGGTCTTCCTGGTAGTTGTTCACCATAGGTTCGAGTTACAATTTTCCAAGTGAAATTAGCATATAGAACATGTCATTCATGGTAGCTTCTTAATATGGTTCCAACCACATTTTTTGTATATTTTCATAGATGAATGAAACTTGAGAGAGTCTTAGCAACTGGAAATGCTTTCTAAAGGCATCTCCAGTTGTTAAAAATTACTAGATGTTGTAAACAATAAATTAGGATCAGTTCCATGTACTGCAGGTTACCAAATTGAGATTGCACACTACTTGTAACTTATTTGAATGTGTGTTACAAAGACAATATCCTGAAGTACTGACTGTCAGTAATTCTTGTCTTTCTTGAAAGTATCTACTGATAAACAACTAGAAAATAGTTTGTATTATTAAATATCTACATTTTTAAAACAATTGGGGTTGAGATTGAGAACTCGTTTAGAGATTCTTCTAACTCAAACGTTATTAGCTAATATAACTAAATATTTATTGGATATTGCTATTCTAATATCTCTGAAATATATTTTCATAATAAGACACATACATGGTATATTGTTATCATATATTGAATTCCACTACTATTACATTTTATATATTTTATTGAAAGTTAATATATTTTTATTGAAAGTTAATATATTTTTATTGAAAGTTAATATATTTTATAATGCACAGAGAAATCACATTAACTTGATATATCAAAGTATATAATTCTTTGATATATCACATTGATATATGATATATCACATTTGATATATCACAAGGGAGCCGGTCGGCCGAGCAGACAGCACGCTGGACTTGTGATCCTGTGGTCCTGGGTTTGATCCCAGGCGCCGGCGAGAAACAATGGGCAGAGTTTCTTTCACCATATGCCCCTGTTACCTAGCAGTGAAATAGGTACCTGAGTGTTAGTCAGCTGTCATGGGCTGCTTCCTGGGGGGTGGAGGCCTGGTCGAGGACCGGGCCGCGGGGACACTAAAGCCCCGAAATCATCTCAAGATAATCTCAAGATAACCTGACAGTACACACCCATGGGTAAAGGTGTATCTGCACCCATGAGGAATGTCATAAGCAGCAGAGATGACTATTTTCAGGGGAAGGAAGGAATCTGCACCCTGCTATTTTTTTTTAACTACCTGTATATCGTATAGAATTATGCCACTCTCCATATTGAGTTGCCTTGGCTAACAACACAGAGGTGGCTATACCAGGTTCCAAGATCTCCACTCTGGACTGTAGTACTAACAAATAAATTGTATAGGTATACAGTACAGTATTTAGTACTGTATGTGTGAATAAAGTTAGGTAGTTACGGTGCCCTCTCCTATTTCTTTCGTTTGCCGGCTTAAAGAGTCATATCAGCTCTCCCTACTGATTCTCTAGTTCAGGGACTAATGATATATGTGGCGACCAACCGGCTGCCATTTAATGGAAGGAGGTTATATTATAAGTCTTGTATGAGGTATACTAGTACAGTATTTAGTACTGTATGTGTGAGCAAAGTTATTACTTTAATAGTAGAATAGGCTGCAAGGCAGCTTGTGTCCAGGACTGTCAGAGAGGACAGTGTGTATGGATGACAGGACAGTGAAGGAGAGGTGCCGACGTGGTGAAGAGGCCCTCCTGTGAGAGTGTGAGAGTACTTATGTTAATCCTGTTGCTGGATTTGCCTTGATTGCTTTGTATATTATGGTCTCTCTTTATTGAATTTGATATTTGAAACCTGAATGCTGATAATAGAGTTGCTCCTCCAAAATTTGGATTATATCGTTCCTGGATCCAATCCAGATTTCCAGAAATTTGCTGTGGTACTATTTATCACCAGTTCTGAATTTTCCTTATAGAAGTTATAAATACTTTTTGCATATTTAAATTGATTTTGTGCTACTAAAAAAAATAATTCATAAAAAATTTAAAACTTTGATTACTTGCCTTTTAGTAGCACAGACACAAAGGAACCAAAATGCACTTAAATCACTGTCATGCTAACTGTTAAACTTATTAAACTGCAATGACCCTGAACAAGCCTTGAAGTCTTCAAAGCCTATGGGTAATGCCATTCTCTCAGCTATAGACTTTATTGTTCATCCTAGGCTACAGTGCTGCATAAATTATTTTTAAGCAACAGCACCTAAGTTCTCATGCTTATGAGTTTCAATGTTTTTGTCACTTTTCTTTTGACCACTGTTCTTTGACTATTCCCAGTCATCATCGCATTTTTCTAAATTTACATTTCTCTCCATAGTAAGGAAGTTCCTTTCACTCTTGTCTGAAGTACTTATGCTACTATTGCAGTATTAACATGGCTTCAGCTCTGAAATAGTAATATATTGGTAGAAAAGACAGTGAAAAATCTTGAATACCAAGAGGTCAGACCACATACATGTGAGGAAAACTCATGGTTGGTATGCATGCCCTCATATTAGGTGCCTGCTTGATGGGGTTCTGGGAGTTCTACTCCCCAAGCCCAACCCGAAGTTAGGCTCGACTTGTGAGATCAAGATCAAGGTCAAGATACTTCAGAAGTAGTCAAATAATCAAATATGATTGTGCTATTCATATTGCAGAACAAGCTAAATTAAAACATTTCTAAAATATAAATTGCATTATTCTCAGTAATATTTAAAAATAAGAAAAAAGACCAACCTCCCCCACCCACCAAATGACAAATTTTTACAGGATAAACATGTGATCTGAAATTCATTGTTTGCCTTTGGAATATGAATATTTTATTTTTAATTAGAATTTTGAAGGTGAAAATCTGGTGGGCAAATTTGGTTTGGTGTTAATTGGGATCCATTATAGGTAAGCTGAGATTTGGGAGAGTGCACTACACTTTACATTTATCAGAGTATAGTGTCTAATTGTACAGTTGAATGTATAATTAGTTTCAGATAAGTTAAAGAATATAACAAAGTATACTGTTAACAGTATACATTTAGTATAACCAAAATATACTATTTATTCAAAATTTTGTTAACTGAAAGTTAGATGTGGTTGATTATTATAAAACTTTTTTGCTTTGACAGAGATAGTCTTATGATATTTTATTGATTTATTAGAGACACCCAGCCAACCAAACTGCCAGAAGTTCGAAGGTCATTAGTGTTTGGCTTCAACTTTCCTGGACGTGGTAACCCCTCATTGGAGGCCATTGAGAGCATGCGGCCGCTGCTGCAGTTGGTATTTCACCTGACTGACAAATTGCGCAGGTTCAAGCTAAGCAAAGAGGTACTAGTGTCTGTCTTGTTTTATCCAAAAGTAAAAAATTATGTTGGATTGTACGTACTGTATATTCAAGTAATTATTTGATATGCTGTAAGAAGTTTTTACAGCATTGATTGTGTCCATTTATTATGCATACCATATTTGTCCCGGTTATTCTTGTATCAGTTGTGTTAATCTATGCTTTCTTTAAAAATGATTAAATATATGTACTCTGTTATTACTCCAAGCATCTCTCTCAACCCTTAAGGTTCTGTTGAAGTCATGTGTTATCTAGGGAAATGGGGTCATCATCATATGTTAATTTATATTTTGCATCAGTGTTTGAACTGTGACGTTACCCATATGATTCCAATATCCTAGTGGTGTCTCCCAGCAGTCATGGGAGGGCACAAAATAATTTGGAGGTGGAGGTAGTTCAGCTCCTGGTCTCACATCATGGGATTTACTTAACTGGTACTCAACATAAAGATTTTCATTATAAGATTTTTTTTTAAATACATGTTTACTTTTGCAAATACAGTAGATTCATGCTTTTGAGAATATTTAGTATGAAAAGTACAAAACAAAATACTGTTTGGTCCTGGCTTCTATCACAGTATAAAGCTCACAATACCTGAAGAAATGTTAACTACTGCCCAAACCAAAATAAGGGTTAATACAGATTTTTTGTTGTATTTTCTATATTTTCTGTGGGGGAGCCCCGGAGGCTCCCTGGGAGCTATTGGACTAATATTAGCTAATATTTAGTTAATATTAGCTAATATTAGTACGAGGCTTCAGTTATATGGAGTTGTCATGCCTACTGGGGACCCCTAACCAGAACATGGTCCCTTCAGAGAGACAGAGGGAGCAATGACCTATGAAACTCTTATGTATGAAAGTATTCATGTCTGTACACACAGAAATCACAATAGCATGAACCATCAAATGAACAAATATTTGTTCATTTGATGCATCACGCTATTGTGATTTGTGTGTGTAATGAAGTAAGGGCGAAGAGGGAGAACGGCCTATTGACACAGCTCGAGTGTATGGGGTAGTTGTGTAAAACCCTGGTTTGTGTCTCGGAGAGGCTGCAGGATCCAGTAAGTTCAGTAGAACTTCGGTTTCAACTCTTTTGACCATGTTGTAGCTCAGTCGATAAAGGCAGCATTTGGGATAATCTCAGACTTAGGTTCGAATCCTCGTCACAGCCCTTGTGGATTTGTTTATTCATGTTTGCTATTGACCGGGGTTGAGCACCCAGAAAGGTAGGCGCTTCAGAACAGACCTCTCCTGATAGAAAAATTGCAACCTGAGACCAAATAGAGGCTAGAAACTCCCCCAAAGAAAAACAAGCTAACAAGCAACATGTCATCACACCGCACGACGCTCCTTCGCCGCCACCACTGTCACCTTCCCCACCGCCTCCATCATGCTGCTCGTTGGGTCGCCGACACCTTTGACCTGGAGTCTTGCGGCACTTGTTCGGCGTTCATACTCCAATTTCCCCATTTTGCTGTAGTGGAGGTTAGGGGTCAAGCAGCATGCGCATTGCATGCTAGGTTTAGGTTGTTTCAACGTGCTAGGTTGGTTGGCCGCTCGAATGACCCGGGGCTGCACCATTTTGGTTTTAGGGACCCGGACTTGGGGGCATTGGTCGCTTCGACCTCGGTTCAGTCCACGCCCCTTTGTCCTCCCTTTGTTGGTGAGGTTCACCGTTCTCCTACCCCCCCCCCCTGCTTCCGGCTCCCAAACGTTTGAGGGGTTTCAGGGTCAGGGCAGGGCTTAGCCAGGGATGAGACTCGGACGGCTCCTGGGTTGCCCCATTCGATGCGGGGGACAGAGATATTCGAGTCTGTTCCTCCAGGTTCTGTGCCGGTGTTTCCTCCGGAATTGGGGGTCAGCTTTTCGGAGGGGGTGCTGGGCCTTTTGCGGGGCGCCCCATTAACAGGGGCGAAAGGGGGAAGGCTGGCGCTGTTTGCCCACACTTGGGCAAACGGCGATTTGTGAGCATTTCGAGTTGTCTTCTAGCCTTGGGTGGCCATTGGGCGACTCCTCCTCCAGGGGGGATCGAGGCTGGCGGGGCAGGCTTATTCCCCTTCAATGCATCGGGTCATCTTGGAGTAGGTGCGTTTGGGCATGGTCGAAACAACCTTGTCACTCACGTGGGTTTCTCGCAGGTTTCCAGTGCCAGAACAGAACAGTGTGATTCTTTGGATAATTCTGGATTTGTCCCGTCTGAACCCCTGGATTTCTTGCCCCTCCATTTGGATGACCACTCTGTACGTACCAGGTCCAGCTTCTCTTGGAGTCTCTGGACCTCCGGGATGCATATTGGCACGTCCCTATTTATCCGGGGTTCCGGGAATGTTTAGGTTTTGTGGTGGGGGCACAAGGCTTACCGCTTTCGTTCCCTTCCTTTTGGGCTGAATCTGGCACCTCGCGTTTTTACGCGTCTTACCTGGGTTGTGGTGGCCCGTCAGCGTCTCCTAATTGTTTTGGCCTACCTCAATGACTGATTGGTCTGGGATCCCAGCCAGTCCATGTGTCTGTTCACCAGAGGTTTGGTTCTTTTCCAGCTTGCCGGGTTCGGGTTCCTGGTGAACTGGAGGAAATCCCATCTGGTTCCTTCTCAAGTTCAGACTTGGCTGAGCCTTGTCTGGCATTCCCAGACAGTGTCCTTGTCTCTTACTCAGGCAGTGTTGCTCTGGCTGCAGTCTCGCCGTTGTCTGTTTCTGAGGGGTCCCAGGCAACTCGGCAGTTGCTCGAGCAGCGGTGTGGAAGTCTGAAATTCGCTATGATCGTTTACACTCTGGGTCGGGTTTGGTTGCGGCATCTGTTCTGGTTTCTTCGGGGCCATCCCTTCCGCCGCTCTCGCAGTTGCTGAATTCGTTTCCCGGGGGCCTTGTGTCGGCTGCTGCATTGCCAACTTGGGGAGTATGAAGTCTCTTGGCGGCCTTTTTCCCATTTCCTTTCCCTGTGTAGGTTGTCTTCAGTCTAGGATCATATGTTGTCTTCTTTCTTGGCTTTTTCATATTGGGCATCTTATGCCGAATACTGTCGCCTTGTATTGTGCGGCTTTGGCGGAGCAGCTCCAGCTTGCATTCAGGGTGGATGTCACTTTGACTCCGTTTTGCAAGCTTTCTTGTGCCCTCTTTTCCCTCCGGCCTGTTCGTGTGCCGCCTAAGCCATCCTGGTCTTTGGTCCGGGTGCTCTCCTTTCTCTCTTCCCCTCTGTTTGTGGTTGTCCTTTCGGTCTGTTTCCAGAATGCTTTGTTCTTGCTGGCTTTGGCTTCTGGTGGAGCTTCATGCTCTTCTCCAGTGCAGAGGTATTTGCTCTTTTGGTCCTGGTGGACATTTTGTTCATTTGCAGCCGTCTCCTTTTTTGGCGAAGAACTAGACAGAGGGCTTCTGGAGGGATCCATGGGTTATTGATGCTTGGTTGGTCAGGCTGTGGGTGCATCATGTTTTGTGTTCGGTTGCAGCTTTACGCAGTTACCTGTGGGCCTCGGTTTCTATGTCCGGAGACTTGCTATGGGTTGACCCGGTTTCTCTTGTTCCCTGTTCCAGGGCTCTGGTCTCTCAAGTCGCCCACAGTGTTATAAAGTCTAGCCAGCCTGTGGTCTACCCTCGCGCTCATGATGTTCGTAAGTTCGCAGTTCTCGACTTCGTTATGAGTTGTGTGGTGCAGCCGCCTTTCGGGTAAGTCCCTGTTTTTCTGCTCTTTGGGCAGTTGGCTCCAGGGAAGCCGACAGGGCTCCCCCACAGAAAACCATTGCGTTGAATGTAATGAGACGCAATAGAGGGTAGGGTAGAGCCCTGGTCGGCAGATTTTGTTTCCGTTTTTCAGCCTCCAAACTGACTGTCAGGTTGCCGGCTCTGTGGGCTGGGACCCCCCCTCTTCCCCTCCTGGGGAGGGGTCTGCGCGAACGAGCGGGATGTGGTGTGATGACATGTTGCTTGTTAGCGTAATTTTTCTTTGGGGGAGTTTCAAGCTTCTGTTCGGTCTCAGATTACATTTTTTCTACCAGGAGGGGTTTATTTTGAAGTGCGCCTACCTTTCTGGGTGCTCAACCCCGGTCAATGGCAGACATGAATACTTTCATACATGAGAGTTTCATCCCGCCAAGCACACATCGAAACTACGAATTTGGTACAACGTTCAAACAAGTTTTAACACCTAACCAGTTATAACAACCAATATAGCAAGTTGTAACAACGTTCTAATATGTCATAAACATGTTAAGCCAAGATGTAACAAATTTATTAAAAGTTGTAACAAGCGGAAAATAGAGACGGTTACGGTTTGTATTTCCAGGGATAGGTCATTGCTCCCTTTGCCTCTCTGAAGGGACCATGTTCTGGCTAGTGGTCCCCAGTAGGCATGACAACTCCATATGACTGAAGCCTTGTATAAATATTAGCTAATATCAGTCCAATAGCTCCAGGGAGCCTCCGGAGACTCTACCTAGAAAATGGGATTTCATTACATTCAATGCTGGTTTTTTAAATAAAGATCTACAATTTCATAAGAAAAACTGAGGATTTGAATTTTTATACTTGCTATACTTTATTTAACATTTATTCACTTCTCCTGTCCCTTTTGTCCTGATTTGAATTGAGCCTTTTGCTCTTTTCAGTTTTCTCATTGTTTAACATTTCCCCATTAGATCATAATATAAAAAGAAATGAGTTATATTTAACGAAAGATTTTTTTTTATTAAAGTTTAAATTTATTACTTTTTATATTTTCCTTCTCTAGGGCAGAGCAAAGGCAGAAAAAAATCGCTCACGAGTGGAGGAGGCCTTCCTGAAGGCTACCCATGCTGCTCGGGCAGAGATGGCTCAGGCCAAGAGAGAAGAACGGAAGAGAATGGAGCGGGAGAAGATGCTGGAGGTAAGGCTATTGATCCTTATTTTTTGTTGTCTGTCTTCTTTATAGCTATACACTGCAGTCTCTAAAATCCCTGCCTCATTATAATTAACTCTTTACATAAAAAATTATCCTGTTGAATTATCCTTTTGCAAGATGATAAACTTGTTTCTAAATTGGGTAATTTTTAATAGGGTTTGTACCAGCCAAAACTGGAAGACCATGTTAACTGCTGCGATAATTGATAATTCATAGATTGATGACCCAGACAAGCAGCGTAAATGGGAGGAGCGTGAGCAGCGGCGGCAAATGAAACGACGTGCTCCTAAGATGAAGCAACTGAAGGTAATGGCAACTTTGTTAATCGTATGTTCTTAAGCAATATAATCTGAGCTTGTAAGTTTTTGTTAATATTACCAAGAGGTGATTGTTTATACTGTATGCAAAATCTTTGTATTTCAGATAGCAGTTATTGTATTAATGGTTTTAAATCCCATTTTTGGTTGAGATATTTAGGACTACTTGAATATTTGTTATTCTTTTCCTTCTGCAGTGTCTTTGGTCAAGTTTTTTGAGCTTCCACAAAGAAATATTTTGAGAAGATTTTGTGCACCAAGACAGTCAATTGTTCTATTGCTTATATGGGAGTTTTGATATTTTGCTGGTTGTGTGTGTATTTCAATGTTTCTGAAAGGTACAGTTATTTATTGTATGCTATAAAGAGTTAATTTCCACTGGTGTAATATACTTGAAGACTACCTTCCTTCATTTCACCAAGGTGTAATCCACTGGTGTAATATACTTGAAGACTTCCTTCCTTCAATTTCACCTTCACCTTCCTTCTTCCACCAAGCCGCTTGGTGAAGTTGAATGAGCCCCTTCTTTTTATCTTCTTTGTTTCAATACTTTATTTTCAGCCCTTCCTATCCATTTCACTTGCACCATTGATCACTTACCACCTGTTCAATAACAGATAATTCACATTAGGAAAACACTTTACTGTATCTCCAGTTTCAAGCCTTGTGATAGGTTATACTGACGACACTGTGGCAACTGGCACTATAGTTTTCCTTTTGTTGCATTGTATGCTACGAATTCACCGGGTGTTGGACATTTCATTAGTTGCTCACACCTTTTCCATAATATTATGTGATGTACTATACAGCTTCTTTATGGAGTAGCTACCATGGACTACTTCGTTGATTATTACTCACTTTCGAAGTACTGAGTTTGTAATACAGTGTGAAACTGTACATATTGTAATTTTAGTGATTTTTAACACGTAAAATTGCGACAATAAACATTTATTGTGGACACATTACTGACACATGTATCACAGTTCCATGGAACATTATGAATGTTCTACTGTATACAGATTGTAAAGGACACAAATATGCATCATATATGATAAAAAAACAAATAAAACCGCATTGGAAATACATAGAACAAATAATTGAAAATATATTTGTGGCAACATCCGGTGCTTGAATGGCCCGCGCGACCGTGTCTGAGCGAGTCACGCATGGGCGACCAGGCCCCTGATGACGTCACAGCCCACCTTGTCCACGTCCCCGCAACCAAAGTAAGTGGAATTTGGTATTTATTTTTACATAGACATGTTCAGGGAAGGGAATTTATCATTTTACGAAGAAAAAAGAATTTTTTGGGAACACTTTATTTCATGCGCACAGGGGGAATTTCACAATATACACGGCGCAGCACGGTGGTTAAAAAAACGAAATGTAAATAAACAGTTGAAATAATTTGAAAAACGGACAAATGCCATATAGGCTTGTTCAGTGTTTGTTAGGTAGGCTGCTCCATTATGACAATCTTTCTTTGTTTCAAATGTGTTCCATTTGTTTTGTATTTCTCATTTATTTCTCAATAATGGAGCAGCCTACCCGACAAACACTGAATGAATCTATATGGCATTTGTCAGTTTTTCAAACTGTTTCAACTTCTTTTTCTCTCTCCTTTTTTAAGAAACATGGAGCAGCCTACCTGCTGAACACCGAACAAACCTTCTTAACATTTCTTATTTTTTTAAATTCATTTCTTTTTTCTACAAAAAAGTAAATGCTTTGCAACATCACATCTGTAAACAAAAAACAAAAAATTTATTTGCATCGTCGGAGGCATCTGAGAATGTGCAAGAAGCAGCGCGACTCCACCATGTGGTGTTGTCGTTATTTAAACGAGACGAATTGTTGGCGATCGGGGCGCTCGTTACCCAAATTGCTCACTAATTGAGGCGCTTGTCACTCGAGGTTCTACTGTATTTCCCTTCCAAAATAAGGGACTTTTGATTTGATGGCCTACATATGCCCACCTGGCCCAAAACTGTGAACTTGCTCACCCATGTTCTCCCGTCATGGGATTCTACATAGTGCCACTCCATTACTAAAAGAATTTACTAAGACCATGTCTGGTAGCTGCAGCAATCAAAGTGGAGGTATTAAGAGGAAGCAAGTTATGCTACCAATTAACGATAAACTAAGAGTTATTGAACTTTATAAAATGGCCATTCCAGTATGAGTGTTATGAAGGATTTTGGAGTCTGATATAAGAGATATATACTACGGGCTCACCATAACCTTGGAACTTTTTGTTCCGAGTAGCTGAATCTAAAACAACAACAAATGATATAAGGAAATGTAAAGAAGGTGGAGTACCTCTGGACAACCCGCATATCCAATATCATAGTGATGACACAAAGGCTGCTGTGTGTCCAGTGAGAAATAAGATGGGACAAATTAAGCCATAGCAACAAGAGTGAGGGAATCCACCAAGTTTGAAGGTGCAGATTGTTGCAGAGGGGATGCCTGCTGGGCATGGACAGATATAAGGGCCTCTCCAGGAGCCAGCATCAGCATTCTTGTGAGAAACATCATACCTGGTTGACATGTGTTGTTCTATCGGCCAATAGACAATAACGCACCATTAATTCCTCATCATCAAGTTACCCTCTGTGTCTCATACAATATACCAGCATTTGACCTGAATTTACAACTGCAAATATATTGTACTGAAAGCTGATTTAGTGTGTTACAAAGATCTAATGATTCGCTAGAATGAAACAGACTGATATCATCAAGCATTTGGTGACAGTGAGATTGAGGTCATCTGTAAGCAGAAGTGCCTGGAGTACTACTTTGCCTTCACCCAAGTGCTTGGGGATCATATGTAAAACTTGGAATGGCTTCAGGAGGGGCCTCCAGACTTCTTGTGATTATAGTAGAATTCCGGTTGTATGGTTTTTCCAGTCAGAAGAGGCACAAGGGCTGGCAGTGGCTGGCAGTGCCTTGGTCGTGGGTTCGCATCGCCAAGTTTCACTTCCCTGCATCATGACTAGAAGTAGTATACTATCAGTATTTTCTTAACCTCTGTACTAGCATTCCTTCTCTTCATTATACAGTGGTACCTCGCATAACGATTGCCCCAAAAGACGAATATTTTGGGTAACGAACGGCCCGATCGGCGTCAAATTGTCCCGTATGACGAACGCTGGTTTGAGTAACGTCAACACCACATGGTGGGGTCGCGCTGCTTCTTGCACATTCTTAGACGCCTCCGACGATGCACATAAATTATGTTGTTCTTGTTTAAAGATGCTAATGATGCTGGGATATAAAAGGGTGACTGCTGAGATGTTGCAAAGCATTGACGTTTTTGTAGGAAAAAAGAAATGAAATGTCTGATATACAACAAATGTCAAAAAGGTTCGATCGGTGTTCGGCAGGTAGGCTGCTCCATTATAACAATCTTTCTTTGTTTCAAATGTGTTCCATTTGTTTTTTATTTGTCATTTACATCTCAATAATGGAGAAGCCTACCTTACATACACTGAATAAACCATTATGACATTTTCCTTTCTTCAAATGTGTTCAATATTTATTTTTCATTTGTCTTATAGCAAAAGGTTTGTTCGGTGGTCGGCAGGTAGGCTGCTCCATGTTTCTTACATACAAAAAACGTAAATAATAAAAAAAAAATGAAGAATTTTGAAAATCAGTACAAATGTCAAAAAGGTTCGTTCGGTGGTCTACAGGTCGGCTGCTCCATGTTTCTTAAAAAAAAAAAAAAAACGAAAAATAAAAGAACTGTTGAAACAATTTGAAAAATGGACAAATGTCATAAAGGTTCGTTCAGTGTTTGTCGGGTAGGCTGCTCCATTATTGAGACGTAAGTGACAAATACAAAACAAATGGAACACATTTGAAACAAAGAAAGATTGTCATCATGGAGCAGCCTACCCAACAAACACTGAACGAACCTTTTGCTATAACGAATATGAAAGACAAGGGCTGCTGGCTGGGTTAGTACTGCGTGAGCAACCATTTGTGGCACACGTGCCTCTGGCTCTCAAACACCTGTCCCACACGGTGTTGAAAGACTGTGCTCAGTCGGTGCAATTCAGACCCTATTGTTTGAAGAACATAAGGGTCATAACATTGGTGAAGCTAGGCGCAATAAGGGCTTAACACAACGGTCGGATGCCAGTGATACAGCACCTATGAGGATGATACAGCGAGCGTATCCAGGTGTAGCTCTGAGCCCCACCCTTGCCATCTCTAATGTATATAGATGATACATAGATGAATCGTTTTCTGCGTTCAGTGATGATGCATCTGATACAAGTAGCATAAATGAAGTGTTAGCAGCTTCCATGGTGGTGGTGTTCATTGATATTTTCAAGAATACCTGAATCTCTTCCTGACTGATGGACACTCTTTGAGGCTAGCTGAATCTCTTCCTGACTGATGGACACTCTTTGAGGCTAGCTGAATCTCTTCCTGTGTGGGACCTTACATAGCGATCTTTTCAAGACTACCTTACAAATTGAGCTTTTCCTATAATCGTTTCAATACTACTTTATGCTTTACAAGCTTGGCTACATACCACCTACAAGTACTAAAGCCAAGGGTGCACGCGAGTGCGTTATTTGCAAGCACACAAAACGATGAAACAGGAAACGAAAATCTATCTGTAGCTGGTGTAAGGAGAGCAAAGCCGCGCTGTGTACCATGGACTACTTCGTTGACTATTACACACCTCCAAAGTACTGAGTGTGTAATACAGTGTGTTACTGTGTAAATAGTGTGTGAAACTGTACATATTGTAATTTTAGTGAATTTTTACCACGTAATATTGTGACAATAAACATTTATTGTGGACACATTACTGACACATGTATCACAGTTTCATGGAAAATTATGAACATTCTACTGTATACATATTGTAAAGGTCACAAATATGCATCATATACTATAAAAGAAACAAATAAAACCGCATTGGAAATGCATAGAAAAAATATTTGAAAATATATTTGTGGCAACACGCGGTGCTTGAATGGCCTGCGCGACCATGTCCGGGAGCTTCACACACGGGCGACCAGCCCCTGATGACGTCACAGCGCACCTTGTCCACGCCCTCACAACCAAAGTAAGTGGAATTTGGTAATTATTTTTACATAGACATGTTCAGGGACGGTAATTTATCATTTTACAAAGAAAAATTATATTTTGGGGAACATTTGATGTCATGCACACTGGGGATATTTCACAATAAACACAGTGCATCACACTGGTTACATGGGGGACACTCGTTTTGTATGACGTCCGTTTCACATGACGAACATGGAACGGATTAAATTCGTTATGCGAGGTACCACTGTACTAGTATCCTCTTAGAAGATATCTGATTGCTTTCATTGAAATAATTTTGGTTGTGTGTGTTCCTCAAATTTTGATCATATAATATCTGGTGAACACCTTCGTGAATCAGCTTAAACTTTCAAGGCTTATGTATGGTTGTACAAGGAAGATTATGAATTTTATTGGAATATGTAGCTCCCTGGTGGTAGATTTTAAACCAATTGCAAACCATCAGAATGGGGTGGGGAGATGTTGAGAGACATCAGAAATTTATATAAGGAGGTACCAAATAATACGTACAAGGTGTGTGTGTGTGTGTGTGTGAGAAGGATTATTAAATACAAAAGTACTTAACCACTGCACTGCTCTGCATTAAAATACTGTACGACACACCCGTGGTGCACCAAAAATAAATTCTTTCCAAAAAATTATTTTCTCTTATATTGTTAAAATGCAGTTTCTGATCACTGGAAACTAAAAAAATATTGTATGTGACATACTTTAGCAGTGATGAAGTTGGGAAGTTGAGCAAATTATGGGTGCTGAGCGATGGAGCGCTCAAGGTCATTAGGCCCCACCACCCTGTGGGGCTGCAGTTGCTGTGAAAATAATGTTTCACAATTATTTTGATATTTCTCATTCGTTTCTTCTCTGGTTTTATGCTGTAATATTATTCAAAATTGTGTAAATTGTGGAATATATATAGTTCAATGTGTGGAACATTGCTGTGCTCAAAATTATGGGGCTCATGTGTGTGACATGTATATTATATTTTACGATCAATCAAACAGTGTTTTTGCTGTTATTACACTATATACACACACATTGTATATACCCATCTACATGTGTGTTCACCATAGCGAACCACTAAGTTGGTAAAGTGAGGGCAAAAACCAAGAGTGGTCTGCCACACCCAGCCAGCTCTCCCTCCTTCATCACCAATCTCGCCAACATTACTCTCCCACAATACTGTTTGTGGTGTCATTACACTATATACACACATTATATATAACTATCTGCATGTTTTATTTACCATAACTACAACTAAGCTGGTATGGTGTCCAAACAGCATAGTGGCCACTGCATGACAAGTCACACAGCAGACGACAGCCTCACTCCCTTACCTAAATAGCTCCTCCCAACATAAGCATTTTGCTGTTATTACACTATACACATGTTGTATATAAGTATCTACATTTGTGTTCACCATACCGAACCACTAAGCTGGTATGGTGATTCTATACAATAACATATTGCCACATGCCAACCAGCAGCCGACGCCACCTCTCCCTCACTCCCTCACCAACAATACTCCTCCCACCGCTAATTCTCACCACAATCCTGCTATTATCAGAATCCTGGTCACTAAATCATGTAAATGAATAATTTTCCACATGTTTATTTTGTAAAGGAACACCAGAAATTGTTTGAATAATCTTAGATGGATGAAATAATGGCAGTGTGCTGTGGCTAGTGCTGTGAGCACCTTGAACAGCATTTATTCACTGATATCTGAACATTGTACACAGTCTTTATCACAGTCAGGCTCTTCTGTAATACTATCGTAGCTAAATAATACCAGATACATATATATTTGGAAAATTTTAGGCGATGCTGTGGTCAAGCTGAACAGCAATGCTGTTAGCTCATGCTGCATGCACCAGCCATGGTTGCTCACTCAGTACTGAGGCCTTCTCACCCGGGAATATTGCCCACGATTTAAAAAAAAAAATGCCGACTGTTTAGATAGCCCTGAGGACGCTGATGTGAACCCCCGTGTAGCCGTGGGAGTTTTGAATGATATGGTATACCTATACGATACCTGAAGCACGTTGCGCACCTCCCGTCGAGAGCCTCAAGGTTGTTGTGCAGTGTTGTGGTCATGAAATTCCTGTTTCAATCCTTCCTTTGTGGTCTGACACTCACATTTTTTATCACATGTTAATTTTTGTGATTTACACGTGTGTGTGTGTGTGTATGGGGAGGGGGGTGGAAGATATTGGAACACCAGGTCCCAAATTTGCACAGTAGAATATCTTTTGCTACACATACACTGAAACAAAAGATAGGGAAGGAAATGCAGAATAGAACTAGTGATGAGGTGAGGTGCCATAAGCACAATCAGAGGGCACTGTATGAACATCAGAGGTCCATGGATGTTCAGTACCTTCCCAGCCAGCATTATGAATATTTCCAATACAAAGGTGGACATATTCAAGAAGCAACTAGGTAAGTTTTCATGGGGCTGGGCTCGAGGAGTAGGGGAACCCCTGAAACCCCTCTCCAGGTAAGATCAGTCTAAATCAAATTACATACATGTTCTGATAATGGGGTAATCACATTAGCCTTGGTTGAAATGTCCTAGTAAGTTTTGCAATCTGTACAGCTTGGTTGAAGATATTATTTACAGTTAACATATGTGTAACTTAGAACATTGCAATTAGTGCAGGCTTGATAGTATCAATTACACTAGAATGGAAGTCTTGGTGGTGGATGATGGCAGAGATGATAGACTTAAAATGTAAAGTATTCATGGGCCATCGCTCCCTGTGCCTCTCACGAGGGGCCAGGCTCTGGCTCGTGGTTCCCGGAAGGCAAAAAGAACTCCACAACTGATGACACTCTGGTATGGCACTTAATCAGTATGGTAGCTTCAGGGAGCCAACAGGGTTTTCCACAGAAACAAGAGGATTTGTCTACAATGTATGAGTACAAAATGCATACTGTACCAAATTAGTCTGGGGATAAACAAGAACTAAACAAATTTGTCATCGAAACACAACCAGATAGCTCCCTGATGCTATATAGCATACTGATAGCTTCAGGCAGCCGATGGGGCTCACCCAGAAGCTGGCATTTCATTACATTCAACGTTGGTTTTTAGTCCTGCAGGAATTTTTCTGAACTGTGTCCTGTTTAGAGACTAAGGGTTCTTTGAGTTGACCCATAAGTATGCATTGCAGTACTTGCCCATGATTCTTGTCCTCTGTTTCTGGTGCATCACAATGTGAGGGCTGTTTTCCTTATGTCAGTCTGTCATTGGAAAGGTTTGGGTACCAGGGTGTATAATATTAATACTGTTGAATTTAACACTCTACTTTAACTTCCCTAGCTTTAACTCTGTAGCCTAGGCAAATATTATTCTTGAGGTTTGTCTTATGGAGTAACTTTGAGTACTTAGGACCTGACAGCTGAGTGGACAGCGCTCGGGATTCGCAGTCCTGAGGTTCCGGGTTCGATCCCCGGTGGAGGCAGAAACAAATGGGCAGAGTTTCTTTCACCCTGATGCGTTTGTTCAGCTAGCAGTAAATAGGTACCTGGGAGTTAAGCAGCTGCTACGGGCTGCTTCCTTGGTGTGTGCGTTACATGAAGGAGACCTGGTCGAGGACCAGACCGTAGGGACCCTAAGCCCTGAAACCATCTCAAGATAACCTCAAGATAACTATAATTCAAATCAATTTTTGAGCCAGCAATTTGGTTGTTTCCTGATCTTGTGTTTTGTCTGTTCTCAGGTCTTGGGTGGTTTGTTTGGGTCGTTCGAATGTAACATACAGTAGTGTATTTTAGGCATCCACTGGTTTGTGAGTGTACTAATTGGTGGCACTTGTGGTGTCATTAAGTGCTTTTTTTTTTTTAGATTGAGCTTTCTAGAAATCATTCTTGCTTGGAGTGAGTATACTCCAGTGTCTTCTTAGCATTAGTATGACCCAGCAGGGACAGTTTAAAGAGATGCCTGCTTTACCTCTGCACATTGTTAACTTGCCCTGACTGAGCATTGATTTCTCCATGGGGCCAGCAGGTTCTTGCCTTAGAAAGCAACCAAGTAGGTTACTCAAAAAAGCTATTTTCATTGTATTCAAGCCAACTTTCTGCCTCAGTAATAAGTGACTTGCAAATACAGTACATATGTGAATGAGTTGATAGGTAAGACATTTGATCTTTCTCCCAACATTAATAGTGGGGAAGTTTAATTAAAACAAAAAATGTAGTAACAATGTTTTGCATGTTGAATTTTTTATTTTTTTTCCTGTGTGTGGAACGTTGTTATCTCATGGTTTTCTCTTTTTCAGACCTCGTAAGGTGTTGTGATATGTGAGGACGAGTGCAAAAAATGTTGTAAACTTTTATGTAATTATCGTCTCAAATCATTACTTTCATTGTCATATCTTATCAGGTGTGATATAAATAACTTGGGTGCCATCCCTGTCATTTGTGTGCAGTGTACACTGACAGGTCTTAGAATTTTTAGTCCATCTGAGACTGGTACATTATTGATAACTTAGTTTCCAAGTCTTCTACTTGGAATGTATTGATCATTATGCAGTATTATAGATTTGTACACTCATTAGGGTCCATAAACACAGTTTTCAGTAGTGTTACCATGAGAGATTTTAGTTATGGGGTCTCATTAAAATGGTAATCTGGCCTTGAGTTATTCATACCTGTGATACATGTATAGAAGTTGGTACATACATGCTGTGCTGATGCTTCTGGTATTGTTGGCTGTCGTTATGTAATGTAGGTATCATCATTTTTGTTACTCATTCCTATTAAGTTTATCTTAAGATCAGTTATTAGTCAGAATAATATGGTGAAATATATGCAATATATAAGGGTAGTTATATAATGCCTATTTTGTTGAATTTTTATGTTTGTTTATAATACTGGTAACTTTATTATTTTCTTAGGTGTTTAGAGAGAAGTCTAATCAGTTGCAATAGGATTGTTTAAGCCTGTTTATTGTGTTAAACATTTTCGTTTTTTTGTGAACGTTTTTATGTTAATACTTTTGGTCAACATTGAAATAAATGTTTTTAAAAGAATTGCTTCCATAGAATATAGTTTGTAAGGGAAGTGTAATGAGTAATTAATTTAGCCTGTAATTTACCAATCCTGTGTATTGGTTGAAATATGGTCTCTGCACCATTGGAGATTTTTAAAGATCAATTGGAAATATTATATTGTTTTTTGTATCCTTAAGAAAATATTTCTTGGTTACACATTTTTATTTCCTACATGTAGTCCTACGGCCATTTTGACATTGTTCAGTTTTGTTGCACTACAAGTACAGTATAGTCTATGGTTGCCAAAATTAACCCAGATGTGCAGCACCAAAGTGGTATATTTCCACTGAAAATTCATGGAAAAACAGCCAAATATCCCCTCCATGTTGGTAATAGGCATAGACATTATTCAGTACATAAGAACATCATTTAAGAAGATAAACAAGGAGGCTTTAACTCTGTACACACTGCCATGTGAGACCAATAATTGAATATGCAGCTCCAGCATGGAACTCACATCTTGTGAAGAATAAACAAACTGGAGAAAGTTCACCTCTTCAGAGAACTTCCTTTGAGGTGAGGGGGCCAACATATGACTCCCTAAGGCCAGTGGAGGTTGCCTTGACACCCCCCACCCCTTCCTCTTCTGTCTATGGATGCTGTGTGTGTGTGGAGGAGACTAATGTAAGGTACTTATTCAGGTAATCAGCCCACCCGTTTGAGGGGTCACCCATGACGGACCGCCTTTGGAGGTTGGTTGAGTGTCCAGGCTGTGGCGAGAAGGAGAAAGGTTTTTACATTAGTGTGGGAAAATATACGATGCAGTAGGAGGGTGCTTGTTAGAAAGGGGAGCACCACTTGGGATGACACCTCTTTCCTGCATCAGCCAGCACTTGGGCCACCCTTGCTGCCCTGGTAGGTGGTAATCCCTTAGCTCCAGAGCCCAAACTTTTGAAGACAATAGTGTATGGTAACTGACACAACTTTCAAACACACTTGTGGGGCAGGCAACCAAGCCCTTGAGTCTGATGGAGGGCATTGTCATCAGATGACAACCATCACTGGTTATCTGATGATAACCTATAATGGAAGATTGGGTTCTGTAACCCTGGCTACATTGGGCATAGAAGAGGCTTCTTTGAATGTCCCAATTGATCCTTTCCATTCCCCCTCGCCCTTTCTTTGCAGGGTCAAACCCCTGCCTATGCAACACGTGGGTATAGTCCCAGTGGTCACTACCTCGTCATCTGGAGTGGCTTCATCTTAGTTTATTCAGGAGTGTGTTTTACCCCCTCCTTAACTTAGGATCATGGCGCTATAGTCGCACGCGAACATGCATGATTCTCTCAACCACTGCAATATGTGATGACCTGTTTGGTCTCACTACTTGGCCTAAATATTTTGACATTTGTCATGATGACCATACCCACCCTTATATATATATGTAGGCACTTTGGTGACTATACTTATGTTACCTTTAACTGGTACACCTGTTATTGAGGCCCCTTTTAAAGAGGCAGTCGATCGCCTAGCAGCTTTGCCCTGCGTTGGTGAGACCCTGGTTTGGGCCTTCAAAAGCGTCCAGTTAAATGTTAGTATCGGCACAGTCATTGTCCCACATCATGTTGCGGCCTAGGGACCGGGAATTTGGACTGCCACATGGATATATATCCTTGAGGGCCAAGGTATATTTTATTGCCCAGGCTGACACATCCATTGCAGTCATCAATCCCCTTAGAGTAGTTAAGATAACTTTCGATGGAAAGACCCTTCTGTCTTCTGTAAATTTTGCTGGTGCATCCATTCCTTCTTCGTGTCTGTGCAATAGGTGCTGGAAGTATGGACGTGGTTTCTCAAAGAAAGGAACAAGATGTCCCTTTTCCCCTGGCGTGCTGCATAGGCTTCCCGACTTGGTGCCTTCTTTTGATAATTACTTTGCCACTTGCGTGGTGACTGTGGCCATTCTAGGACAGATTGTTGTCCCTAAGCTCACTTCATCAACTGCAGCGATGCCCACAAGGACAACCAAAGGATAAAGATGATGGGAAGTCAGCCACACTGACAGCCTCTGAAGGGAAAATGATGTGTGCCTTGCTGCATTATTCCAAATCAGACCCATTCTGGTCAGACGTAAGGCTGCAACAAAGATTTTGGTTCCTTAGAAAATAAGATTCCAAATTAAATTCTTTGCTGAAATGTTTGTTTATTTCACATTTATTGACATGGTAACCATATGGTGACATGGCTATGATTTAATTTACTATTTCGTATATATCGAATTTTACCTTGTTAGGCAGTATTCAGGAATACCCAGGACTGAAAGCCTCTCCCTAAACAACGAAGTCAAACAAGGTGCTGATCTCAGTCCAATTTTGTTTGCTATGTTGGTCCACTGTTAAGAGAGAGCCAGTAGAGCTTCTTGTCGCATAGGCAGTTAGTGCTAAGGCCAATGTTTTCTGTCATGCTGCAGATCTAGTTCTCCCACCGACCAAATTTGGAATATTTGATAGAAAGATGTAGTGCAAAATTCAACCTAACGTACAGTCCTGCAAAATATGCTGTGGTTTTTATCGAAATCCACTAAAGTATTCTGAAAAGCATCTTGGGTGTAATATATCCTCAGAGGGCTCACTTGTCAACAAAAATTTAAGACCAGACACTAGAAGGTGAAGGGACGACGACGTTTCGGCCCGTCCTGGACCATTCTCAATCGACTTGAGAATGGTCCAGGACGGACCGAAACGTCGTCGTCCCTTCACCTTCTAGTGTGTGGTCTGGTCAACATACTTTAGCCACGTTATTGTGACTCATCGCCTGCATTTAAGACCAGAACAAATGTCATCATTACCGAATTAGGTCATTTTGATATGCGGTCGAAAGTGTTCAAGCTTGTGTGGATGTGAACTATGGGACTTAGAATACTCAATTGACACTTTATTTTTATTTTTTTGTCTTCAGGCACTTGCTTATCACGGGTTACTCTGACTTTTCCAGAAATATAAACTTAATTGTTAGGAAATACAACTTAAGAATGAGTGATATATACAATGGGGAAGCAGGTGTACAGGATGGGATACCACAATTCGTCAGCAAAGAAAGCAGATAAGAGAGGGGAAGGGGGGGGGGGAGAAACTGCCCCGGACACCGCCGGGTGCTGATGCTAGTTGTCTTGTATTGGAAAGAATTTTGTCGAGGATGAGAACAAAGCATACTTAAGTTTTCCGATTTAATTCCATTAAAGCATACTGTTGCAAAACGACTTGGCTTCCTTATAGTAAAACAAGGTAAATATTGTAATTTTGGGCAGAAACATTTGTTCCTGGTAATGTATATTATTAATTTGTCTAATAAGATGTTCCATTAACACCATTAAAATCGGTTACATTGACCGCATAGCCAGTCACACAAATGGTTCTTATTTTATCAAGAGACTAACCAGTAAGTGTTAATCACTAAGAGAGAGACAAGGCTACGATAAATCTTCAAAAGGGGAAGAAAGCAGTGTGGTAAACTGAGCATGGAGTGTGACTAATATTATTATGATAATACAAACTTGTACTGATCAATTAACTTTATAAGTTACTCTTTAAGGGCAGCTGTTGTTTCAGGTCGTCCTCTCAAGTTGTCACAACGTACAAATTAAACTGATTTGTTTTTAAACTGCCCGAACCTTATGGGTCTAATATAAAAAAATTCTATTGGATGAATAGAAAACTTAACAGCCCTTCAATTTAGCGAGCTGCTATGATTTAAGTCATTATATTTTTACGTTGGGGATTATTACGTCAAAATAGGACAAGTTCAGCAAGTTGTTCTAGTTCATAACGTCATGCACCCTGGCAGATAATAACAAAGTTGAGCAAGATGGCGCCCGAGGAGAGACCCCTGACGCTGGCGGCCGCCGATACATGAAGTCAACACTGGCGAAGTAATGCCCGCTAGCTCAGTGCCTTATATGCGGATTATATATCAACACTATGGAATTGTTTATACTAACAACAGACAAGGACACTCATGTGAAGAGCAACCAACACGCGAGAAAAAGCAATTAATGTTTGGAAGAGCTGTACTTCATAGTGATGGTGATTGTTAGGACCCAGCTGGCCTCACTGTCCAGAGTACCTTGAGGGTAAGTGCCAGGTGTTATCTCACAGTACTGGTTGGATGGACGCCCAAATTGTTGGTTTTATATGTCCACTCTGAGTGGTAGTGTCCAATCACTGTCACCGACACACCAGTCACCTGCTGGTGACAGTGTGGGACAAAGGGAAAGGGAACATGTGTCTGAAAATTGTATATACTAACATAGATGGAGTGAGATAAAAATACTGGAGCTAAACGATACAGTTCAGCTTGAAGTGCCATATTTTGTTGCACTAGCAGAGACGAAACTTGGAGAAAATATTTTAAATGGAATATTTCCGAAGGGCTACTTACTCTGGAGATGTGACAAAAATTTGGAAAGAAGGCGGCGTTGATATGACGGTGAAAGAGCACCTGCACGTAAGAGAATTAATAATTGACAACCCATGAGTAGTTGACATAATGGCATGGTAGGTGTTACCAGTAGGTGGGAGAAATGGATAATAATAAAAGAAAATCCACAGGAGCCATGATGAGGATTCGAGTATTCCGTAGTACTCTAGGTTGCAATTCTTTTGACCACGATTGTCAAGATGACCTAAACAAAATAATTGTATGGAGCAACAAAGATGCCGAAAGTATCTGAAAGTTCACTTTTACAAACAGTGGTAGATGGTTGAAGTAAATTAAGTGAGAGGTGGTGGATTCCTAGACCGTCAGTAGTTTCAAAAGTCATATGACAAAGAGTACTGGGAAGACGGGAGACCAGGAGCGTAGTTCTCATCTTGTAATTACACTGAGGTAACTGTACAACAGTCAGCTGGTGGTGGCACCGTGTGGGAGCCACACACGGAGCCTGGTGGCTGAGTGGACAGCACTTGGGATACGTAGACCTAGGGACGGGATTGATCCCCGGCGATGGCGGAAACAACGGGCAGAGTTGCTTACACCCTGATGCCTCTGTTACCTAGCAGTAAATAGGTACCTGGGAGTTAAACAGCTGCTCCGGGCTGCTTCCTCCCTCTCTCTCTCTCTCTCTCTCTCTCTCTCTCTCTCTCTCTCTCTCTCTCTCTCTCTCTCTCTCTCTCTC